CCGAATCAGTATCGGAGCTAGCTACAGGGACAGCGGGTGATGGGTTATGGTTTCGATCATCACGTATTTTCAAGTTCTTTGGCTGCTGACACCTCGCTGTAACCCAGCACTTTTTCCATTCAAGTGGAATAAAGTGGAACATCAACATCGATGGTTTCGCCTCTTTTTCTTTTCCCATTGTGCATTTTAGACGAGATAAGTTTCGTAGGTCTCCGACTGGTGATTCTCACTGTACTTCACGGTCGGAGAAGTGGCTTCATCGAGATATGGAATGTAGACCTGGCCCAGGGAGAGCAGACAGGCACGTATGACGTCATCTGCTGAACGGCGAGCTGGGGTAAACGAGCGTGAAGGTCTGCGAATGAGAGGCGACGTAAGAATCGAGAACAGATTGTGGACGAGAGAAAAGGCCAGCGTTATGTTGCGTTGGAGGTCCGCTGCTGAGAATAGCTGTGTGGAAATAATGTGGGATTTGTGGAGCCACAAGAGTGCGGAAAATTAGTGCGGTAGATTGCGTCAGTTGCTGGCGATGAGTAGCGCTTTGTATGAGCAGAGCCTGCTCATTTAAAAACCACAAATGCATCGCTACGAACGTGATAGTTGCGGGTACAGAACACAATCTTGTCTGAAAGTGATGCTGATTTGAATGATAACTTCCTTACCGTTTAATTTTCCTCGGTGATATTTATACATATCGATATCCTCTCGAGTATCATTGTTGTAGTAACTTTGAGCCGGTACTAAGCATAGCTCATTTAAGTAAAGACTGCATGGATTTACGAAAATAGCGTTACGGATAATGCTGTCCAGGCTTTATTCGCCAGCTGCGCTCTGGGAGCTAATCTCTGACAGGCCAGCAGCGAAAGTGAAACTAGCATCCAGTCCGCATTTAGGAAATGCCATTTCTGGCATTCCTCAGCTACATACTGCTGGACCCTTACTGACATTAAAGGCAGGCCTGTCCTCCATGTTTTTACCTCTGCTGGTCGCACTTTCGTCCCGTTATATGCTGCATTTGTTCTGTAGTGTAAACCGACCTCGACATAACTGAACCGATCCGGGACCTCGTTCCGTTTCCCTATGTCACGACTCACGATGCACCTGTGAGTAGGACCGTTAGTGGGTGTGCCCCTTCTGAGATGCCGCGTGCTCATCCCTATAAGTCGCCCCCCCCCCTGGCAAACGGGCCCGACACTGTTACTTTTGTCACACAACAACGTTCCGTGCTATTGTTCAGGGCCCCACCTGGGATGTTGCTATATTGAACATCCCGTGACAGGAAAAGGAAAGTGGAGTATCGGTGTTTCGTGACGTCTGGATGCGATTTATATTGTTTAGATCGTGGTATTTGTTTAGCCGGATTGGTTTCTGTTGTCGGATTGGGGTCTGTTGAAAGGGCGTGACGGTAACGCGAATTGGGGTGTGATCGTGATAAAGTATTAACCCGCGCGGGGCTGGGGGGGTAAATTTTACCCCTCCTCACGAATTTTTGCGATATCTCAAAAACGGCGGCGCGCAGCGCCGCCAAACTTTCTGTACCTTTTCTTACATCAATTTGACACGTTCCCTGAAAATTTGAGCGAAATCCGTCGGAAAATTTTTGAGAAATTGACGTTTTAGTGACGTCATGTTCGCCATTTTCGCCTCAAAAACGGCAAAAGTTCAAACGCCGCTAACATCTTCATTTTTAAAGGAATCAAGACCTAACAAAAAAGGTTATACGTAATTTTACTTTGTCTATCAAATGGCTATCTCGGTTTTTTGAAAATTTTGGATTTTGGCCTAAATTTTTTCAAAAAACTGACTTTTTTGGGAAAATCATTATAAAATCCAAAATTTTGAGTTTATCGAAAAACCGGAATATATGTCAGAGAAGTGGTCTATGTGCACCTACATACCAAATTTTAGAAGAATCGGTTCAAAAATGTGGGAGTTATTCAAAATTTTATGACGTCACGACACACAAATTTTTTGAAAAATGACTTTTTTTGGAAGTTCTAGACCTCGTACGAAAACAAAAATAGCACCATTCGATTCGCCGTGAAAAACTGCATCAGATAGACACCTTTTTAGGCCTTAACAACCAACTTCAAAATTTGACCTCACTTGACCTGACCTTGACCTGACCTTGACCTGACCTCGACCTGAAATTCATCCAGAGGTGGTCCATATCACTTATTGAGTGTGCCTATTGAATTCTATGAGTAAAATGACCCATAAAACATGTGTCGCACATGCCCTTTTCTATATTTTGTTTTTTGGTGACCTGACCTGACCTGACCTGACCTTGACCTTGACCTCTGAATGATATTGTATGCAACGAATATTGTCTTGGTAGCCTAAGAACACGTTTTGGGCGATCAGTCTCAGTCCATGACTCCATTCTTCGGCAACTACGGTGCAAGGCCGATACTGTAGAAACTTGCAATTTGTACCCTTGACCTGACCTTGACCTTGACCTCAAACTTTAAATTAAGTACATGTTTTTAGTAGTTCGTGATGAGAGCTTTCGATTGGCGTTTGAATTTTCCAAATCGGACCATTAGTTCGGGAGATAACAGGGGGGTAAAATTTACCCCCCCCCCCCAGCCCCGCGCGTTCGGCTGGAGACCCCAGCCCCGCGCGGGTTAAATGGCCCAATATTTAGTTGTTTTCCAGCACTAAATCGACCAATGAAATGACGACTATTGCATGCAAGCTTTTGGTGAAAGAATGATTTCACATGCATTTTTAAATATATTCGTATGTTAGTCGCTGTCGGTTTAAGGAAGACTTTTTGACGAATTATTAAATAATGCCGAGAATGATATCCGGGCGTTGACTTATTTCATCTTGTGTGCATCTGCAGAAAAGTTTCCTTACGAAATACGCAGTGCAAATCAAACAGCTTTAGCGGCTACCTTGTCCCACTTTTCACACCTTTTCGTCATCAAACCCCGCATGAATAGAACATCAACCGTAAGCCCCATGAGGCCCCTTTCATTGAAACAGTTGATTCGATCTCGAGTAGACATTCTTTGACGTCTTACGTAGGTACGGAATGTGCGGGGCCCACGTCTGTACTGCGTTGTACCCTCCTCCGACGTCTGCCCCTCTGAGCCGTCTATGCGGGGTCGCAGGTAAACGTTGCAAAACCGAACGGTCGCTGTTAGATATACCTATATGTCTAATGACTTACGTCGATTCTGCTGATGTTCTGAAGGTGCGGAGCTCCATTAACTTACATCGAATGCGTTTGATTCATGAATCAGGTATCTAGTTATTAGGAGAAGGCAGGCCTGTACGTTGTATAAGTTCCTTGGCATGCTAATTGCCGGTAGATATACCAACTCGTTAACATTAAATATCTCAGCAAGACAATGTTTATGCCAATGGGCCAGTGATTGCACCGTTGTCTGCATCATCTATTACCCTGCTAATATATCTCATCCGCCTTGTTTAACGTCTGTCGGAGTGGCCATTCGGCATCGTAAACCGTCTACCATGGCCGTCCCTCGCCGCTACTCGGTCGTCGAGTCCCCTAGCCCGGACGGCATGCCCCGTCCGGCGCGGCGGGACGGCACCCGTATTAAAGCCCCGTGACGGCGACGCGATACCGCTTGTGACATGTGTTCCCAGAAGGCCGTACGGGTTTTACCTGGACGGCCGGCCGTCACCGCCGCCGCGCCGGTATGTGGCAGGCGCGCCCTGCAGACAAACCTGTCCGACCCCCTCCCTTAGCACCCCCCCCCCCCCCAGAACCCCTCCGGCCCCTGGGACGTACTGCGTAGACGTCCCGGCGTGTGGCAGAGTTGTAACTGTCATGATTCAGTGCGGGTATAGTGAAACCGGCTGGCTTCCGGTCTGGGAAGTTCTGAGAGACAGTGATGCCATGGGGTCGTGCATACTCGTGAAGGTTGAATGCGGTGGTTGTGACATTGATGTGATGTCCTCAGCTGCATTTATATGGAATTGCGTCGACTTTGAGTTGCATCTTGATGATCCATGGCATAGACGCACGTCTTTGCCTTTTGAAGGCACGGCACATAGTTATACTAAGTTGTTTTATTTGTTGTGCACAAATATAGATGGCTAGGCTATGACCGCGCTGTTTTGTTGATATAGGTTAGTATGCAGCCATGGTCCACGATTCTACCTGGGTGGATTTCCTGAACGGCCAGCATGATCGACAGTTCCGTGGCTAGCTTAGAAAAAAAGAGCAGCTTTATAGAGTGCGGCAACGATCGTTTATCGCTCATCAACAGATCTTGCGATCCAATACGGTTATGATCTCTCAGAAATAAAGAAAAATGACTCAGTAGGTATTTGCTATTCGCAGCACACCACTGTCTGCCTATGTGATATGTCTCAGGAACATCGGCTTTGCAAGGGCTTTAGGTACTTCATATTTCACAATGCAGCACGGATTCCAGGGAACACGATAATGCCGTGACAATGAATGCGGAAGCCAGAATTAAAGACAAAACAACTTTTACTTTTCTCTTGTTTTCCGTTTCCGGAATTTAGCATCATTGTCCAGCCCATCCTGCAGATTCCCGCTGCATATTTTAAGCTGAATGACTTCATAATTCATCGTTACCTTCTTATTTATTGCCTTTAATCATTAAATTATTTACTAATTGGAATGCCTGGGCCCGACTGCAAACACTTAACAGCAAAAACGGTCATGAGCGATGATCTCTTCTGGCATCCTTAGCAATCAAACGAGCTGTGTCACCGGGGCTCATTTCTCATCCGAATAACTCGAGCTCCGGCGGTGACTAGCTCCGTGAGCCGGCAGGTCTCTATTCTGCCTGCTCACTCATCGTTTCATCCGCTGTTCAAGTTTTTACCTCAGCCGCACGCGTCAGTCGGCGCTTTTTACTGCGGAACTGGTGGAGTCTTTTTACGGATCATTTGCAGCCTAATGGTGTCAGCGCGGTGTGGCGCCGAGACCGGATGTCCCCGCTGAGATAGTCACTCTGCCGTGGTCGCTGACCGAGTCTCTCTGTCCTTTTCAGGTCGCCGTGATGACGAGACCACGCAGAGGACCTCGGCGGACACAGCGCCACCAGCGGATGGCGAGGGAACTACTGGTTCGGACTCTGACCAGAAGAGGGTGCCGTCGCCGCAGACGCTGGTCACCGCCCTGCTGACTGATAGTCTGAAGGCGCTAACGACTTCGGGACCGAGGGAGGACAACCATCAGTTCTGGCGACACAATCTGCCCGATCTGGTGACAGAGAGTGTGGAAGGGGATAGTGGCAGGAGCGATGACTCGCCTACTAAGCCACCTGAGCCGAGAAGCTCCCCTCCGGCCGAAGACGGCACGGCAGAGGAGACGGCTCACACGTTCCGCGTCATCAAAGAAGATGGCTCGAGTACGGACTCGGAAAATAGCAGTCCGGAGCAGGGAAGACGGTCGGGGCCTGCCGCGCCGGTGGCGACATCTGTACCGGCGAACAAGGGGCTGACCGTGTCCGTCTCCGAGCCCGTCTCTCCGAAATTCAGCGAGATCGTGCTCGAGAGGCCGATTTCCGTGCTGATCAACGACAACGAGACTGACTCTGATGCAGTCGACTCTCCTAGAAAACCATCGAAACCGAACCCGCAAGCAACAACGAACGACCGAGTCTCTGGACTTCAAATCTCGGCAGACAGTTTCGTCAAGTCTCCTCTGGGCCTTCTGAACACCAGCGGTAACTCCGTATCGGACCCCTCGGAGCCCGGGTCTCCCTCGAGCGACACGGATCTCTCCGCTCTGTCCCACTCCTCGGACCGTTTCTGGAAGCTGTCCTCCAGCACCCGCTCCGACTTCCCGGCGAGTCCCGCCACCTCGTCCGGCTCCTCTGCCAGCTCGTCCCCGCCCGCCTGGGACCGCTCCCCCAGCGGCAGCCCTCCTCGGCGCTCCCCTCCCTCCGTCGGACCCCCGGAGCCGTCCCCGGGAGTGCAGCGCGACTCCCCGTCCCCGCCCGACTCCCCTGCCCCGGTCTCCGGGGACGACGGGTACTCTCTGGATGATATCGAGGATGCACTGAGGGATGAACCTCCTTCACCGGTGGTGAAAGCTGCGCCGATTAGCACGGGGCCGCCCAATGGAGCGGCTCAGACAAGTGGACCAGCGCCTAGCAATGGACCAGCGCCTCTCAGCGGACCAACACCGCTCAGCGGACCAGCGCTGACCGCTGTTCAGGAGGAGCCCCGAGCCCGGGAGGAGCAGCCTGCGCGTCAGGAGGAGCGGGCTTCCTCCAAGGTAGGCTGTCCTGAGGAGGAGCTGGCTGGGTTTGTGGAGGGACAGGCGGCCCGAACCGAGCGGCTGCGCCGGCGGTACGCGGCGGCAGAGGACGGGGGTTTCATCCGGCGACCGTCTGTAAGAGGAGTGGTGATTCAGCAGCCGCCGACCGGTCACTACCATCAGCAGCAGGAGCAGATAAACCGACAGCAGTTCCAGCAACAGCAGCAGCTCCAGCAGCAACTCCAGCAGCAGCAGCAGCAGCAGCAGCCGGCGTACTGGCAGCGGCCGGACCAGCTTCAGCCCCAGCAGAGGCCGCAGCAGCCCCTCCCGCCCAGCTCCCAGCACTCTCAGTTGCACCGTCAGCACTCTGCTCCCCTCCAGCCTCGGCCCGCTCAGCCGGTACAGATGGCGCCCCAGTCGGGCAGCCACCTGCGGCAGCAGTCAGCGCCGCACCTACCGCGAGCTGATCCCGCGCCTCACCACCAGAGGACAGCACCGGCGCAGGGCGAGTACCCGCAGCGGCACGAGCAGATGTATGTGACCGTGAGGCCGGCCGATATGCAGTCTGAGAGGCTGGCACAGGGACAGCCTCCGAGGCAGATGGCGCCACCGCAGCAGGGCAGGCAATACCAGCCGGCACCGCCACAGATGCAGCAGTATTCAGCACAGATCATGCAGCAGCAGCCGGTGCCAATGCAGCAGCGGTCAGCTCCGGTTCAGCAGTATCCAGGGCCGATGCCGCAGCAGCAGTCAGGTCAGGGTCGGCCTCAAGATCCGGGACAGCTACGATCCGCTCAAATTCCCGTCATGCATGCGTACCAGACAGCTGTGCCTAACCACAACCAGTCTTCAATGCCGACCCAGTCGAGGTCAGGCTTCCAAAATCCAGCGACACAGCTTCCGCCACCACATCATCAGCAGCAGTACCAGCATCCTCAACAACATCCTCAGCAGCCTTCTCAGCATCCTCAATATCAGCCCCAGCACCCTCAGCAGCAGCACCCTCCGCCGCCTCAGCAGTCTCAGCAGTCCCAGCAGCAGCAGCCGCGGCCTCTGCCGATGGGTCAGACCCGCCAGCAGCAGCTGGAGCAGATCCGGCGGCTGCAGGACGCTCACATGGTTCGGGTGCCCGCCGTCACCGTCGGGTTCCCAGACGAGAGCAGTCGGCGTCAGGTGTCCCACTGGAACGCTCCGGCATGGTTGCCGAGCGGCGGCGGGGGCGGAGCGCGGGGCAGCCGGGAGCGGGAGAGTTTCCGCACCAGTCGGCAGCGGAGCGCCTCCCAGCAGCGACTGGAGGCGGTCGGCAGGCCCGCCTCGCTGGCCCTGCCGCGCGCCTACGAGTGGCCGCAGGACCGCGCCGCGCCTCCCCCGCCCCCGCCGCAGCCGCCGCAGCCGCCGGCGCGCTTCTGTGAGCCCTCAGTCACGGCGCCGCCCGCGGCGGCGGGGGCGGGGGCGGTCACCCTGCCACGCCGGCTCGCCGCCCAGCCGGAGGTCACGGGCTCTCTGCCGCGACACCAGAGACTCGGCAGTAACCTCTCGCAGGCCTCGGTGACGGGCTGGCCGGCGGAGGGTGGCACCGACCCTCGGATCAGCGGCCCCCAGCCGGCCTACCCGCCGTCCTCCTACCAACACCATGGCGGCTGGCCCGCCCAGCCGGCGCCCCCGGGTGCCGCGCGGTGGTACGAGCCGTCTGCCGCGCAGCAGATGACCTCAGTGACCTCGCGCGGCGCCGGGCCGTCGGCGCGCCCCCTCGCCCGGCCGGCGGAACCTCTGTACGTGCAGAGACTCCAGCCGTCGGTGTACGGGGACGACCTGCACGAAATGTCGGCAGATGAACATGATGTGTGATGGTATGGTGATGGTGTGTGATGTGACTATGTGTGATGTAGTGAGCCGAAAAAGTTGTGGTCCGAAGTCTGGGTGATGATGGAACTGGCCTCAGCGCTGGTCGCTGCAGAAACATTGGTGAACATTTGGGAATCAAGCCGAATTGAAATCGAATCAAACGTGCGGGGCTGATTTGTGTGAAGAACAGATTATCGTTGATTTGTATGACGTGATGAGCGCTTACCAGTCAGCCGTTTTATGCCGTGACGTGTGATCGCGAGATGTCACATTTTAGGTTTAGAGACAAGCGGCTTAGGACCACGTCAGTCGGCTGAGCTGTGCTCTCTCGACATTTGCCGCACCGTTTGATGTAGAAGTCGCGAGTAGTCGTGTGTGCCGCCCCGTGTCCTGCTGAGCGAGGTACAAACCGCGACCGGGGCACTCCGGCGCGTCGCCCGTCAGGAATGGAATGTGTCTGTAGCTCCCACCGAGTCGGTATCGACCCGACCAGCTGTGATCGAGTCTGTCGAATTGAATTGAAATAGGGCGCCGTCAGGAACTGTGACAAGATGTCGATCGATCGAGCAGCTGTGTCGGTTCAGTTGTGTCGGTTATCAAAGATGAACAGAGCGCTGCTAAATGTGCGTGATTTATTCAACTGCTCAGCAAGTCAGTATTCGTTAGTGTGACCTGTGCCAGTTCCTGATGATAAAATGGCAGCTCTATGATCGTAGATATCACGCGATTAGCTCTGTAATATAGTGCAAATGGAACAATAGAGTAGATAATTGATTGAGGTGAGGTGTATCCAAACTGAGCCTTTTTCAAACCGCTCCACATTAATTGTTCGTTCTTGCCTCGTGGTGTACAATGTGCGTGCCTATTGCCCTATACGAATTGAGCCTAGCACATGAAATGACCATTTATGTTGTATATTGAGCAACAAATACATGCCTTTGCACACCCGCAATCCTCGACTTTTACTGAAGTGATGCCATAGGACTGGGATATTAAGACAATAAGCCAATAACATTTATTTATTGATTCGTTCTGCGCTGTCTGGTCTAGAACATAAAGGCACCGTCGAAGCATTTCCATCGTTTTGTTGTGCGCTATGTAGTGCTCGCGCTAGGAAATAATACGATGTTCAAAGTCACGGCAAACCGAAGCAGACAACAGACGACGTATGATTGAATATACCTTTATTACCAAAGAAATTCATGAGCAGTACTTCAGTAGTACAATCGTTAGGGGAAAATTGATGCCGTAATAAATCGCACCATGATAGTACCGGATTTCGTGACCAACACACATGATAAAGAACAAGTAAGAAGTCCATTCACCTCGGAAAATATGACACAGCTTCGCTGCTAGGAATTTCATCACAATGTTCGACAACGCTTCGCATTGCTTAAGTACTAAGCATTGCACATAATATCACAATCAAATGCTGAATTTTCTGAAACAAAAGCTTCAATACTTAAACGTAAAGGCCGTTTCAAATAATTCAGCGAAGCTGTGCCATATAATCGTTCACAAAATTACTACTCTAACAAATCACAGAAGTCACGCGCCGAATCCCCACCCCTCCCTCCCTTACCGTCCCTAATCCCATAGAAATCCCAGAAATCCCAAGAGAGCAGCATATTTTTAGTGAAGCCTCCACCCACCAGCCCAACCTTAGCCCGTGGAAATCCCAGAGAAGCCCCGATAAGCTACCACCTGTGTGCTACCTCATGCTCCTACAGACCCGCTACATAAGGCCCCCGCCACCCTGGCCTCTCCTCCATTCCACCAGCTCCTAAATCCTCCAATCCTCCACTCCTCCCGTCCTAGTTCGCCTCCGTTACTCCATGGCATTCAGAGGACATTGTGGCGTTAAAGTCCCAGCCTTTAACGCGCATGCTTGACATGGTTAGTTAGCTTTGTGGTCCCTTCGTTGGAATTGCAATGACCACTAGGTCTCTCGTAGGGTTCTCTATGATCTTAATTGTACGTTGTCGTCTCGTCCGTTGATATAAAAGGCTGTTCAAAGCCACCCAGCGCTAGAACGCACTGCCACCTACTGTCGGCTGCGGGAAGTTATACTTCATGATGACCCGACACCAGGACACATCGCTGATATCGACAGCGTTTGGCAAGCAATCACCATTCACATATATGCAATACACAACACTTTCAAAGTTCAAGTGCTAATCACTAAGGCACTGGCCGCCAGCCGGCTCGGCCGGCTCGCCACCTGTGGACGGCGGCGGCAGCTATGGTTCCCGAATTGATCCCTAGGTGTCGCGCCGGTCGGCTCACTCGACCGTCACCGACTTGGCGAGGTTGCGCGGACAGTCGACGTTGCAGCCGCGGAGCACGGCGAGGTGATAGGAGAGCAGCTGCAGCGGGATGACCGTCAGGAGGCCCTGGCGACGGAAGACACGATGCAGTCAGATACGTTTGTTAGAGCAGGGGAGATAGTCATAGGCGTCGCCAGAGATTTTCGGTTGGGGGGGCAAAATCAACTTTTGTGTTAAATCTTGCTTTTCCCCAGTCGTTACTCACTCGTTTTACATATCGTTCGACGCGCAGTGGTGCGAAGAATTCGATGGTGACAAAGTTTTCCTTCTAGCTATGACGTGCAACTTTTTTACAGAGAAATTCGAAATTTTCAAATTTCTGGACAAAAACGACCGGTAGAATTACAGTGGCTGCGTTGCCGACGCACTGCAGAGGGCCCTTGTGCAGACTCTCGTCGCTCATGATCATTACCCAGAAAAAGGTGACAAACGCTCCATTTAATCCGATCACCCTGCTAAAACCTCCATTCACGCATGCATGCAGAGGTTTTACGTGAAATGCATAGGGCTTATCCCAGCCGCCGATTGTAGCGAAGTTGGGCATTCGCCGGAGACTGAGAGTGAATCTCGGAAGTGTGAATCGGAAATAATTCATCTTTATGTTGTTTTAAAGTCATTTTTTCCCAGGAAATTAGTTATGTATGGTCACTTCTCGGATTATTCTCTGGGATAATAATATCTAACTCACAAGTCCATATATTTCGGATGATATTGCTCACCCTTGGTCACTGGACAAAATAAAAACAATTACATGTATGAAAAACCACACACCAAAATTATTCCCTAGACGGGTTACATTTTTCAAAAAATATATCACTTGCCAAAAAACTGACACGGTCTTTTAGCTTGCATGTTCCTCTACATAACAAGTAGTGCAACCAATCTTCTAAGTTCTACATATACCTATGGATACCTACTACCTATACTTGTGTCTACAGAGATACATCGGACACAATAGATCAATTTGCACAACCGGGTGTATGTTTAGTTCCTATGGATGACATCTTATGCTCATGTCGACCTATTTCTAAGGGTGAAATCCCATATTGGACTAAGGCCAAATTTTCCTACATCTCGGTTCATGTATGGATCTTTTTCTTTTATTTCTATTGCTTCGCGCACGATTCTCTTTTTCCAGTTACTCTCACATGCCAAAGTTTTGCCTTCCATGGGGTGCATGTTTCTACCGCACTGCCTAGTGTGCCGAGCGGGTGCCGACTTTTGTACCCGCCCGTGCTCGATGTCTTTAGCATGCTCGTTGAGCCTGACATCTTTTGGGCGCCCTGTTTCTCCAATGTAAATTTCGCCACATTCACATTGCATTTCATATATCGTACCCTTTTGCTTGGCCTTGGGAATCCTATCTTTCACGTTAACTAGTGACTTTTTTAGAGTTTTTGACGAATGCCCTACAATTACGTTGTGAGCGCGTAGAAAGCGGGAGATGGGCTCGCTTACTCCTTTCACATAAGGCATGGAGACATAACGAGGGCGGTTCGCTGGTCGCGGACGGCTGATCGGACCGGACGGCTGGTCCGACCCCGGCGGCGCTGGCTGACTGGTCCCGGGCGGCTGGTTCGATCCCGGCGGCGCTGGCTGACCGTTCCCGGATGGCTGGTCCCACCAGTCTACCTCACAGCGAATTACCTCACCAAGATCATCGGTCCAATTCTCGGTAAAACTGAGCACACTGTCCAAAACTCGAAAGATTTTGCCGATCAGCTAAAGCAAGTCGCCATATCAGCGTCCGACAAAATGGTGAGCTTTGATGTAGTCTCGCTATTCACTAAAGTACCGGTAGACGAGGCGATTGAAGTAGTTTGTGAGAAACTCAGCGCTGATGAAACTCTGGCCGACAGAACTGAACTGTCGGTGGCAGCCATCCGTCGTCTGATGCAAGCATGTCTGGAATGCCGATACTTCCAATACCGAAACGAATTTTATATCCAGCGTGAGGGCGCGCCCATGGGCCTGAGTCTCTCAGTCATTCTAGCCAATGCCTACATGGAAGGACTCGAAGAAGAACTCCTGACAGCCAGCCCGCTAAAACCAGCTATATGGCGCCGCTACGTGGATGACACGTGGGTCCTATGGCAGCATGGTGATGATGCCCTGGCAGAGTTCCTGGACAGAATGAATAACATTCACGACTCCATCAAGTTCACCATGGAGACAGAGACCGATGGAAAAATCCCCTTCTTGGATGTCCTGGTGACCAGAAACGCATCCGGCGGGCTCGACACTGAAGTGTATAGAAAGGCCATCGCCAGCAATGCCTATATACCAGCCTCATCCAACCACGCACAATCCATCAAGCGCGGAATAATAAAAAAACATGTACGATCGAGCCCGAAATGTCTGCAGCAATGCATCAGCTCGCCACAAAGAAGAAAAGACACTGCAGGATATATTCGCCTTGAACGGCTACCGAGGTGACTTCATTCGAAGATGTTCGGCTTATCAGCCAGCGCCGCCGGAGTCGGACCAGCCGTCTGGGACCGGTCAGCCAGCGCCGCCGGGGTCGGACCAGCCGTCCGGGACCGGTCAGCCAGCGCCGCCGGGGTCGGACCAGCCGTCTGGGACCGGTCAGCCAGCGCCGCCGGGGTCGGACCAGCCGTCCAGGACCGGTCAGCCACCGCCGCCGGGGTCGGACCAGCCGTCCGGGACCGATCAGCCAGCGCCGCCGGGGTCGGACCAGCCGTCCAGAACCGGTCAGCCAGCGCCGCCGGGGTCGGACCAGCCGTCCAGGACCGGTCAGCCAGCGCCGCCGGGGCCGGACCAGCCATCCGGGAACGGTCAGCCAGCGCCGCCGGGATCGAACCAGCCGCCCGGGACCAGTCAGCCAGCGCCGCCGGGGTCGGACCAGCCGTCCGGTCCGATCAGCCGTCCGCGACCAGCGAACCGCCCTCGTTATGTCTCCATGCCTTATGTGAAAGGAGGTAAGCGAGCCCATCTCCCGCTTTCTACGCGCTCACAACGTAATTGTAGGGCATTCGTCAAAAACTCTAAAAAAGTCACTGGTTAACGTGAAAGATAGGATTCCCAAGGCCAAGCAAAAGGGTACGATATATGAAATGCAATGTGAATGTGGCGAAATTTACATTGGAGAAACAGGGCGCCCAAAAGATGTCAGGCTCAACGAGCATGCTAAAGACATCGAGCACGGGCGGGTACAAAAGTCGGCACCCGCTCGGCACACTAGGCAGTGCGGTAGAAACATGCACCCCATGGAAGGCAAAACTTTGGCATGTGAGAGTAACTGGAAAAAGAGAATCGTGCGCGAAGCAATAGAAATAAAAGAAAAAGATCCATACATGAACCGAGATGTAGGAAAATTTGGCCTTAGTCCAATATGGGATTTCACCCTTAGAAATAGGTCGACATGAGCATAAGATGTCATCCATAGGAACTAAACATACACCCGGTTGTGCAAATTGATCTATTGTGTCCGATGTATCTCTGTAGACACAAGTATAGGTAGTAGGTATCCATAGGTATATGTAGAACTTAGAAGATTGGTTGCACTACTTGTTATGTAGAGGAACATGCAAGCTAAAAGACCGTGTCAGTTTTTTGGCAAGTGATATATTTTTTGAAAAATGTAACCCGTCTAGGGAATAATTTTGGTGTGTGGTTTTTCATACATGTAATTGTTTTTATTTTGTCCAGTGACCAAGGGTGAGCAATATCATCCGAAATATATGGACTTGTGAGTTAGATATTATTATCCCAGAGAATAATCCGAGAAGTGACCATACATAATTCATCTTTGCTCCAGTGAGAGGAAGTGTTTTGTTCACTCGAGTGTGAACAAAACGTTTCTCGTTTTTCGTGTGAAGGGAAGCGCTGCAAACGTGAACAAAAAATGTTTAACGGAACCAAACGTTACGCACGGCATAGCGGCAAGGGATCCCTTAGAGATAGGCTTGGGACTTCCAAGCCATTTCAGGCCATTCATGATCAGTGTGGACTCTCAGAAGCCTGCTTAGGACACCTGAGATCGGCGTGGGTCATCCCAAATATTTACGTGTATGTGGTGCTTTCAGCTTTGGGGCTTTCCGAGCCCTAGGTGGGACCCACAGAAGCCAGTGTAGTCGGCGGGCGCTAAGAGACTGGGCCCAGGGTAGCCTGGAGCCCTCGGATAACAGTGTGAACCGTCGGGGTCTGTGTCGAATCCCGTAAGACCCTACGTAGGGACATAAGAAACATGTGTTGCGGCCCTCAGAGGTACACGTTAGTTGTGATCCCTCGGATGCCGGCTTGGGGTTACCAAAGTCTGTCGCTGAAAAGTTCGACTGAACTATCCGAGGCCAATTAAGGTTCTCAGAAATTTTCGAAGGCATCCTCAAAGATTCGTGTGTCCCTTCAGAGGTCTACATAATGTATAAGGTCCTCAAAGATCCCTGTAACGATCCCTCAAAGATCCCTGTTATGGGCCCTCAGAGAGCATGGACACCAGTGGGACTTTCAGAGGCCGGTTTGGGCCCTCTGAAAGCTTCTTCAGGGCTCAGTGGAGCTCCTTAGGAGCCGGTGTGAAAAGCAAGCTCATGAGCCCTGCGGCACTTGAACGGTAGTTGAGCCTGTCACAGACATTTGGCGAGAGTTGAGAAAGGCCGCGAAGATTTCGTGTCACGCTTTGAACGAAAATTATGTGTCAGTAGGCTCCAAAACTTATGAAAACCAGCTATAAAATGTAATAAAGAAGCAACTAGGAACATGGAATGCATCACAGCATTGGCATTTCTTAGTCTGGAGTCGGAGTCTTGAAGATTTTTGGCGACTGCGACTCTGACTCTTGTTTGAACTGCACTCTCCAGCCGAGTCTGACCTCACAGACATTCTCCGAAAGGTACCCCCATTTTTTCCCGACTCGAAAATCTCATCGGATCTGCATCGATCTCAGGGGGTGCCCCGTCCGAGGTTGGGGGGGCAAGCTGCCCCGCTTGCCCCCCCGTGGCGACGCTAATGGAGATAGTACACTCGACAGTCGGGCCGATTTCAGGGGAGGGGCAGGTCACCTGACGGGGCGGGCAGCAGAAGAGTGGAACAACGCCTAGCAGAGTTTGAAATACAGAAACGGGTGCGTGAGGCCGGACGGCGAGAACTTTACGCAGATTGCGAAAATTAACCATTCAATGCATAGCAAACGAAATTCAAGGCACAACAAATACGGACAATCGACAGCATTCCAAAACAGCTTACCACAAGGCAGAACCGTAGCATGAGTTGAGCCTAAAAATGGCATAAGGCGTTATCCCCCCACACCACCCCTCTGACCCTGACCCCCCCCCCCCCCCCCAACAACAACCCCTCCCTCACCTGGAGGCAGTCAACAGCGTGCGGGATCTCGAGCAGCGCGTTGGAGAAGCGCGCCGGCTCGGTGTCGCCCTTGCTGCAGATGAGAATCGGCCGGCCCTCGCGGGCGGTCACCTGCTGCAGCGCGTTCATGCATTTCTGGAGAGACAAAAACAAGACGGCCACGGGCCAAGTCAGATCAGGGGACGTAGCATGAAATTCAGCGGACACGTGGCCGACATGGTAAGAGCACCATAGTCATTTTACAGTACCTATATACGGTGTTAGGACAGCGAGACGCCATTCAATTATAGACAGGGCAGGTATTTTTCGCTTTTTCCCGGATTGACTCACAGTACACATGCTATTCCTATCCTACCCAAGTCTTATTTTAGAACCTAACATGAGCAACTCACCAATGTAACTCGGTAACAACTGCATCACAGGCGTATTTTAGGGTGCATTATACACTATTCGGTGTAGACGACACTCAGCATAGCCACGTACGTACCACGTAGGTGGGATCCCTGGTGCAGATGAGCACAATGGGCATTCCGGGGTCGACCAGCGCCAGAGGGCCGTGCTTCAGCTCTCCGGCCAGGATACCCTCCGAGTGCATGTACGTGATCTCCTTCACTTTCTGTGGGGGCGGAGAGCAGGCAGAGTCAGTGGTGGCTGGTGGGTTATGTCACATAGCAAGGGGAAATGGGGAGATAACGACAATGTAATCTTAAGATGCTGGTGAAAGCCAGAACATTAGAAGAACTGTGATCAAATCATTTAGTCTGCCACAAAATGACGACATATAACGGCTTACCGAATTTATGTCGCAGAGCAAAGCGATCACGTAAACCAACAGAAAAATGGGTAAGCTACTGATTTCCAATTAAAACCTGATATCCACCAAACAGCGGCCACACCATAGCCTTACCCAAAGTAACCCACACTCCCCGATGCTACTAACCAGGGCTCCCTCGAGGCAGGTGGCGTAGTTGTAGCCGCGACCCATCACCAGCATGGAGCGGGCGCCCTTCAGACCGGTGGCCAGCTCCTCGATCTTGCTGTCCAGCGCCAGCACCTCCTTAATCAGCTCCGGCAGCACCTTCAGACCCTGGATGATCTGGGGAGGCGGGGAGACGCAGAGGTCAGCACGGGTTGGGTCGAAAAGCACACCAGAAACGGGTAACGGTCGGAGCATAGTTTGTCATCGCAGTGATTCGCGCACCAATGCCTACACAAGACACATGCATTATGCATATGCATGATCCATTTTGGCTCAAAATTAAGTTTTATTCATCTCTTTGTGTAGTTCCATCATCGTTTCATAACGTTTCCCTGAGCCTATCGCCTTCTCTCCCCTCTCTATTCCCCTCCTGCCCTCTCACCTCGCGGCGTCTCGGCAGCATGGAGAGCCGATCCTCGGACACGACCAGAGCGAACATGACCAGCGAGATGAACTGGGACGTGTAGGCCTTGGTGGAGGCCACGCCGATCTCGGGGCCGGCGTTGATGTGCACACCGCAGTGCGACTCGCGACAGATGGACGAACCCACTGTGTTGGTGATGCCCACGATCAAGGCGCCGCGGGACTTGCAGTAGCGCAGAGCCATCAGCGTGTCGGCCGTCTCACCTGGCGATGGAAGAATAGGGGTTGTAAGAGAGGCGTTTGAATAAACCACTATGCGAAGACAAGCAAATGAGCCAAGGGTCATTTGTAAGTCAAAGTAGAGGTCGAGAGTTTAAGAGTTTATGTCACTTGAGATCAAGGCACTTCTTTTGTATTTCCAGCATTGCAGTCCTACATTCACTTTAAACAATATCTCCCTCTTTCTTGCATCTTGTACCTTGTAGAATACCAGCTGTAGAATTATTACTCCCCCTTCCTATGGATGAGATTTATCTGTCTCCTCTACTTCTCCCCCTTTCCTCACCGGATCTCTACCATCCCTCACCATGCCCCCTCAACCCATCCCCGTCGCTCGCTATCAACCCTCCCCCATCCCTGTCCCTGATGTCTCACCGGACTGCGAGATGAAGAAGCAGACGTCGTCGCGGAAGATGGGCGTCTTGCGGTCGAGGAAGTCGGACGCCAGGTCGATCATCACGGGCAGCTCCGTTAGCTCCTCCAGCAGCTGGCGCGTAGCGATGGCGGAGTGGAAGCTGGTGCCGCACGCGATCAGGATCAGACGACGGCAGCGCTTGATCTCCGGCAGGTAGTCCTGTGGGGAGGAGGCAGAGAAACGAGGGGTCGATTTAGAGACGAGCGAGATTGTGGGGGTCGTTGAAAATGCTGGTGACAAACAAGACATAACAGCTTTACGCTTTTAGAATTATGAACATTTGAGATATTTTGGGCATGAATCCTTTCGTTTTGCCTAATTAGCTAAAATTGTTTCATTGGTGAGCACTGAGGTCTGAGAACCATGTCTGTTCGACACAGCACACGCCATCATCACAAAATGCTATGGTAATTACATACAACGATAGCATGAGGCGTGTCATATACGGTCAGATACTCGTTCTATCCCGCACAGCCCCCACGATTGTATCTCTCGGCAGCCATCCAATATCCATGTCTACCCATCCCTTTCTACCCCCCTCCCCCTCCCTGGGAAGGGTCACCATCCCACCTTGATGCCGCCGAGCACCACAGTCTCGTCCTCGAAGTTGATGCGTCCTCGCATCGTGTTGACGACAGACTCAGGCTGCTCGAAGATCTCCTTCTGCATGAACGACGAGAAGCTGCCTGCGAAGCGGGTACCATCCGCGTCAACAACTACTCCAGAGACAAAAAAAAAAGAAATGCTAGACTAACGACCGACTTGTAACATAATTGTAAAAGACGACACCGTCAATACCGTTTCCGCATTACCTGATCAGCTCTTAGAATCAAAGCTAAAGATGCTTCAAGCAAACATTTAGCACCACCGCACGATAAAACATAGAGCACCACTGAGCCACTGTGGTGCTCTATCTTTCAACCCACGATAGCCATGCCCACGTTACACCAGTTATAATTTCCAATGCTCGCTATTATCCCTTCCCTATCCCCTCTCCTGCCCCTCCAAGACACGTACCCTTCATGATCTCCTGGATCTCCATTTTGAGTGTGTGCACCTCGCGCGTGCTGCACTCGTCCATGCTCTCCCGCTTCAGACGGTGGATGCTGAGCATACCGTCACGGATCCAGGCCACGTCGTCGTCCTGAGAACGGGAGACAGCGGTGTCAGGAGTCAGGGTCGAAGTGAGGGTGGGCTTATGAGCAGAATGTGCACGTAACAAAGGTGTGGGACACAACGAATTGATTTTCGCAAACATATAAAGAACTTGGAGAAGGCAGAGGTCTGATCTTTTAGGACTCTAACAGCAAGTATACCACCATTCTTTGAGGTCTGCCCGCGTCCTAAAGGTTACGTCTTGTATGTCCCTCCCCATCTACGAAATCTCCCCCTAATTCCTATACCCAGCCCTCATCCCGTCCCTACCCATTGCCGGGTCTTCCACTCCTCCCCAGTCCCCACGCACCTCCAGGTAGATGACGCGGTTGGTGTGCTCGATGACGGCAGAGGCGTCCGACGCCAGGAAGTACTCGATCTCCTGAGAGTCGCCAGTCGGCAGGAACTCAGCCGTGGACTCGGTGCGCGGGATCAGTGGCACGTTAACGCCGTGAGTACCGGCCGGCACGTGACGCGCTGAGGGGCGGCCAGAGGGAGGTCAGGTCAGCAGGAGGTCAGAGGGGGTTAACGGGAGGTCAGAGGGGTCAGCGGGAGGTCAGAGGGAGGTCAGGTCAGCGGGAGGTCGGATGGGGTTAACGGGAGGTCAGAGGGGGTTATCGGGGGGTCAGAAGGGGTCAGAGGGGGTCAGCGGGGGTCAGAGGGGTCATGGGTGTACGGGAAAGTGCGAAGGGGTGTGAGAACGGGAGCAGGGAGTAGGGAGGTCCAGATGCAAGGATCATTAGAGAGCGTAACAGGAGAGGGTAAACAACACGATGAACTCAGCGGCGCATGAGCCAGAGGATGCGTGACAGAAGCTAAGAAACTTGGGGAAAATGTAGATCTGGCGGAAAGGTTTATTACTCCCTGACGAGTTAGTACAAAATCCTTCAACCAAATGGAGAGAGGCCGTTGAACCTGAATAAGTCTGGCATTGGAAAATCGCCAGACAGTGGGAAACGGTGGCTAGGCTTACGGGCGTGACAGTCAAGGGAGGCCGATTTGTGACGGTCAAACATAACTTTTACCCGACCTCAGCAGTCAGCACGGATGATTGCCAAACGCTCTGGCATGTCAAATGTATATTTTATATTTTCAAAAGAAGGCAACGGTGTGACCAAAATATGTATCTGAACATCAAGGCCGGATTCGACCCTTCTTTTTATATAAACCAGTAAAAAATATGTGAAGGATCTTTTACAGCAATCACATATCACTGATGAAACTCTCTCCAGCTTCCATAATCAGAGGGACAATAGAACGGTTGCAGTAGGTACAGTAAAGGAGAGTTTCGGGAGCACACAAGTTAACTTAAAAGTACACATACGACATATCAAAGCATCATCAGAACATTACATTGACTTGGTCATTGAACGCATAAATTTACTTTCACGACCGGGTGAAAAGCGATATGAACCAATGCGATACAGCACTACCAGTGCTTTGATCAGCATCTACCATCGCCTGACCACGGCTCACAAGTGAAAACCGGTACTTTCTTTCCCTTAAAACCCCGACGACACATGTCAACTGTCATGCAGGATGCTAATAGTGCACAAATGATATGCTAATCATAGGCGGCACGCAGCCTGTAACGAAGAAGAAAGTTGAGCGGGTAAGAACGGAGACTACTTACCATCAGCCGGGCTGATCTTCCGCGACTTGGTGTTCTCGCCTAGAAAATAGCAAACAAAAAAGTGTACAGAACATGCTGGTTGTGAAAACAAAACAGCTACGGTGTCTGCCGTGCTAGTCTCAACACAGCAAGCGCATGCCAGCAAATCAAGACGAGTGCTAAAACAAAAAACAAAGTCCAAGGAGCAAAGAAAAACTACGTAGAACAGTGGAGCAACTAAAATCTACTAGGGACAGAAGTTCCTTGAAGCATGTCGAGTAAAGACAAGACCGAATCGTCTACATACGACTCAAAAATACAGTCATTGAACAAGAATCCGAGAAGACGCGTCAGTGGAACCCGAGAACCCGATGTAAACCGTTATAAAGTCACGATCTCTCAAGTCAAGATTAACGTTGAATAAATTAATGAAACACAACTGATAAAATCGATATAAATGATAAGCGACTGGGCTCAGAGGCGCCGACTTTCCGCCCTGCCCAGCACCCAGACCCTTCCCCTGTGTCCAGGCACGGTCCATCGGCCGGCGTACCTTTGAAGTCCTCTGCAGCGGCGGCGGAGGTGGCGCCGACACAGAGACGAACGGGGCGGCATGCGGAGACGGTCGACCGAACGGAACCGCCGTCCACAGAACAGACAGAGAGACGGAGAGAGGGAGAGAGAGAGAGAGAGAGAGAGAGAGAGAGAGAGAAACAGAGAGATACCGTGAGAGACAGCCACACACGTGCTAATGTGCAGTCGTGCCGACCCTGACCATCACTAACTCGCAGAGCAGTGCCCATTTGAGAAAATTAAGGAAATGGATGCATCGAAGAAAGAAAATTGTTTTTTGAAATAATACTACGTGGATGCTTTCTGCGAGTTGGTAATGGTCCCGGCACAAGACCGGAAAACAAGCCGAGAATAAACAGAAAATAAAACAGAAAATACCACAAAACAGCAACATGCTCACCTAGAGAAAAAGCACCTCATTGAGGCCAAAATACAATATCAATAACGCATTGAACGCACAGTTTAGGACGTGCAATAAAATACATACGACAAATGTGATACAGAATTCATGCGAGTTAACAAAAGTAGTATTCATGCTACATGCTGTTTTACATATTTTCGCATGCATATCTAGCGCGTAACACTGGTCAATCAAAAGCATGCAAAGGCCAGAGTCGTAAGCAATTTTCTCGGCGAAAATCCAGTCAACTGTGACTAGATTTCAGTAGCCATACAGCTCATGCAAGAGTTGAAAACAGTGGCGGTACTGTACCACACTTAAAATCAAATAGCGCCGTAATACGGCAGCAGAGTACTTATCAGTACTCACGAGGTACCGATCAGTACGCCGCGGTACCGCTCACGTACCTCTTCCACCCTGGCCGAGTCCCTGCAGGTTCACGGGTTCGGTGGACTCGCCCATACCTTCAGTGCGGAGACGGGCACGGTTAGACAGCATGCAGCCAGGCGGGGACCCGGGGACAGTAGGCGTGCGGTTAGTGGTCACACGGCGTTACACCAGCCGGACGGGATAAGCAGATAGGATGGCATGGAGGGACGCCGGGACTTGGGACGGGTTAGATAAGCTGAGGAGGTAAAGCTAATGAGGTAATCAGAATATGCCTAAGGCAGACAGGTACTTAAAGGGTTTAGTTCAGGGACTGTAAAAAGCCAACAGGCTAGCGATGGGTAGGATTATTGGATAAATCACAAACGCTAACGAATGCTATCGTCCGAGCAAGTTCTAAATATGTAATATAAAACATCGATAGTATATGACAGAAGTACGGCATAACTTACAAAATAAGGTAGGAAAAAATCAGGGATCGCATATCAGATCGATTTGCGAGGAATAAAGGAATGTTAGTACGGCATCTCCACCAAACAGTTGGCATATATGTCATGCTGCCAATGCACACCACCCCGAATACAGCCAACTCATGGGTCCATCCAACGACACCCGGGGTTCAACCAACGGACCCAACCCACGGGTCCAACCAACATGTCACACCCCGGGTCCAACCACCGACGTGCCACCAGTTACCAGACCCCACATGCGTAGACGGGACCACCTCCCCTCCCCCTATCCCCAAAGATCCCACCTCAGAGCACGCTACCTTAGCTGCGCAGTAGACCCCCTGACCCCTCCCCCTGTCGGGCGCCCTATCGCCAAATCCCTCCGACGCCAGGGCGCAGACGGTGAAAACGATTTAGGCCCCCGTTGCCCGCGCCACTATCACCAAGCGTTCGCCTCAGTTGGCTGTCAGCGGCCGAAACCACTCGCGTCGGCTCGTTTGTAGGGTAGGACGGCCCCTAAAAAACGATGGTCGGGATTAAGGATATGCAGGTTTGACGAATCTCGAAGTCGCATCTATTAAATAGGTGAGGGTGGGTGGGAAACTTCTCGCCCACTCTCTGCTCCACTCGCCGTCCGTCGCAGTCGACGACTGCCGTTCGCGCCTCTCGGCTCTGCTGCCAGCGGCGCGCCCGTTCCTACACTCCCCTTCGCACCACCCCTAGTCAGGGTCTGCTCCGCGTCTGTCGGCGGGGTGATTTATCTGTCTCCGACCCCCGTCTCCCTTTGCTCCGGTCACGTTCAGTGGCGCCCGGGCAGGGTCCTAACCTTCCATAGCCGCGTCGCCGCTATGAGTTGATTAGGCCCCCGTTGCCCGCGCCACTATCACCAAGCGTTCGCCTCAGTTGGCTGTCAGCGGCCGAAACCACTCGCGTCGGCTCGTTTGTAGGGTAGGACGGCCCCTAAAAAACGCCAAATACACCCAATGGAATGAAAAAGTCTTAGGCTAAGCGTCCGCTGCCCAAACCTTTCTCGATCTCTGCTGAGCAGTTAATGGTTTGACCACGAATCCGGGCACATGCCGCATGCGGAAAGGTTCCCAGTGTGTTCCGCTGGCGATGCCCGGTCTGTTATTGCGGCATGGCTCTTGGTGGTGAGTTTGGGTCGAACCCTTAGTTAGTGTGAACCGGGGCGGCGAGGGACTCCCTCCACCCCAAGGTCGGCTCCCGTCCTGAGTCAGCTGTGACTGGACCCCATACTCCCCGCACAGTGCCGCCAGTGACTCACTGTCGACCCGCGTGGGGGCGCCGCGACCCACTAATGGAACGTGACCGTGTTCGGGGTGTTCGTTGGTCGTCTGCCTCTCGTGGCCGCCGGGGGACCAGCGGGGGAGCCGGGTCGTGCGGCGTCGGCTGGTATCAGGTTGCGGCGGGCGGCCCGTCCCGCCGCTGTCGCCTGGTTTGAGGACCGTGGCGGCCCCACTGTGGGCCTCTGTGGCCCCGCGGACGGTACCGGCAGGCGGGCCCGCGGCTGCCCCGGCGTTGACTGTCTCATCAGCCGGTCCGGTGTCGTGGCGGTGCCGGGGCTGTGCCAGCGGCCGGCGGCCGGCTCTGGCTCCGCCGATGGCTGTCTTTTCTGACTGGCGGTCGGCGCGGGCGGCCTTGGGGGGGGGGGGGGGGGGAGGGGCGACTGTGGTTCCCGGCGGCCCAGCCTATTTCGTTCGTTGCTATTCCGGTGTGTGTGAAGCCATGCCTGGACGCACTGCGGTCAGGGGGGGGGGGGGGTCCGATCCGATGGTTTTGTCCCCGTGTCGGTCTTGGACCCCCGTGTTCACGGCCTCGGGGTTGCGAAGTTTAGCCCGGCACGCTTCCCGGCGCCTAAACCGACGTCATCGGTGCTGGCTAAAATGGAATGCCGCGAATCTGGGATCAGTGGCCTGGTTTCGCCTTTGATATCGTGCTGCAGATTATCTAGTCGTCGGCAGCGGTCCCGTAGACCTATGTTGCGCGCAACTTAGCCGCGGCGTCGGCGGCGGACCCGGTTTACGTGCTCATACGACCGCACATACATAAATGAGGTTTGTATGGCCATGTGGCCGTGAATGACTGGTAGAAAAGGTTGTGCATGGATTCCGGTGCTGTGATGGCACCGCACGCAAAGCACAGTGCCTCACGGAAAATAGGAACGGTGCATTGTTAGCGTACTTTAAACGCACCTACCCAGGTACCTAAGAATCACGTGCTGTTCATGAGGCCTGTGAGCACGGGCGCCGATGACTTTTCTGCCGCTCCGTTCTGGCCTGCGGGATGACGACTTGCATGCCAGCGCATGTGGGGACTCACATTTGGCAGCTGCTCGCACGGGTTACCGTGGGTGGGCAGGGTTCGCGAAAGTGTCGGCTGCCAGCTTGCCGCAGATTGCAGTGTCGCGACGCTTACTCGGAGTCTCGAGATTGGGGAGCCGGCAGGCAGCGGCGTAGTCGGTGTAGTTGTGTCCGGGCATGATCTTGCATGCATTTTGTCTGTGCTTGCTCGATTCCTGCACTCAGAATGCACTTTGAGAGCAGTTTGAATAAAGACTCAATTGAGCGCTGAGACCAGCCTCAAATGTGTCTGATTTTAAACGGTTTCAGTAAGGCTTCCTAAGGGCTCATGTACCCGAATACTGGATTCAAGCGATACCGAAACTGGGGTTCGGACTAGAAACTGGTTTCATAGTGAGACTAATTTTTTAAAAGCTTGACACCGAAAATAGGTACCGACTGAGCTCTGTTTCTGCGATCAATGGCGTTGCTCAGAAAATATTCTCAAAATGTGTGATCTGTTTTGAATCGGGGACATTAGCCCGAAACTGATCTCTGAGACCAAAAATGGAGAAACTGTTTTCTCAGTGTGTGCGGATTGTTCGTTCGGTCTCGTCTGCCACCGCTGAGCCCAGTGTTTCAGACATTGGACGAACGAAGTTCATAGTCTGTCGATAGCTAGATGCCTGTCGAGTTGCAGAGCAGCCGATGCATGACGCAGACCGGGTGTGTATGTGTGTGTGTGGGGGGGGGGTGCGTGTGTGTGTGTGTGTGCGTGTGTGTTAAGCGCAAAGTGGCCGAGGCGTCGGCAGCGGACCAGGTGTGTAGTGAAGACAGAGTGGCCGAGGCGTCGGCAGCGGACCAGGTGTGTAGTGAAGACGGAGTAGCCGAGGCGTCGGCAGCGGACCAGGTGTGTAGTGTAAACAGAGTAGCCGAGGCGTCGGCGCCGGACCGGATGTATGCGTATGTCGATGCAGAAATACGGAGGCGCCCACTTAGAAAATACTTGAGACCTTTTTACAAAGAGACTCCTTGAGTGCTAAACCGAGCCTCCAAGGTGACTGGCTGAGATGTGTTTCTGCGGCAGCGTATGTCCATCAAGTTGCGTTCGGAAGCGCTTCTCGAAATGCGTGGTCTGTTTTGACAAGGGGCATTATCCTAAAGCTGGTCTCTGAGGCAAAAAAAAAAGGATCAGTTGGGTCAGCATACACATACATACACATGCACACACGTGCACCCACATGCACACATCTAACCAACCCCCCACGTTGCCTCGTCAACAAGTGCTGCTTTATCTCGCTATTGAAGCGGCTCCCAGGCAGGTTTCGTGTCACGCTTAGCAAGATGTTATATGCGATGACAATAGCGTGTCTGAACTACGCCTGCCAGACTCCAATCGAATCGCCGGCGTGACTAAATGGTCTGCGTTCCGTGTTGTACGGTACGGCGGTGAACATCTCCACGAGTGACCAGGTCGCCGGCGATCGACTCAGGCTCTGATGTCACTAAAATGCGCTTTAGTAAGCTAAGTGCCTACCGTGTTGCAGAGGGCCGAGGTGACGGCGGCGCACCTGGCCCTGTAAATTGCAGAGTAGCCGAGGCGTCGGCGGCGGGCCTGATGCGTGTGCATGGGTTGCAGATTAGCCGAGGCGCCGGTGGCGGACCCGATGTGTGCAGGGGTTACAGTGCAGCCCAGGCGTCGGCGGCGGGCCCGATGTATGTGCATGAGTTGCAGAGTAGCTGAGGCGTCGGCGGCGGTCCTGATGTACTTACGTGCAAGGGTTGCAGCGTAGCCGAGGCGTCAGTGGCGGACCTGATGCGTGTGCGTGAGTTGCAGAGTAGCCGAGGCGTCGGCGGCGGGCCTGATGTATGTGCCGTTGCAGAGTAGCCGAGGCGTCGGCGGCGGACCTGATGCATGTGCAGTTGCAGAGAAGCCGAGGCGTCGGCGGCGGACCTGATGTATGTGCCGTTGCGGAGTAACCGAGGCGTCGGGGGCGGACCTCATGCATGTGTGTGAGTTGCAGAGTAGCCGAGGCGTCGGCGGCGGACCTCATGTACGTGCGAACATGGGTGGAGAATTGTTTTCAAAGTTGGTATGGCGCCAGTTGCTTGAAACAATACTATCGTGTTTTATTCTTATCAAACTGAAAACCTTAAATTTCGTAGCTTTTACCCTGAAAAAGTTGGTATGGCATTGCCATACCATCTTTTAAGTTGGTGTGGCGCGTGCCATGCCTGCCATACCATATTCTCGACCCATGCCGGTGCAGAGTTTATGGGGTGGCTGAGGCTATACGACGGCGAGCCTGATGTGTGTGCATGAGTAGCAGAGGAGCCGAGGCGTCGGCGGCGGACCTGATGCAAGTGCATGAGTTGCAGAGTAGCCGAGGCGTCGGCGGCGGACCTGATGTATGTGCGTGATTTGCAGAGTAGCCGAGGCGTCGGCGGCGGACCTGATGTATGTGCGTGATTTGCAGAGTGGCCGGGGCGTTGTCGGCGAACCTGATGTGTGTGCGTGGGTTGCAGAGTAGCCGAGGCGTCGGTGGCGGACCTGGTGTATGTGCAGTGCAGAGTAGTGATGTCAACTACGGAAAATCGGAATACCGATACCAAACCAAGTACCAACCTAGGGTGCATTATACCAACAAATTACCGAACACATTAGGAATCAAATACCAAGTACCGAGTTGGTATCAGTATGGTATCGGTATACCGAAAAGTTGTATCCGAGGACATCTCTACTGCAGAGTAGCCGAGGCGTCGGCGGCGGACCTGATGCATGTGGGTGCCGAGGCGTCGGCGGCGGACCTGATGTATGTGCGGTGCAGAGTAGGACGTCGACTACGGAAAAATCGGAATACCGATACCAAACCAAGTACCAACCTAGGGTGCATTATACCAACAAAATACCGAACACATTAGGAATCAAATAGCAAGTACCGAGTTGGTATCAGTATGGTATCGGTATACCGAAAAGTTGTATCCGAGGACATCTCTACTGCAGAGTAGCCGAGGCGTCGGCGGCGGACCTGATGCATGTGGGTGCCGAGGCGTCGGCGGCGGACCTGATGTATGTGCGGTGCAGAGTAGGACGTCGACTACGGAAAATCGGAATACCGATACAAAACCAAGTACCAACCTAGGGTGCATTATACCAACAAAATACCGAACACATTAGGAATCAAATAGCAAGTACCGAGTTGGTATCAGTATGGTATCGGTATACCGAAAAGTTGTATCCGAGGACATCTCTACTGCAGAGTAGCCGAGGCGTCGGCGGCGGACCTGATGCATGTGCGTGCCGAGGCGTCGGCGGCGGACCTGATGCATGTGCGTGCCGAGGCGTCGGCGGCGGACCTGATGCATGTGCGTGCCGAGGCGTCGGCGGCGGACCTGATGTATGTGCGTGCCGAGGCGTCGGCGGCGGACCTGATGCATGTGCATGAGTATTTATGTGCGTGAGTTGCAGAGTAGCCGAGGCGTCGGCAGCGGGCTTGATGTATGTGCAGTGCGGAGTAGCCGGGGCGTCGGACGCATTGCAGTTGCAGAGTAGCCGAGGGGTCGGCGGCGGACCTGATGTGTGTGCATGAGTTGTAGGGTGGCCGGAACCAGGTGTTTTGTGTGTATCGCGTCGCAGGTTGGGGTGCCGCGTTGCACGACCCTTCAAAGCGTGCCTACCAGGCTCCCCGGTTTCCTTTACGATTGTGTGTGCGCTTAGTATGCCTCTGAATAGATGCGCGTCAGTCGCCTGGGAACCATCCTCATGGTGGCGCCGCGTCAGTCGCCGGGCAACCATCCTCGTGGTGTCGCCGCCAAGGAACCGCACTCCGCTGTACGTACCCCCGAGCCGTGCTCGATACGCCTCACCTGCCGTGCCGGCGTTAGTGTGCCTGACCATAGAATCCTTGTAGCCGTTGGTACTCCCCACAGCTTCCCTGGCTCCCTTCTCGCTCGCTCTCCGCTCCACTCGCCGGCGGCCATGTCGGCGTTAAGGAGTGCGTGATCGGATAATCCTCGTAGCCGTTGGCACTCCACACGGATTCCTTAGCTCACTTCTCGCCCACTCTCTGCTCCACTCGCCGTCCGTCGCAGTCGACGACTGCCGTTCGCGCCTCTCGGCTCTGCTGCCAGCGGCGCGCCCGTTCCTACACTCCCCTTCGCACCACCCCTAGTCAGGGTCTGCTCCGCGTCTGTCGGCGGGGTGATTTATCTGTCTCCGACCCCCGTCTCCCTTTGCTCCGGTCACGTTCAGTGGCGCCCGGGCAGGGTCCTAACCTTCCATAGCCGCGTCGCCGCTATGAGTTGATTACCACCCATCTGATAGTGACGGCGGCGCGCCGGCCGGCTGAGCGACCACTGAGACATCGGATCAGGCGCGAGCAGATAGCGCCAGAGTGCTCAATGGTGTCATAAGCGGCTACCGTAAGCCGCGCGTAGGACCAGGGTCGATGTAATAAATCAGGACTCTCAATGTTACACAGAATGGGGGGAATGATAAGACTTGAAGTAATACCGCCTCTGACGTAGATTGTGTAACGTAATGTCAAACAACTGGATTTGGTGGATTTTGGTCTCTCGACGAAAGTGATCTGGGGATTGTGAATTCATGCCACGGTGTGAGTTGGGGTTAGGCGCTTTCTCTCGGCCTCACAGCCCGCGCGACAAACCGGTGTTACTGGTCAGTGAAGGCGCTCTAAGCTCTACCGCACCGCACACGGCCCCACAAAGTGTCTGTACTTTTGACTGTGGGTTCACCAGTGTCCACACTAGCGTCCACCCGTCGTGTAATGTGGACGGTAAAAGGTGGATGTACCGGTCTACACCTGCCTTCCTCCACCTAACGTACCCGGTCGGTGGACACTGGACAGTGTCTCCACCGCTCATACCCGAGCACCTTTCCCTCACCCTACCACCCTATGGGTGGGCACCCCAGACCCCGTCAGTACGTACCCTTGCTGTACATGATGGGGATATGGTCGGTGGCCAGGTGCTCCTTGGTCTTGATGGCCACGAGCAGGGGCGAGCCGCGCCGGGCAGCCACCACCTGGTTCGGGAAGTGCACAGACTTGAAGCACAGCGCGAACGCACCCTCCTGAAAACGGAGATAGAGTAAGCCGGTTAGCGAACAGATACATAGAAATCGCTTACTTTGTTTGATATGTAAGCGGTTTCATATACTGCCAGCGAGTTCCACCACGCACATACAAACAACAGGCATTTACTCCCAACAACTAAGCAAACAGCCATAGCAGTCATAAAGCCATAACCCCTAATCGATATACCTACTACCAAGGACACACGCATATTATTGTCGTGCTCTGTGTAATCTTGATATCTCTCATATATCCCTATAAACGCGGTATGTAGCCTACACTGTTCTTTACGTCATTTTACGACCAGCATTGACCTCCAATCACAAAATCAGCTACGTCAGAAAACCACGTCACATTCCCAGAAAATACGCACAACGTGTAATAAAGGTGTCAATGGGATCAGCATTCACTCCCTGTCCAAACAAGGACAACGGAAAACCATTCGGTGATAGCGTAAGAAACGATAGACTATAGACATTAGTGCTCGGTGTCAATCATCCACTCAGCATTAAGCCCGTCGACGTCAATTCAACGTCACTCCCACTGGACTTTCCGTCGCAATCGACAAGCAGGTGTCAGCGGCCGACCTGACTGCGTCATAACTGGCACACTCGTGCAGGTGGCCCTCCGTCGTCGGTCGTCGCTACCGCTGGCGACGGGGCGCGAGTACGTTCGACGATCGCACAGACCGGCCGCCGCCCGTCGATATATCCATGGTAGTACGGTTGGGTGGTGGTGGTGGGGAGGGCGGGGGAGGGGATGGGCACGGGGAATGGTCTGAGGGAAGGAAAGGGCGGGGGTACGAAGGGGTATACTGCAATAGGCTACAAAACCATTAGGGCCGGCTAGACAGGGCAAAACAGAGTCAAACGTGCTAAACCAGGCCAAATTGATTATAAAGGATCTAGCTAGACCAACGAAACAGATGCGACCGCGTCTGATCGGGTCATGTCAGGTCGTTCCTCGGTCAAACTAGATCAGGTCAGGCTAAGTTCGATTAGGCCAGAACAAACCAATGCCAAGGCGGGAAGAATCAAAGGCGAAAGAGTGATTAGGAAAGCAGCCCGCCCGCCACGTAGGACCCTCATCGTTATTGCAAAACGGCCTGGAGGCCAGGCGCGGTGCCAGCGGGTGGGGCCGATAAGCGGCCAGACAATAGCTCCGTGTGCCGGGCAGGTCTGTCCATGACGCGGAGGCACCCGTTCAGAAGAGAAAGTCGCCGGGGTACAGCCGAACGGTGTGGCGGGGGGACTGGAATGGAGATTATATGGCAAAGCCAGCAACCAGAGAGAGCATTGTATTCGAAGGATGGCGTGCTTTAATGAAATTCAAAATGCTGGGGGTTTGGTAAATCGGTTAGTTTTGATTATGTAGGTATCGGATATAACATCACAACAACGTGCCAAAAGGGCAGGGCAACATCCTGAGCGATGTATTGGTAGAAAAAAAAGATATTAGCTTCAGCTCAAATGAGTCTACCTATGCTACCAAGATAAAAAAGCACTTCTAGCACGTTCTACAACACAATTTGACTTGCGGTTGTTCGCAGACCAGAGTCGCAGTTCCTGGACATGTTCCTAAGTAAACAGTCAGGAGTCACCACGGCTAATTTCAACTCAGCTGCGCAACTTGGCTTCATACAGTAGGCACACATTCGCGGGTTCCCACGTCGATCGGATCGAATGACGACGTTCGCGAATAGCAGCATTCAATATTCATACCCTGCCGAAGTTCATCTGACGACCATCCCTCACCCGGCTTAGACATTTCCTACACAAGCTATCGGTGTGTTGACGGTGTCGGCAGGTCCGCGGTGGGCCGATTGCAGGGATCTGTGAGATGATACCCCGACCGCGGCCCCAGCTGCAGACGGCTGGTGGTGAATGCCGGTCAGTGACCTCGAGAGGCCCGCCGTGAATGGTCCCGTATACTGTACACAGAGCTGTACTAGCGATTGGACAGAAATCCCCGAGATACCGAGTACCTCATCAACAGCAAAACTGTTCTCAGAAAACAGATATCAATGTCAATCAGACGGCGATGAAAGGCTAACACTTGCAGTGTCGGCAGAGAGCTGGGGATATACTGCAGCCAGCAGATTACACCACGAAACTCAACCCCCAGAGATTAACGGGAAAACGTCCAGGCCCCGAGCTAGTCAGAGACCACTGTCCCGTCCCATTTTTGGTCATCACAGAGCCAGCTTTAGTAACACATCCATGCACGGAGAGTCAGCGATTGCTCAAGCACCCGCGGCCGATTGGGCCATGTCCCGACACCCCCCTGGGGCGCTGAATGGGAAACGGACGCCCCCGGGGGCGCCCACTGGACGCCCCAATCGTGTCTGATGAGACCCGGTCAGGCCGGGCGACCTTGGCCTATCGGTAACGCTACCATTCGTACGCGGGAGCAGATGAAATCTTCCGACATCCCACCGCTCCAGCAGTTGCGTGAGCTCCGAATATGCGCGGTGCGTGCGTGTGTGCGTGCGTGAGCACTTAAACATGCATTTACAACTATCTGCCAAGGATGTTTCCCAGTACCAAGAACCGTTGGTCCATGGGGCGACTGTGAAGGTCGGAGGGAGAGGTCACAGAGATACCACCGGGAGACAGAGACCCAGGAAAGTGACGGGAAGAGGCCGGGAGAAAGTGACCGGACCACCGAAGGTCAGCAGCTATCAGCTGATGTGGCGCCGCCCCGACCGCTGGCAGGTCGCGGTGGCGGGGGCATCGTGGACCGGGGAGATGAAGGATAAGAACGGATACCGTGATAAAAAGACGATGAAGGGACGACTCTGCGGGTAGCGTGATGGAAGAAGGATGGACGTGGTAAAACAGGCAGAAGAGATGTACTAACAGAAAGAGAAAGGGAACGAGAAGACGAAAAAGATTAGAAACGGCAAATAAGAAAGACTTTAGAGAAAAGGCAAAATCGTTTTTAAAGGGGTAGTAGACGCGGCAGAGATTAATACGCAAACAGCAGATAAGAAACAGCAAATAAGAAAAATTTAAGAGAAAAGGAAAAATAATTTCCAAATGGGATGGTAGACGCGGCAGAGATTGGCAAGACGCCGATGATAGAAGAGGATTGAGTGGAATAACCCATGTCCGGCCGAGGTAGCCAATTCTCCGGCAGCACAACCGGCTAATGTCCCGGATTGGCGGCTTTGCATGCGATGCGGTCGGTAACGCCCAGCGTCTCCGTATGTGAAGCGTCTCAGCGTCTCCGTATCTCCGTCTCCAGTGAAGCCGCCTGAGTACACACTGGCACTACCGATAACCCCTGCTAGTCCATTACCCTGGCGGCCCTTACACCCAACCCTCCGCCGGGGATAGGGCCAGCACCCCAATCAGTATGTGCCGCGCTCCTACCTAACCTCACTATCACTTGCACTTAACGGTGAGTAATACATAGCTGCAAGAGAACGGCCGACGATCGGGCATGACCGCTCGTCAACGTTCACCGTCAAACCCGGACGTCCAAGTCACGGAAAATGAACCAATCATTAAGAGTCATAATTCTCGTAGTCTTCCCAATGCCCAATTCTCAATCCAGTAGTCTTGCAAAGGTTTTGCAAGACCACTGGATCAAATGTCCGTAGTGTCTACATTTCTCGTTCCCCGGCGTGACTGACCAGCTGCTGGATGACGAGCTCCACAATCTGCTGGAACGTGTGGTTCGGGTGGTCGCGGTACATGTGCAGCGTCAGCTTTGAGATGATCTCGGTGTCGGTCTCAGACTCGAACACGTGGTTCTTGGCAATCAGGAACTGCTTGATGTCCTTGTAGTTGGTGATGATGCCTGCGCAGGTGACACAGGACAGTTAAACAACTACCACTGGAAAAAGGCGTCACTTCTAGCTTCACCTCTAGATCAGCACTCAGCAGTCAGCTTTGAACCTCTAGCGAGCTACATGCCTGATTCCATTACCTAGCACAAAATCTGAACCTGATCTTACCATATATTACCAGCTGATAAAAATCCACATTAATAAACAGAGCAAAACAGAGCATCCTAACAAAATCGTCAAACCAAAGCTCAGCTGACAGCTCATCGGCTAGCTCAACTGAAAAACCCTTGCACGCCGCAATCTACCCGGCCTCCCTGATCGACTCACCGTTGTGCACACAGATGAACTGTTTGGAGGCATCCGATGGCTGAGGATGCGCGTTCACGGGCGCCGGCACGCCGTGCGTGGCCCAGCGCGTGTGCGAAATGCCGACGTGCGTCTTGAGAATCTCACTCATGTCTTGCTTGTTGTCCTCTGCAGGGTATATGAAGCGTGAGGTCAGGTAAAGTTATAGTCAGAATGGAGCTAGGAGAGATTGGGGTTAAGTAGGGACGTCCAGAGCTAGCCGGTCATCGGTGCCGGCTCACGGTAAGGTTTTTACCCCCGCATCGACTGGTAAATAATGTGTCAAAGACCTGATGCACTACTGTCGTTCAGAACCGTGTTTTGGCAAGCGTTTGTTTGGGTTACGGTTGTGTCTTGTCAGAATGACACGATCTGTGATACTGATATGCAGCTTGTCAATACACATGTCAACCGCGTCAATGATGATGTCACGGTACGTGAAAAAAATCCCGGTGTTCATGGGCGATGTCATGAAGCTCTCCCTAATGCCCCGTTATTTTTATACTGTAAACAGCACACCAGTAAACATTCAACAGAGGCCAGTAATTGCGGTCACTATCGAATGAGCACACGGGTGTATACGGGTAAACCATCTGGTCTGGATACCACCACGCGTCCGCCCCCAATAATCTGACGCGGCATATAAACAGAGCCTGGGGCATGGCATCATCGGATCGGGTTACCGCGAAGGAACGGCCCCAGCTGGGTGCTCTGACACAGGCCAGGACGATGGATTTTAAACCTCTCGTGCAATGGAAAACGTGATATACATAAACGTGATATGAATATGTAGAATGATGCGAGATCACGAGACATGAGACAAATATCAGGCAGGCATACAGCATTCAAAGATCGCAAAGCACTACAAAGTCTTCCGGACCGGTGACAGCTCTGGGTCGTCACCAGAGTATATAGATCACCGTCGTCACCACTCGTCAACTGTAGCTCAACCTTCTAAATGTCCGTCGAGTGAGCCCTCCTGTTTGAATAACGGTGAACTGACTTGAGAAATGATAATAGATTTTCTGAACAAGGGCGGCACGAACCTCGCATACACATGAGACAAAGTTAGCTTCACCCAGAGACAAAATTCCGAAATAAAACTAGGGACCGCGCGCTCGCACTCACCGGACATGATGAGGTCCTCGAGGTTCTTGACCTTGCCCTTGGCCCGGTAGATCTCGATGGAGCCATCCTTTCCGTCCACTCCAACGCCCGCCGAGTCGTAACCACTGCGCAGAGGGGAGGGGTGGGTTAGCAGTTAGCACGCGGGGCTGGTGTGAGAAGGGACAGAGGATAGTTGGCTAAATGGTAAGGACTGGTAACGCACAGTAAAGTCCGGGGAAGTCGTTTCAAAACGGTGAGAAGTTACCGTTGAATGTGTCTTCTTTTCATCAGCATCGATGGAAAGTGTATTAGTTGCAATGGCTCTACCAAACCCTTGGCTTATATTGACGGAAATGGGAGTACTGGCCTTAACAGGTAACTCGTTCATCGTAACAGTACGAGTATCAAGTACGAGAACCGCTATGGCACAGTCGAAAAAAAAGAATATAATGATACGTTATTATCACGGTCCTCGAAGTGATTGATATGAAAGCACACTATCTCAACAAGTAATAGCCAATCGAACGTGTCCATTTGCAGAGCAAATACTCGAAGCAATAACCAATTGAATCACTTCTTGACTATAGTGTGCAGTGCCGGTGAAAGAGGAGTTCATAGCCTAATAAAAACAAACTTGGTTTGTAGCCAGCCAATGAAGCAGGAATGCGATAAGGGCGACCTAACCATACCAGGAAGGAGTGGATCGGTAATGGGTATCGATGAATGCAAATATACAGACCGTAGCAGAGATCCAGAGAGCTCACGTCATGCTCCAAACTATGGTCGGTGCTCAAAGCAATCAGAGACTGTATCGGGACACGAGTACGATACAAAGCACAATGGGAATTTGAGGATGGAATTTCTGGCTCGCTCATTATTCCGTTTTCAATGTGATGGCAGCTATTCTGTGTTCAATTGGGATCGTCCTGTCCGACAAAGTCGGCAGTGAAAGGGAACGACGGAGTCCGTTCAGATTGACCAACACATTGACTTGGCGTGACCACTGATCCATTCTCACGGATAGACATTCGGGCGGCCGAAACGGATTGCGTTACTCTTTAGATTCCTCTAGCTGGCTAAATAAATAATAACCCTAGCCTTCGTCACAGATGATCCACTCGCCAAGGTTTCATAACCGATAACCGACCACGCCTAAAGCCACATTACCGGTAGACGTATCGTTCAGCCAGGGGTGTTTTGTCAAACAGTAAAACTAGCGCAGCCACTGAGCCAGGAGCAGGATTAGAATCAGGATCAGGGACCAGGGTTAGAGGCCGACGTAAGGCTACTCACCGGTACTCCAGCCGCTGCAGTCCCTGAATCAGAATCTGAAACACCTCCTTCCTATCCTTCGGAGTCAGGTGGTTCAGATAGGCGAAAATTCCTGAAACACACAGAGCCGCCCGACATGAGTTTAATACAGTTTAATTGTGGAATAAACACATCTGGCGCGGACCCATGACTAGCAGTAACGAACACCATGTCGGCTGCAGGAGCGCAAGTGGTATAAACATAGCCGCCCCTCAATGTCACACTTCAATGTCAACCTTCCGACACTTATTCGTAAATGCCATTTTATCCAACAGACACATCACATCTTTCATGTCACATTCCCTACCATTCTTTGTCAGGTAATCTCCCGTTCCCATCCCCTCCACGGTCCACCCCCCCCCCCCCCATCCACTGTTTCTTCAGGCGCTCAGCTGGGTGGAAACAGCCCCGCCAAGGTCGGAGGACCGTTCCACGACCTTGTCTGTGATTATCCCAACACCAGATACTTTCGCCACCGTCCTAGCGGAGCCGAACGACGCTTCTCCCCGCACTCAAGGTCTCGGAGCTGTTTTAGGACCCCGCTCACGACGGTTTTCGGCGAGCATTCAGACACAAAGTTGGGAGTTCTCACGTGAATGTCATTCACGCGTCCTTCGTTACTGCCCTTGCGGGGAAACGCCTCACCAGTTGCGGCCTCCAGCGGTCCATCGGAGGGCATCTGGGGAGGGGCGGATCTATCCGCTACCAGACACGCCCCAGACACAAGCCGCTCGGCAGACCGTCTCCAGAGCCACGCCCCGCAGATAATAGGGTACTCAGACTGGGGTATACAGACATACAGACAGAACTGTAATTGTCTGGCGACCCTGAGGATCTAGATGTGATTATGGTGCATAGCATAGGTAAGGAAGTATGTTGGCAAAAACGCGTTTTGGTTTTTATGGATACACCAAAAATGACGGGTTACGATTCTGAAGAATGGTTGAAATTGTTTCCAGACAAGGAAGCAAACAGGGGCAAAAAAGAATACGCCAAATGACGGGTAGAGCAATTAGTAAATGCAGTCTGTTAGATTCCGCACTTAGCCTTCTAAGTTCTAACGGTTCACCGAGGAAGCTAAATCATGCATCAGAGCTCCATTGTTCTTTTAATTAAGATCCAAGACGAGCCCAGCACAGTGACCAGCTACTGGGCGACCTTCACATTAACATTAACAGAACGAGGAACAGATTAAACACGCTGCTCTATCTGGTTTCTAGGCGCGGACACCAGCGGCTGACCTCAAACAAAGGTCAGAGCACATCCCATATGGGGTTAGTAGGGCCCAGGCGCCGACGAACGCCAAAAACCAGACCCATATTGGGTCCAAGGATTCCGGGCCAGCGGGGCGGACACCCATCATTTGTCATACCTAGACGCATTTGTTTACATGGGCGCAATGCGACCTGACCCGCATCTGAGGGCGCGGGTACGAAGTTCAACAAGTTTTTGTACGATCACAGAAACAGGAACGGTCATCACTTGACATAAAAAGCGCAAGTATTTGTCACTCGTTGCTATTAACCTACTTTTACGGTAACGTCTAATTTATTAGCCAGAATCGAAAGACATGCATCCCAATTTTAAGCACCTAATACATGCTTATCAAAGTCACAACCAATTACAGTTTACCACTTACAATAATCTTCTCAAGCACCCTTCAAAGCGCTATGCAAAACATCCGTCAAATTTATCCTAATGATCCAACTAATATCGTAATCAATTTGGAGCTTCAACACGCATGGACGCTGCGAAACTCCGGTGTGATATGGTCCAGCGATGCCCGAAAATATATTAAAATGCGCAGTTTATGTCGCATGATCCAAACCAGTACCACTGCTACCACTGCACAGTGCACGTGCCTTCATTCAATCCAGTGATATCATTCAAATAGTCGGGCAGGCCCCTCAGTACATATGTTCAGCGGTCAAATATTGCGGGGCGGGGTCGATGCTGGACATTGACGATGCCCCATGAAGAACGTGTATCATCCATGGGTGAAACTAAGAGCATGACTTCCTCCAGACAAAGACACCCTCGTCCATCATCTCGTCCGCAATCGAAGTGATGAGCTGTCATTGGTAACAGGGCCATTTGTTCGAGTCATATGGAACATTGCGGGTCGCTGATGTCTTTTCACGTTCCTAACGGTCCAATCGGAATCACAAGCCTTTAGACTCGAGCTAAAACATATCATGTCAGCATCTCCTTACAACCAGTCCGTTGATGTTTACTTAGGCTGTTGAACGCAGCCAGCACCGCCTCCATCCCTACGACAGTTATCAACATAAAGGCACGGTTATCAACCGGCAACAGCACTCAGGACTGACAACTACCTATCATAACAAATAGGGGAGGAGACGGCAGACAGGAGTCGGATACCACTTCAAGGATTAGATGGAGTGGGTGGAGTGGGAGGGGTGGCGCACCGACCATCACCGGGTCACGGAGTTCACCAATACCCCTACCCAGAACTGCAACCGGTACCACTCAAGGGTATCCGGAAAGGCATGAAGACGCCGGGGTAAATTGGACGGATTAGCTAATCGCAGCCATTAAACTATAGACGCCGGGATTAAAACCAAATCACGGGTCCATCAGTGCAGCGTTATCGCACCGGTGGCTCTGACGGAAGTCTGATAGCAAATCTACCGCGGCGTCCGATCAGCGATCACCCAACCGAGGCGTGCACGGTCCGTCTGACCTGTCGGCCACGGAGATAGGGCCTTTGCGCGGTGCCCGGGATACTCGGTCCTGCGGCGGACCGGTGAGACGATAGAATATCGGTCCGGGACGGTAGTCACTGACCATTGATCACCGGTAGATCGGTGGATGATATGAAGCTCTATGACGTCAGACTTCAGAGCGGCTACGTGGGTGGTGGCGGCCCACGCGGTACGAGGTACACACACTCGCGTATCCGGATATGACAAAACAAATCAGGTGCGACGATGACTTCAGTCCGTTTGTACTGAACTCAACTTCAAAACCTCTAAACGAGTCGTTTAGTCAAACGACACTGAAGCGTCCATGCCTCAAACCACGCTCCCTATCGCGCTCCACGGCGTTTCGTGGTGTCCGTTCATCTCAGGCGAGCGCCGGACCGGTTTGACCCGGCCCATGTTTCCCAACGAGCTGCCACAGTGACGTAATATGCCTCCAGTCTGACTGTTGCAATGTGGCGGCGCCGACACCACGGCACCAAGTGAGAGTGGAAGTGGAAGTGCACCTAGGGACCATGGGCCTCCTATAACTCAGAAGGATGTCCACGAGATTGGGATATTAGAAGTCTGAGAAATGAGGTAGTCCTGGGATTCAACAAACATCCTGAAATATGAGTATACACCTACTGGTCCCAATTGCAGCTGCTCTTACTAAAATCGATTCAGAATAGGTATATGACACGAGCCCTAATTAGCGTAAAGTAAACCGAGCAGGTGCTACAGGTGTTACAGGTTAAAGTTCGGTCGACTTGCATCATAGCTTATCAATTTATTGAGTGCTAGCATTCAGCATTACCAATACCCATTGTCAGCCTACGTCCATTTCTTGATGACGGAAATAGGCCTATCCTACGAATGGTAGCATGCATCTTAGAGCGGAATAATAAAACAAAAAAAACTAAAAGCAAGACCACCATTAAAACCGACATAGGCCGTCATTGTAATCAAACTTTCTCACTTTACACTCCGAGAACCAACTACAGCCACGCTGAACGTTTCCCAACTATCAGTCGAATCTTGCCCCAAATCATAAACAGATCGGAATATGTTCCTTTCACTGCAACCCGAGAGGGATCCATAAGCCGTATGGTAGTACAAATCCTCTTCGCGCCTGTCTCCCCGTGGACACTAAACGGACTGTGACGCGAGTGAAGAGACGGTGGAGGCATACCTACACCTGTGCTGCCGTCAGTACGGGAGGGGAAGGAAGAAGGCGGGGACGGGATTGCACCTGCCTAAATGAGAGCAGGTCCCGCCCTCGGAGGCAGGGGTAAGGAGATTATTTTATATAAGTCGTAGGATTCTGACAGATCGTCGGACACACGTGGCTTTCCACACCGTATGCCAGGAGACATCATTTAGTCCTCACTCATCTAAACCAGTGTTTCATCCTTTTGAGAAGCTATGCAAAACAGAGATCCAACCAGCGCACCGCCGGTGGCGACACACGTGAACCTCCTGCTTCGGAGACGGCTCAACACACGGTACAAGACAGCTCAAAGCCGACCGCTGGCGCTGGCGAGAGAAAGACCGGTGCATATACTCCGTAGGAATCCAAAGAGGGAGATGTACCAGCGGGATAATGTTTCTGTGAAAGGATGAGCGGTAGGGACAGCGCGATTGCCGTGAAATCCCGTCAGAGAGGCGCAGACGGTGGCTCAGGGAGCCGATCGGCTAGGAAAGGGGAGGGACGGACAAGGTCGTCCGCGTGCCCGTCTAGGGCGACCGTACCGAACCGGCCCCGCCCCGGGCTGACCGGCGCCGCGTACTTTCACGGGCCGCCGCTGCGGAGACGACCACCTCCCCTCCCCTCCGGTGGAGGGTGGGGGGGGGGGGGGAGAGGGGGGGGGCGTGCCGAGGCCACGCCCAGGGGCCATGAATTCCCGGGAACAGAGCTGGCTGGAGCTGACCGAGCCGGATCGACCAGGGCACCGAGACGTGCACCATGCATCTAGGGGCATATAATCTATATTGCTGACTGGATGAATCAAGGAAAATCCTTTGGAAAACCTAAAAGGCATTTTCAATTTCCATGATTACTTATGGAATCTTAAAATGTTTTGACATGGTTTATTGGCACTACAAAACAGAAACCTGAACCAAAATTTCATTTAAAATGGGAAATTCACCTTGATAATCCTCTGGTGGAAAAACACTGAAGCAAATTATTGTGAGAAGGGAGTATGTACAAATAACCTAATCCCAGTATCATAAAAAGTGACATTTTTATGGCTTAAATGGGAACAGTGCCTAGGCATTTAACTTTCACGCAAATGAAGGGACAGTTAAGCTGAAATAACTTTCAGGCATAATTGGTTTATTATACATAGTAGGTAAATTAATTAACATTATCTATGCATGAGCCTTAATGAATGATGGGGGGGGGGGAACCGAAAATAAAACAAATTCAGTAAATAATCTGCAAAGAATCTGCAAAGATGGGCACATTAATTAATGATGGTTCTAATGTGGAAGCATGTAATTTCTTCACTCTGGTGCTGCTTGCAAAAATATGTAATTCCAATTTCCAAAGTACACTTTTCCTAGGATGTAAGAAATTAAAACTGCCACTTTCTTTTTGATTATCAGAGGCTCTAAGGACAGCTTACTCAGAAAAGGTCACATGGCCAAAAGGTCATGTTTGGCCAATACATTTGTGGCACATACCTACAGCATTGCCCAAAATTCTTCTATTTGACTTCATAAATCATAGGTTTCAATCAAAGAAGTGTCGCACAATGCTGAACCTTTGTCTAAGAGTGATACCTATTATACCTAAATGAGTTCAGCTCTTGAACTGAAGGCACCACATATTTTTTCCACAGAAGAAAATAAAATTAAGTAGAAACACTAATTGTTGCTTAGTTAGGTAAGGATAACCGATAACCGAAAGGAAGTAGTCTGAAGGCCTTGGTCTGAAGTCACCGTTACAGTTAGTGTGCAGAATGCAAATTAATCAAAGTAGTAGAAAATATGACTTAGCACTCACCACACATGATGACAGGCGTCGATGCTGCGCGAAATGAGGGCGGATATCCTCACGGAGCCCGGGTTGCGACTGCTGGCTTCAGCGTGAGACCGGATTCACGAAACCTCGGTATCATGTCTCATGATCTATTATTGCTCCCTGGTTTCCGACCTCAAAGCATTCCTTTTGCTGTTTTATATGACGTCATTTTATCAGAAGGGAATGGCATGGTTTTACCAAAGTGTCTTTCCTATTTCAGGACTTTCAACCAGTTTTTATCCTCAGTTGACTTGAAAAGCAAAAGATGACCTTTCAAATGACGTTTTATGCATCAAAAATAATATTTTTTCGGAAACTTGGTCAACTATCAATGCTTCTATGTGAATGACGTCATTGGCTTTCGTTCCAATTACCGGAACCAAAAAGTATAAACATTTTTGACGCAGGTGCGCAGTATTTGTCTTAGGTTTTCTGATATTGCTACCATATTTTATCAATTTAGAAAATCCTTTCTCTATTTAAGTTCATTTTTGTTTAAATCTCCCTAATTTTGAATATGTCGTAATGAATGTAATTTTTAGATGCAATACTGGATGCAGAAATATTTCAAAACAAATTTTTATTTCAAAAATAGTATTTGGGATTTCTGATTGAATTTCGGTAAAGTAGAGTTTTTCTCCACTGCTCCATACTGCGTTTACGAAAACGGCAAATCCAGCGCAGAGTCGCTGTGAGATTTTGCTGGATTTTGCTGTGAAAATTATGTAAAAATTGGTATATACACTGCCATGGTTGTACTGTCATGTTGGTACATTTCGATCATTTCGATAGTATAGGCTGCAACACAATGTAGGGATGAATTTATTTGAGTTTATTGCCCAAGTTTGTTGAAGCTATCAGCCAATTTTGGTAAGTTTTCCCCTGTTTTCTGTGAGCAGTTGTGACTTTTTTTACTAGCCTTTCCACAGTGCATGGCACTTTCAACATGCTTTACATTTCTTCATCTTATTGACTAACATGACTAACAGGTCCAGACTTCAGGCTTACTGAGGCTGACTCAGAGTCTCGGCTCATTAAAATGTTTCGGGCCCATCAGCCTGAGCCTATGATCGGCTGCTGATGTGGCCTACATAAACAAATTGGTAAAATGCTAGGTGTAAGAATGGTGGATGGTGAAAACAGGGTGCCTGGGGTGTTTTGATCAAGATTCTTGAGTTGGGGGCTTGGGTCTTGTGGCTACGCTCCCTAACCCAACAACAACAACATCAAAGATTCTTAAACTTTTCTTTTGCAGATCATGTGACCAAAATTTTGACTAGTGATTTTGAAGGCATAGGGAGTCGGAGAAGATATCAGGCTGCAAGTAACTGCCCTACAAAAAAAGCAATCCAATCACCCAAGCGGTTCCTGAGATGTAGGTCTCTCAAAAGTATTACTTCAGCAGAACAACTTTAATGCCATTGAGTTTTCACTTGGCACTGGCCACTGCCACCACAATATTCTCCTACGTGACCTAAGAGTTGTCAATTATGGAGCAAAAGGGATGGGCTATCCAACAGAAAAGATCACAGGTTAATCAGCCCCGTGTTTGGAGATGGAATCTTCTCAAAACTCAAACGTGTTACGCGCTGAGCTGGGCCGTACTACTGAGATTTTCTGTTATATTGAGAAGACTTAGCTTGGCTGGCTAGTCGTTAGTAACCATGTGACTCTCAAGGACGCTTAGATTGCCATTTTTAAGGCTGAAACAGACTCTTTCTACGTTAAGGAAATCGCACGCGAGAGCCTATTCAAATATATTATAATTCTTCTCGCATCAATCGCTTGCGGGAGGTGCGTGCGATTGATGCGAGCGTGCTTCCATGTATTTGAATAGGCTCTCGCATGCGATTTCCTGACTGCGGAAACAGTCTGTTTCAGGCATTAGTCTTTTTCAACCTGCATGTATTCTATAGTTTTATTATAGGCAGTATTGGGAGCTTTTGGATTTGTGTGTGCAAGGTCACATGGTAGTTGGTACAGGAGAATTATATTTTTAAAACACTTATATAAACCAATATTTGACAGGTAGATATTTGTTGTAAAGGCCGTAGGTAGGTAAGCACTTGGCAACTTAACATACAATTTTTACAGGCGGAGTGGTGCGGGCCGCAGTACAATAGCGTACCGCAGGCGACGCTGATGCAGAACCTTCTGGTCGAGTTACTAACCAGTTTCCCTTTCGCGCCGCTGGCACCCGAGCCATGGGTGTTATTGGCGGCCAGCAGGGCGCGGCAGGCCCCAGAGCGCCCGCTCGCCTCACTAGCGGCTAGTGCGCTTTAATGAGCCGGACTCAGACTGTAAAACGTGGCAGTGTCAATCAAACAGTGTGCACTGTGGAGTGCGCACTGTTTCACCCAGTTCATTAAACAGGATAGGTGGCAACTGGCAAGAGTATGCCACACTGCCGAGTGGCCTAGACCCAGGGGCCAGGAAGGTAGATGGTTAGAGAAAAAGATGGTTTTTCCGGCGCTTTTAGCCTAACATTGTAATATCCTATCACCACCATGCTGCTGCAGCAAGAGGAGGACCGCCAGTCGCCACCATGTCGGACAGCGACTCGGACAGCGGAGGAGAGGCCGGCGGTGGGGGCGGCATGGACCTGACGGCCGTGCTGTTCGGCAACATAGACAGCTCTGGCCAGCTGGAGACTGACGTGCTGGACGCAGAGGCGCGAGCCCAGCTGCGCGGACTCAGCAAACTCGGTCTGGGCCAGCTGCTGCGAGATGTGGTCGGAGACGAAGCCTCCACCGGCAACACTGGAAAAGGTGAGAAATGTGTTCATTGTTGCTATCTTCCTGTTGCTACCTTTCATTGTTGCTGCCTACCATAGCTTCTGCTGTTTCTGTCTATTGATTTAGAAAAGAAATGAGAAACTATTTGCAAATTCAAATGAAGCATCCATTCAGCTGCATCATTGTTACTAGAAGTGTAAGCAAGAAACAAGCAGTGCCCAGTATGATTTAATTGTCTGCATCTCAGCGATCACAATCAACTTCTAATTTACCCCGGAGTTATGTACCCCCTACCTTCTTCGTCCAGTGACCAGCCATCACTCCCCCTCTGCTGCCTCAGGAGCTGCCGAGTCCGGTGACGCCCAGGAGGAGGATGACGCCCCGGCGCCGGTGCCGTCGGCCACGGCAGTCGACTACTGGGACATCTCCGAGATGGCGGAGGAGGACCTCCGCTGGAACACCGAACCCGGCGGCGACGACGGTGGGTGCAACGGGGACGGGGTGGGGGTACACCCGGGGGACCTCCGGTGGAACACCGAACCCGGCGGCGACGACGGTGGGTGCACCTGGGGACACCCGGTGGAACATGGAACCCGGCGGGGACGACGGTGGGTGCAAGGGGGGAGCGGGGTGCATTGAGACCTAATCTTAACCCACGCTGGATGGGTCGCCAGAACGTTGGTAGTCAAGATGGTTATTTCAAAAGGCGCATGAAGAGAATACTGCAGGGTGTGAAGTGTTTCCTCTATGCCATCCCGCTAGAAGAGTAACTAAAATAGGTCGGTATCGATGGTTCTTTCCGTCATAACATCACGTAATATCGTGAGTGAAAGGCTGGACAGCACCGCAAATGTTTCCGCTGATCCGAGCCGATGTGAATGGTTGTGGTCATTTTTATGACGTTGACCTTCAGTAGCGACAAAATATGCATAGCTCGTCACATTAGCGGCTTCATTTTCCAATAAACTCTCCGGTGTTGGAAAGTGTCGCTCCGACCGTCAATGTTGCGGTAGCGTTGCATGTTTTAGCCTGGAACAGTAATTATCGTGGCCGACCTTTTTTGAGCCTTCAGAGTTTGAGTGAGACAATTTGTTTATTTCCGATCTTGAGCCTTCTTCCTTTTTCCATTTTTCTTCTTTAGGGGCCACCTTTGTAATTAGAAATGGAATTTGTGTTGTAGTCACTGAAATTATGCGATATGCGTATCATTATTTCCTCTAGAAAAATGATAATTCACATGGAAAAGATCATACCATGCGCTAAATAATTTGCGCTGCCAACATCCAACTCTATCGGCTGTTTTTCTATTTCGAGCTATGTGCTGAAAATCCAAGGATGGGCGACAGGCAGGTCCATATTAAGATATCTATCAAATTACTACTCTGTGTAAAACCTCGACCGCTGGGTTTTGCCATCCCCTAGGATTGTCCGACAGCGCAGGGTCTCTGAGGCTGGTCTGACCCACGCCGCTGTGTTTGTACATATAGTAAGTGTGTTTGTTGGTTGTTTGCGGACCCTGGCTTTAGTGTTTTTGTTTAATGAAGGCGGTGATGTCTCAGCCCTAATCAATCACAATCAACACTCGACTGTCCATTACTAGAGCGTGAAGAATCATTTTAACGTTTTAATTGATCATCTCCCACCCCCTCTGCTGAAAAGCCCACAACCCCTCCCCTCCCCCTCCCCACACACGCAATGGATGAATGGTCACAGGGGTACACAAGGTCACTGCACCTGTCTCCAGTCAACAGGTGCGACTGGCTATCACTGAGCGCACACACACGCAGTCCTCTCGGTTATCTCAGATCCGCTGATAATGGTCGAGTCGATCGATGGGCCATTGGTGTTTACCGTCGGCACAGGACTGTGATCTCCCGGCCGGGAAACCCACGAGACGTTTGTCGGGTCTCGGGCGGGGGGGGGGGGGGAGAGAGAGAAGGAGCGAAGATGATGAAACAGTAGATGACGAGATTTGAGCTAGCTACTGCGGAAAACAACACTTTGATTATTTTTTTAATTTTCCGACCTCTTCTTTTTATTGCGGTGGTTGTCTTTGGCGAAATTTAGCCATCGGATTGAAGATGTGAAAATATCGTCCACTTTACTACCTGTATAATTAGCAGTCACTAAATTTATAATTGCAACTCGAGGCATGCCTTTCAGACAAAATAGCTTCCGGTGTCGTCGGTTTTCCTTCGACATCGCCCGGTCAGTTGGGGTCGTTGACCTCGGTTGCGATGACCTTGACCCCGGCCGTGACCTTTGCTGCCGGTGGGCCGCGGTCGCTGACCGGTAGACGGGGTCAGTCGAGTTTGTGGCCGGTGGGTGGGGCGGAGCAGTGTCTCGCACGCTTGTTTGAATCGTTCCCTAGGTGGGTTTGCTGCAAGTGGCTGGAAATGGTTGACTTTGGGGGTACCCATCAATCGTTCATCCATTCACTCAGTCATTTCAGTCATTTCTTTGAAATTTATTTTCGGGACGCATCGGCGCCATTGGTTGGCTGTGGTCGTATTGTAATCGTCAGTGCAATCTTTATGCGATCAGTTCGCTGTGTATATTCGTTCTATTGGCTTTGTTGATGGCTGGCTTAGATCACGAGGTCGATATATTCGCGTTCAGTCGCGCTGTGCCACGAAACATGGCTACGTGTTTTAACCTATCACGGCGCACGCTACCATGCTAGATGTGAAACTATCTTCTCTCCTCTGCAGACTACGACGCCGATGATGATGACGGTGACGAGGCGCGGGACGCCCGCCTGATGCCGCCCCCGCCGGCTGTGGGCGGGGGCGGGGGCGGCTCAACCCCGGCGCCGCCCCCGCCGCCCGCGCCGCCGCGCAAGAAGCAGCTCAACACGCCTCTGGGCGCCATGTTACCGGAGAAGTACGCCAGTGTGGAGATCACCGACCTGTTCCCCGACTTCAGAGAGGATAAGGTGGGTGGCGACGGGGTCGGGTCGAGGAATGAAAGAGATGTCGAAGGGACGGTTGGCGATCGGGCTGGACCATTTGCGGGTGGCGGAGCTCTTAGGCTCATGTATCGTTTTATGCAGAGTTTCTTTTTCTTGTAACCAAACATCGAATGGTAGAAGTTTATTAATTGATTATTTTTTACCTGCATGATATCGTATCGTGCTTCTCGACAGTGCCAGAACTGTTTTCTGAGTTGATTTTACCGTCCGTATAGAATGCAACCTGTTGTGTCACCACCAGCCATTTTACGTCCCCGTCGCGTCTCCTCCCCTCTCTGACCTTCCCCTCCCGCTCAGGTGTTGCGGTTCTCGCGGCTGTTCGGGCCCAGTCGCCAGGCCAGCCTGCCTCTCCCCTGGCGGAACGCCCGCAAAAAGAAACGGAAGAAGCGCCGCGACGATGACGACTCGGACGTGAAGCCCAAGGAGCTGACGCTGAGCTTCGGCCCGCCGCTGCCGCCCGAGCAAGTGGAATCGGATGACGAGGTCAGAGACTGGATTGGGATGGGAGGGTGGTGGGGAGAGGCGCGGCCAAATATGCATTTGACGCCTATTGTTTTCATATATTTATGCCATTCCTGTGTGTTGGCTGTGAGAGTTTGATCTTTGATTCCTGGTGTGCCACTTTTTACGGTCTGCTTTTTGCGATGCATTACATAGTTTGAGCGAAAATGAGCAACAATGCGCACAAAAAAGTTCGTGAATGTTAGGTCGCTGGCAAAACGAGTGTACTTTCTGCTGGAATATAGGAGGGATTCGAACGTTTTTCAAAGATATAACTTATCCATGCTTACCCTTAATCGATCACCTATCAGGTTCTACATTGCCATGAAGTTCCATAAGACTCATCCGGCCCTTTCCCTTCTCCCTCTCTCCCACAGGAGAAACTCCTCCGCCCTGAAGAAGCCCCGGCTCAGGCGCGTCCTGCCACGGAAGAGAAGCCGGCCGGCAGCAGCTCCCCCAAGTCCACCGACTGGCGGTACGGGCCCTCGCAGCTGTGGTACGACATGCTGGACTGGCCGGCCAATGGCGAGACGTGCAACTACGGCTTCAAGGAGGGAGGCGACAAGAATGGCGAGAACAAGACGGAGGTGAGTGAGGGAGAGGAGAAGGAGTGATGGGTAGGTGTCCAGTGCCTGTGGATGTGCCGTCCTAGTTGAGAAATACTGCATGGGATGTCTCGTAATACCCGTCAGGGAATGGCGGGCGCGCTGCCGTCCTAGAAATTAACGTGCAGTGTGACACTGTCACTTTCTCACAGAGTGACAGGGTTCACTGGCGAGGGTCGATACCGTTGTCTCACTAGAGGTGCAACCCCTTTCAGCGTTTGTTAATGTTAGCTTCGGTAACGTGTTATTTCTAACTGCGTGGTAGCTTTACGGCAGATGTGCTTAATTGGTTTTGTCGGCTTGGATCAACACGATAACAGCGAACGGTAAACTTGAATAAATCACCGCCTCCAATAATTTCTTTTGGTAGACAAAACTAACGAGCATTCATGCCGTGTAGCCGCACACGACTTAGCTAGCTGACGTCAATTGTTGAGTCTGCAACCTGCGTTAACCCCCGCTGCTTTGTACGGGGTGCATCGTGTTTTTGACCTACCTGTGTAGCTAAACCGCCCGAGCCTCCCCGTCACGGGGGCACCCACCTCCGCGGGTGGGGATAGGGGGTGTCACGTTTGCATGTTTGTCGTAGGTATGTCGTGTCGTCGGGATGCCCGCCTGGCTTACGGCGTTCGGCTGACGTATACCGCCGCCACCGCATCCGCCAGGAGTGGAAACGATTAAACGGGCAACGCATGTGAAATTTAAATCAACAATCTTGAAAACAAGCCTCGGTCCACTATATTGTAACATGATTTGAAACGTAACCATTTAATTGAGAAGCTTTATTTGGCCGGTCAAATGCGCCATGAATGCCCATGTTTTATCGTTTCTCACCTGATATCCGTCTGGCTACCCGAAGCACCCGGCTCGAACCGGTATCTACCAGATCGATGCCGTTCGAGCCGGTGTGCTCCGCCGCGAGCTCGTGCCGTGCTGCCTGCCGCTACCGCTGCGCGCCGCGCCGGTCTCTGTTGCAGAGGGAGGAGGACGAGGCAGAGTCGGAGGGGGAGGACGAGGCCGACGGGGACCGGCCGGCCGGATCGCTGCGCTCCACCGTCAGTTCTCAGAGGGCTCGGGGCCGCAGCTCGGGGCTCCAGTCTGGGCTCTGCTGCAACTGCTGAATGATCAGCGGCACATGCAATCTGTCGTTTCCTATCAGCTTCAGTGCACTTTATTGGCGCGTTTTTTATTATTTTTTTTTTTTTTGTTCACATCGATACTTTTCACCAATTCACACCGTTAACGCGCTTAGTCATTGGAGGTATTATTTCTTCTTTCATAATGATAAATTGCTTCCAGTAATCATTAATGGCTATACCATGGCTATACTTTCGTCCTTCAACTCGTTGCTATGGGACTATAGAATTGGTTTTTAATCACTTGCTAATAGATGGCATCTTTCTGCTTTGGAAACATTGATCGTAATTGATTTCATTTAACTCGCGATTCATATCTCGCTGTTTGTCGCGCTGTTTCCTCAGCGGCCCCCTGGTATCGCCATCCTGACAGTTTCCCGGTGTTAATCGACCCATCTTACCTGGGGGTAGTTTAGGTTCTTCTGTCGGGTTTTTCACGGTCAATAATGAGCCAATAGAGATTGTAAAAACAGAGGGTCGCTCATTTTCGCGTAATTGATTGCTGAGGGTTGTTTCTGGACGGGACCTAATGAGATCTTCTTGTCATCAGCTTATTGTGCGTTAAAGATTTTCTGCGATATTTAATTTATGAAAACAAACGTAATTGTAATATTGCATCAGCCGCCCAATATCTGATTCATAGCTCATCCAAGACACCTGGAGGCCCGACAACACTGATGCGTATCTCTCCCTCCCCTCCCCCGTCACTCTACCTGAGCGTGTGACTGGAGCCCCTCCCCATCTAACACCTCCCCTCCCCTCCCCTCCTCTCCTCCCCACGCATAGGTGAAGAAGGAGACCTCCTCGGACGGCGAGCAGGGTCCCGAGGGTGACGGCGCCGTCCAGTTCGAGGACGACGCCTACCTGATGGTCACTCAGCTCAACTGGGAGGATGACGTCATCTGGAACGGTGACGAAATCAAACACAAGGTGCGGGGTGCTGTACTTAAATGGGCGACGTCATTAGTGGGGGGTTGTTATTTGTAGACTTGTTGTAAGAGTGCGCGAATATTTTTTACTATCTTACTAGCCCTTAATCATAAAACGAATGACTCGTACAGGATGTTAATGAATCCAGTAACTGGTTATGCGTTATGGTTTGTGATCATGCGCAAATAGTACCTAGAAGTCATTTTTTTTCACTACAGACGATTTAGTGAGCCAATTTAACTGTGACTGTGTTTTTAGGCTGCCCACGCCGTTGATCGTGTTTTTCAGTATTAAATTTATTTCTGCACTACCTATATGTCCGTCTTATCCAAGTCTGGAAGTTTTGCTATCCAACAGACGTAAGAACGGTCCCCGTCATTCCCAAGCTTCTAAGCTTACAATCCGTCCACCTGTCATCTCACGCCCCCTCCGTGTCCCCCCCCCCCCCGCAGGTGATGCAGAAGCTCAACAGTAAGACGAACGCGGCCGGCTGGCTACCGTCGGGATATAACCGGACGGCCGGGCAGCTGAGCCACACGGGCAAACCGCCGGCCACGCCCGGGTTCGCCGCCCCCGCCGGACTCAAAGTCCGACAGCCCACGTGCGTTGGGGCGATGCTGTAGTGGAGAGAGGTCGAGCCGAGAAGGGATGGTATACTGTCGGGCCTGACTTGTGTGTGTGTGAGGTGGTGAGGGGATTGAATTTGGGTAGAGCTCCGAGCTGCGTGTTCGTAAGTAGCTAGATGTATCACTAATGCTGGAAATGAGCTTCCAAAGAAAATTAATGTGATGTTTCTGGTTTCGGTCTATATTTCTATAAAACAACGTCGTCTTAAAGCATATTCATGACATAAACATGCTCTGCTCTGAATTGAACTGCCCCTCCCCTCTTCCTTCCTCTTAGCTCTGGTGACGGCGGCAAGAGTGGCTGGTTCTCCATCTTCCCCGTGGAGAACGAGGAGCTGGTGTACGGCCGATGGGAGGACGACATCATCTACGACGCCCAGGACATGGGCCGTATGCCCGAGCCGCGCATACTCACCCTGGACCCCAACGACGAGAACATCATACTGGGCATACCCGAGGACGTGGATCCGACTGTGGGCAAGGGAGAACGTGAGTGAACGGATGGGGATGGGGCAGAATATGGGGGAGAAAGTAGCTAAAGGCGGCGAGGATTGAAAAGAGAATGGAGAGTGATTAGTAAGAGGAATAGGACGAGAGAAGCGAAAGGCAGGCACGCTGCGCTGGAGGCTGGACTTTGAGTGTAATTAGACACCCTTTACGAGGACACAAAATGATTTTGTGAATATCAATATGGATGACTTATTGCCATTGATTGGAACAGACTGTTTCCTAATTATTTATCTTCGTTATAATGAACGGTCTATCGCGAACACATATTAACAACTCCGTTGTTTCTTTCTTCAGCCGGCGAGCAGCGTAAGATCAAGATCCCTCACCCGCACGTGCGCAAGTCCAAGATCCTGTTAGGTAAGGCTGGTGTCATCACTCACATGGACGAGGAAAGTCCTCCGGCTACCCCGGAGCCCACTGATAAGGATCCGTTCAACATCTCCAACGACGAGTACTACCTGCCCAAGACGACAGAGAACTCGATCAAGATCGGCAGCGCCAGCGGCCTGCTGCAGCACTCCATCCCCGTGGTGAGTGGGGGCAGGGGAATGGTCGGTGGACTTGGTCTTGGGATCGAGGTTAAGTTTGGGTAGAATGGAGATGTTGTTGTTGTTGTTGGTGTTCCCCTCAGGGCCGGCTGGGGCCGGCCTGTAACCCCGTGAGGGGCTCCTTGTGGCGGAGGTAGCCGGCGGCCAAGGCCGCCACCAGCTCGCCGTCCTTCAGTTGCTCTGGTCGGATGTGGATGTTGCCCGTCAGTCGCAGGCGGGCGCCGGCCAGGCACGGGCACCTGAGCAACACATGCTCCGGAGTGTCGGCGCCCTCTCTGCACACGATGCAGCGGGCTGCGGGGCACGCCTTGAGGTTGCACTGCTGGCAGGTCGGGATGGGGCGCCGCCCGATACGGTGCAGATACTGCTCCGAGCGACCCCAGTGCCCGGAGATCTGGAGAATGGAGATCGGGGATAGTGTTTGGATGACTGAAGCCAAGCTGCGTAAATAAGAGAATAGAGCAAAAAAGTAGTTCGTGAATAGTCTCAATTGAATTGAAGTGAAGTCCAGTGCAGTGTAAGCTGGTCCGCCTCCTGTCTCGTTCTTGTTTCCTGATAAGAGTCACAACAGGTAGATATTACCAGGACGTTTCGCCCCCAGACATTATGGAAATCGATTTCTGACCTGCTGCCTGCACCCGTCAAGCGTCACTGTTGTGTCACTTCATCGTCACCCCCACTGCTCCCCGTGACCCGTCTGACCCCTACCCTCCCTCTATCCACCAGGTGGAGCTGCAGGCGCCGTTTATCCCCACCCACATGGGCCCCAACAAACTGCGTCAGTTCCACCGACCGCCGCTGAAAAAGTTCTCCAGCGGACCGCTGGCCAGCAAGGAGCCGGTACCCGTCCACCCGCTGCACAAAAACATCAAACGAAAGGCCAAGGTACGGACGATGGAGAGGTGGAGGGAGAAGAGACGAGATAATAAATGGGAGATTGATAGGGAAGACGCTCTGTGAGTGTCAGGCCATTAGACTGTCAGGCCATTTAGGCCATTAGGCAAAAGACAGAGATCAGCTATAGTTAAGCTGCAGGATGACCTTTCACACGTGCCTTGTCATGCTCGCCAAACTAGATTCATATTCATCAGGCGACCGTAACGCCTTTTCCGTTGATTTTGTGATGCTTGCATTTTACTTTTACAGCCATGTAACACGAATTTCACTTGCCTCGATCTGCCTATGTCGTCCTTTTCTTCCTTGATTTCTGGGCTGCCCCAGTGAACCCCTCGCTACCACCGTCGCCTTTTAACTGCCCCGCTCTATCTGTCCAGCAACGTGAGCACGAGCGTCTGATGTCGGGTGGCGGCGACGTGTTCTTTATGCGTTCTGCCGAGGATCTGACGGGTCGAGACGGCGACATGGTGCTCGTCGAGTACTGCGAGGAGCATCCCGCCATGCTCTCTCAGGTACGACCATTGATGTTGGCGCTGGCAGTGTTGTGTTAGATAAGATTACGAGCGGAAACTGGGCGTTGGTCTGGTCTGGCTGACTAGACCAGACCAGTTGAGCTGTGCGCTTTCCCTTCTCAGTGACAGTGTTATTTAGTGTAATTCAATTGTTGATTTTATTTGTATTTTGTCATAATTGTCCATGAATATAGGATTGTAGCATTGACCACTGCAGCTGGTTTGTCTCCAATTCATGCTCATATTCCTGCTTGCCGTCAGGTGGGCATGTGCACCAAGGTGAAGAACTACTACAAACGGAAGGCGGGCAAGGACCCGGGCCCTCCGGAGCTGCGGTACGGGGAGACGGCCCTGGCGCACACCTCTCCGTTCCTCGGGGTGATGGCACCGGGTAAATGTGTTCAGACGGTGGAGAACAACATGTACCGCTCGCCCATCTACCCGCACAACCCGCCCGAGACCGACTTCATCGTCATCAGAACCCGGTGAGCCGGGAGTGGGTGGTGTTCGGCTGGTCGAAAATGTTGGAAGGGGAGGTCGGAAGGTGGGAGGGTTGTTGCTGTTCCGATGTGTTGGTACTTGATTGTTTAAGGGGAAATAAAGGTTGATATGCAAACCGTCAGTTTTCAATTATTGGATCCATACATTTTATGTAGAATTTCTAATGCCATGTCTATATTCTACAGCTGCCATCTTGGGTACCAATATTTCCTGCGAGTTCCAATCATCAGATTTTGTATACGCTCATGCAAACCGTGACGTTTCCCCCACCCTCGTCCCACAGTCAGGGCTACTCGATCCGCGAGGCGGACGCCATGTTCACTGCAGGCCAGCAGTGTCCGCTGTATGAGGTGCCCGGACCCAACTCCAAGCGGGCCAACAACTTCACCAGGGACTTCCTGCAGGTAAGACGACTAGTTCCCTACGAAAAGACGCTGTTTTTCTGTATGACAGCAATCCACCTTAATCAGCTCCTTTTTCGTGAAACAACATCAACAGGAATGATTCCATCTTTGTACTGTCGTTGTTCGCGGTATCCTCTACTTGTTTGCTTCTTCACTATGCCATTTAGATCACGTTAAGGCCCTGCTCACATATCGTGCGTTTCCACAGGTATTTATCTACCGTCTGTTCTGGAAGTCCAACGACAACCCGCGCCGTATCAAGATGGAGGTGATCAAGAAGGCGTTCCCCCACCACTCCGAGTCCTCGATCCGCAAACGGCTCAAACCGTGCGCCGACTTCAAACGAACTGGTCAGTCGGGCCATCAGCTACTGTCCTACAGTATCAGCTCTGTGCATTGTGAGGCGAAGAGTAGTCGTGTGTTAGAGTGGGAAGGGACTGGATTTTTTCAGGTGGTTGGATAAGCATTGAGGATGTGGTAGGCTAACACGCTGATGCCTGGTGATGGTGCGGTGGCCCGTCTCATAGAACAGTTTGTGTGTTTGATGATATTTGAAGTGCATTGGCTGGTGTTTGGATGGTTGGATATGCTGCGTATAATGAACACTGACGCCTGTTTGAACTCCGTCTGCAGGAATGGACAGCAACTGGTGGGTGATAAAGCCCGAGTTTCGGCTTCCGACGGAAGAGGAGATCCGGGCCATGGTATCGCCGGAGCAGTGCTGTGGGCATTTCAGGTGGGCCACCTCCGTCACAGCTTTGTATATCGATCAGTTTCTGTTTATGTTTCAGCTTTATTTCTTTTCTCTTGTTTATAAGAATTTCAATCTAATTACGATATTCTCCCTTGATTCATGACTTCTAACAAAGTGGCTAGCCATAACCGATCAGTCACAATCCTCCTTACTGTCCCGACTGACCCTTCCTGACCTCAGCTGACTACAATGACCCCCGCCAGCCTCCACTGACCCTACCCTGCGCCGTGTTTCCAGTATGATTGCGGCCGAGCAGCGTCTCAGGGACGCCGGCTACGGTGAGAAGTTCCTGCTCACTCAGGGCGACGACGACGACTCGGACCTCAAGATCGACGACGAAATCAAGGTAGGGAGAGAGACAGTTTACTTCGAGGAGGAAAAGAGTGGGAAAGGCTTGGCGTACATTTACCAAAGCTGGTTTTCAAGATTCACCTGGGCGTAAATTTAGGCTGACGGGTAATTACTATTGGCTGGTGCCTTGTTCTATTTGAGAGGCTAAAATTGCAAATAACTAAAAGGTTTTTGTCTGGCCTCACACGAAGACCACGCTGCTGTAACTCTCTGACCGCACGTTTCTTGATGTGGATCCCTGACTGATCCGTCGTCCGTCCCTCGCAGGTGGCGCCGTGGAACACGACGCGCGCCTACATCCAGGCCGCCAAGGGCAAGTGTCTGCTGGTGCTGGTCGGCACCGGCGACCCCACCGGCTGCGGCGAGGGCTTCAGCTACATCCGAGTACCCAACAAGCCCACCCAGAACAAGGAGGAGCAGGAGTCACAGCCGAAACGCATCGTCACCGGCACTGACGCCGATCTGCGCCGGTTATCGCTCGCTAACGCTAAAGCGCTACTGAAGAACTTCGGCGTGCCGGATGAAGAGATCAAGAAGCTGTCTCGCTGGGAGGTTATCGACGTAGTTCGAACGCTGTCCACGGAGAAAGCCAAGGCTGGTGAGGAGGGCATGGACCGGTTCTCTCGCGGTAACCGGTTCTCGATCGCCGAGCACCAGGAGCGGTACAAGGAGGAGTGTCAGCGGCTGTACGAGCTGCAGAACCGCGTGCTCGCCTCGGACGAGGTGCTCTCCACGGACGAGGGATCCTCCACGGAGGAGGAGAACGATGACGACATCGAGGAGCACGGTGAGTAGCGGACGATCCGACGATGGTAATGACACGCGTTTGGTGAGTCGATAATCCGGTGGCGAAGACAATGCGCAGTGGTCATGCGGGAGGGGTGCAATTGTGATTCGATGGGCCTTCTTTAACCGTTCTGGCGTGATTTCCAATGCTTGACGTCGAACGCAACGATGTTTGCTAACGTGGTGGTCTGCGATACTTGCCGTTGATTTAGCTTCACAAAGGATGGGCGTGGCTATTTATTATTTTTCTTTTGCTGAATCAAAAGCCAAGAATCACATCACTGTTACCATCTTTAACTTCACCTTCTCTCTCCATTCACGGTTATCCCCGCCAGGTCGCAACATCGAGAACATGTTATCCAACAAGAAGACGTCGACGCAGCTGAACATGGAGAAGGAGGAGCGGGAGCGACGCGAGCTGCATAAGATCATGATGGGCACCGCCGGACAGGAGGACGGCAAGGAGACGGGCAGGGAGGGCAAGAAGGACAAAAGAAAGAAGGGAGACGATGACAGCTCGACCGGTAAGAGACTGGAAAGGCTGGAGGCGTGAGATGGGCTAGGTTTCTGGCCTTAGGACACGTAAATGTTTATAGCAGTTTCCATGTGTTGTGGTTTTTGAGGCATTGGGGCATATCAGTGTTTTACGATAAATTGGTACAAGCTGTCTGTCGTCGTCTTTATAACAAAATACTTCTTGCCGCCTAAGATGTTAGAACGAAAAGCTTCAGAACGAAAAGATTAAGGCACACACCCATTGCTGCACCATTCCGCTCACTGACCTCGCCACTACCCGTCTCAGGTCGAGTGCTGAAAATCATCCGCACATTCTGTAACGCCGAGGGCGGCACGTACACCCGTATTGAGACCGTACGGAAACAGGCCGTCATCGACGCCTACCTGCGCATACGGACCACGAAGGACGACGCTTTCATCAAACAGGTACGGTTGGCGGCATCGGTAACGATGTATTATTTTGTGATACTGTTTTTGCGGATGAATGGGCAGATATAGTTGGGCTAATCCTGGCTGCATTTGTGACTTAGGTATAGGTACGATTTGATGGTTGAATAGCTATAGCTGTTTTTTTTTTCTCGATCTATAGACATCAGTCACTTGCGCTATATTATTCTTGGTCCGGCTTCCCAAAGGAAACAAACTTTCTACTTATTTCTGGGGCTAAATTTACATTTGGCCAATAGCGTGCCTTAAAAGTTTTCTTCCTTGCCTATGGCCGTTCATACGAATATGAAACTAGCTTAGCCTGTAACTGGTTTGTTTCAACATTCATCCCAATCATATTTCTGGAACTAACCTCCTGACGACGACTGTTGTGTTTGTGTGTCTCAGTTCGCGGGTCAGCTGGACGAGACTCAAAAGGAGGAGATGAAGCGAGAGAAGCGGCGCATTCAGGAGCAGCTGCGGCGCATCAAGCGCAACCAGGAGAAGGAGCGGCTTGGTCTCAGTCAGCAGCCGCGCACACGCAAACCCAAACTGAAACCCGACCTCAAACTCAAGTGTGGCGCCTGTGGCCAGGTGAGAGATGGAGAGTCATGAGGGACGTATGGGAGGCGCTGGCGAAATGTGTGCTCTGGAAGGGGTGTTTTGGTGGGTACGGGGGCTGGTGATGTTCGTCCCTACGAGCTCATCCTGCTAGTGTGAGGTGGATTTGTTCTATAAATTTGTGTAATGCCACTCCGGGGAACGTCACAGACCACTAGAACAGGCATTATCTGTTCGAGTTATATTTATTTTAATATCCATTGTGCTTCACAGGCCTCTTCAAGCTCATGCCATTTGAGTCACACTTATCTCCAGTCTGTTTTATGCCATCGTCTGACCCCTCCCCCGCCCTCCCTGTGTCACCAGGTGGGTCACATGCGGACCAACAAGGCGTGCCCGCTGTACCAGGGCTCCGGCGGACCGCAGCCCTCCAGCAATGTGTCGCTCACCGAACAGGACGACGAGGAGGACTCCGTTCGGCTGGATGTGCCCGATGATGAGGAGCTGATCAATGTCGATGGGACCAAGATCAAACTGTCCGGGAAGGTCATAAAGGTGAGAGATGTGTGCGGGAAAAGGAAGGGACAGTGAGGTGGTATTGCTTGGGGTGGGATGTTGATGAGGGTGTGATGAGATTAAGAAAGCTGATAAAAGAACGGTAAGGTGGTGTATATTGTGAACTGTCGCTGTACAAACAGTCACTGCAGCCATATGACAGTGTTACTGGATCCAGTCAGCCACCCAAATAGTCATCCCAGTTTTTACTGTCACATTCTCACTCGCCTTTCGCTCTACTCTCCAGCAAGCCGAGGAGCTGAACCGCAAGTCGATGATGCTGCGTACCCCGCGCGAGGGCGGCTCGGGCCGGCGGCGGCGGCGTGGCCAGGAGCACTGCGACTACCTCCACCACCGGCAGAAGACGACCAACCGGCGCCGGATCGACCCGCTCATCACCTTCAGCACCATCCTGGAGGGGATCCTGAACGAGATGCGGGACATGCCGGACGTCCAGCCGTTCCTCTTTCCGGTCAATGCCAAGGTGAGACGCGATGAGACGGGCGAGGGAGAGGAGAGGTGGTTAGACGGTGGGGTAGAAGGAAGAATTTGACGGCTCTGGGCCGGCTTACTAATCGATGCTCGTGAATTACACTCTAAGTTGCTCTATTTTCGTTTTTTTCATTTTCTTGCACATCGTTGGCGTTGAATGATGCACGTTTGTCAATTCGCCATGTTTTATTTTCCTGGTCATCCTGCAGTGGCGATTGACAGCACGTATTTTCAATCATTCGGAACTACTTTCTTCTAACCCCACTTCGTCCCCTCTCTCCAACAGACGGTGCCCGACTACTACAAGATCATCCAGCGTCCGATGGACCTGCAGACGATCCGCGACAACCTGCGCCAGAACAAGTACCAGAGCAGGGAGGAGTTCCTGGCTGATGTCAGTCAGATCGTCGAGAACTCCAAGCTCTACAACGGCGCCAAGTCGGTGCTGACCCTCACCTCGGAGAAGATGCGGAACCACCTGATCGACTGGTTTGCCGAGAAGGAGGATAAGCTTATGAAGCTGGAGAAGGCCATCAACCCGCTGCTGGATGATGATGACCAGGTGAACTAGCTGCAGAGCGTAACTCGGGATAGCCACCATGGAAAGGATGACCTATGGATTTTTCAGTGTTGGGACGTTTATTGTTCCGATGGTGGTTGTAAAAGAACGAACTTTTCTGTTCTATGACGTGTCGGTCTCGAGTATTGCGTCACACCTCATTAATATTTCGGCGATTTTTTTCGCGAATTTTTACGTCTAAAAAAGTATGCTTCATCGCACTGAGCTATGGCTGGGGTCGATATGATCTGTGCCATATCAGTGAAGCAAGACAACCCGCTGTGACGTGACCAGTATCGACCTGATCTAACCTGCCCCATTGACCCAATGTCACCTGTTTGACCACAGGTGGGTCTGACCTATATCCTGGAGCGGATCGTCAACGAGAAGGTGAAGACGATGCAGGAGTCGTGGCCGTTCCTGCGGCCCGTCAACCGCAAACTCGTCAAGGACTACTACGCTGTCATCAAGCACCCTGTGGACATCGAGCTCATCGAGAAAAAGGTCAAATGTAAGTGAACTGCTCATACCCCTGGCTATCCCAGCATTTCATGCGGGTAAGTGCTATGAAAGCTTGCTTTCTCGAACTCAAATCTGTCTGCTGTTGGCATTTTGCAACAGCAAAATGGAAAGATGAGGTCCCGTCGTCTCATCTATGAAGACGGCTGATCAGCGTTTTGCTTATATGTGTCGCCGACTCTGCCCACAGTGCACAAGTACCACTCGAGTCGGGAGTTTGTGGCCGACTTTGAGCTGCTGCTGGAGAACTGCATCACCTACAACGGCAAGGAGTCGTCGTTCACAGAAAAGGCCCAGGCGCTCGTCGATGCCGTCAAGTCGACCGTCGAAAAGGTAGGTGGATGACCATTGACCCAGCTGTCGGGCTGCGGCGCTACGGACTTTGGGTTGACAATTTCAATCCAGGATTGACATTGAAGATGCTCTTAGTTGACCTCCCATATCAGACAGAACATATTGTGGGTTGTAAAACTGTGTTTAAAAATCGCATCAGTATGCAGTGGATGAGTATAGAGATGACCGTCATGGCAGCCTACAGATTGTCATGGAAACCGAAATCGCTCGCCAGCTTGTATTCGGTGCTAATTTTGGCCGTACTTGGCCGTACATCTCTAACTAATTAATGAGAGAATACTGTCATATATCTGACCTCTTTCCCCCTCGTACAGTACGAGGACGACCTGCGCAGTCTGGAGGCCAACATCGCGGCGGCGCAGCAGCGCGCGCTGGATAACGCCGACGCCGACTCGCTGGGCACGGGCTCCATGCTGATGGACGACGAGTCGCACGTATCAGAGAGCGGTGCCGGTGACACGGGAGAGCCGCCGGCCAAACGCAGCCGCACTCTCGAGCAGGGTGAGTGCGGGGGGGGGGGGGGGTAGGGGGAGGAGGGCGCTTAGGATGATTGAAAAGGGGGAGAGATAGTGTCGAAGGGTTAAAATCAGGCATCAGCTAAAAGTGAATGTAGGGTTAAAAGTGGATGTAGGTATGTGTTGATTACCTTTGGTGGTGAATGTTGTGAAAAGCAAGCTGGCTTGGGTGTGTGGCTCGTTTTTTTAGGTTCGTGCTTCCTACGTATTTTATTTCGGGCATCATTGCTGTCGCCCGACACATGCCACCGAGACCTGTGCAGGTGGCGACCCTCTCGCTGTCGGAGCGTCTCGGCTTATCATCTCACCCTCTCAGCTCTCTCCCTTAATTTTGACGTCCGCCCCTCTGTTTCTCCGCAGACCTGGAGTACAGTGACGAGGAGGACCACCCGGGCGGCAGCCGGATGGACTCCCGGGACGACATGGACGCCTCCGACGCCGGCAACGACGAGCCCATGCTGCTGGAGCTGCCTCCCGAGCAGGAACACGGTGAGGAGAACTGCTGAAACGCTGGACAGGGTGATGGCGGGGAGAGTTGGTAGTCAGAAGGCAGGAGTAGGACAACTTGACTTACGTATTTTTTGGGCGGTAGGTATGTACGACATGACAATCGGACAGCAGCACCATAGAAGTTTAGTTGAATTGACGTTGGTGTGTTGGACTTGCATCAGTCGACATCTTTTGGCAAATTGCGGCGAGGATGGGACATTTGACCGTAATTTTATTTACCTTTGATTTTTACTCGTATCTAAAAAGTGTCCCTCGTGATCTTAGCGTCACGTGAACCCTTTCATGCGGCACAGCTGAAACATGGAAGGGCTCGTATCTACGCCGCGCGACCATGCCTTACGTTGGATCTGCATGCCGCCAATACATATGTATGTCCATGTCCGCTCCCTGCTGACGTTTGCCTCTCCCCCCCCCCCCCGCCCCGCAGACACTGAAGAGGACGTGGACCCCAGCTACGACCCGTCGGCGTTCCTGTACGGTTTATCGTCTGCGCGTCAGACCAGCCGTCCGCCGGCGCCGACAGACGGCGCTGCCAGCAGCCGCATCCACAGTGACCTGCAGGTGAGCCAAGGAGGGGACTCTGATGGTTGGTGTGGCATGAAAGCCGCGAGAACAATGTGTCGGTGTGGCCAGCGTTTCTCGAAAACTTTTAGTTTAGTTTACTTTATTGACATTACCAACGGGCAGACACCCAATGAAGTCATACGATAAAACATATGATTTTAGGACAGGTCGATGATTATATCCGAGAGAGAAAAAATCGTTCCCGTACTTCAATATCAGCTGCCACTGCGTGCAGAAGTCGTTAACCTCCGCAATAGCCATCATTGTCTTCCTTCCGTATTCACCATACTAAGCGCCGCTCCTATACCCGTCTCTCCGACAGGTCTCTGACAGTGACGGTGAGGAGGACGAGGGCCGGGGCGGCGCCGGGCCGTCCGAGCCCACTGATCCGGACGACGACGGCGCACTCTACTTCTGAGGAGCAGCACCGCCGACACGCGTACCGGTGGGCTGTGGAGGGGATGGGACGTTAGGGGAGGGGACGGTGGTAGATATTTGCACGCCTTACTGGGTGTGCGCTGTCCCTGCGTATAGTGTGTTTTTCACATGTGTGCCGCACTCGTGCTATGTATGATGCGTGTACGTACATTGCGTTGTGAATGGGTGTGCATGTGACTCATGTCATGCAAGTGTTGTACGGTCGCTCGACATGTTCGTTCATTGACTGAGGCATTACCGTCCGAATGATGCGATGGAGTGGGTTCACCAGGTCCTCTGGGGCTCCCATTCCACGGGGCGGTTCGTCTCACATCATCGTGTGTGTCCTGGTATGTTCAAACGCTGGACCTGTGAGCGGTCCCTCACTCGGCCCGTCAATTCACGACATTGTCAGGGGTGTGTTGATGGTCGTCAGGTCGTGCTACCTGTTGCAGCGTACGTTATCGAAGGATGACGCGTTTTGTACAAACATCATGAATAAGCCAACTCGCCAAATTAATAAATGATGTTACGGTGGACATTATATTTTCCTGGAACATACAAAAATGATTTAACATCATGGGAGTTGCTCTTCCCTTAGCAAGCTCATGAGTCGGTATTCAATGTCAGATTGCACGTCGACGTACTACGTGCCATTCGTGCCACTTCAGCCACCCGAACTTAAAAACGCATCCACTGAATTGAACTGAGCTAACATTGTGAACTGTTTCTTGCAAACTTGTTGATACCGTTGACCGTTCACATTTCCTGGTGTTAGCTAATGAAGTCAAGCGTTGTGTTACAAAATTAGACCGAGTTCGTGCGTGAAGAAAAATAATTACAGCAATGAAGTTAGAATAAACTTCATTTCAAAATATTCACCCGGTGCAAAAAGGAATGACCTCAGACACTGTCGTACCCATTTTCACACTGTGACTGTGTGGAATCCACTGTGGACTGTAGAATCGCTGTGGAAGCTTGGCGGGTCCGATATTACTCTGTGGTGCGGCGCTAGACTCTCTGTTCCCACATCGGCCCCAGCCGAGGAGGTGGCTGGTGGCCACCCTGCCCCGTCGGCGGGGCGACCACCGTTCCGAACTAAATTCCCAGAGGGCTCCGATGCAACCGGAGGCCACCTCCGTGCGGTGCAGTTTAGCTATTGTCTACAGTTTCTGCGATGGACGAGGAAGTGAAGTGAATTTAATTGCTGCTTTGTGGTGTACTCTTGCATGCATCGATGAGTTCGAACTTTCGGGAGAAATACGCCACGCGGCGCACTGCACGCAGTCTCACGCCTGTAACGCATTCTGCTCCGATCTTCCGTGAATGGCAGCGTAGTGCATGAGACCAGATGTAATGCATATAATAGATAACGAATTTATATCTAACTTACAACCGCGATGCGAGTTGTTGGCGGTAGAGAACTCAGAACTGCCATTTCCCGGTCTATCGGTGCGTAAGGACGCGTTACTGAGAACTGATAATTTATTGAGCAATTATTTAGCATTATTTTATATAACTCCGTCGCCCCATGGAATACCTACCTCTCCCGTCGGCGATCTCAGAAAATAAGCAAATAAACAGTGTTCATTCAGTATACGTCAGGATTGCTGTACCAGCGCTATTATCTTCCGATCCATGCGAACGATTGGAGATTACGCTGAAAAGTCGGCCTAAACCTTGCCCTCGATTTCGTTCCACACCCCTCGGCTTATACTGAATCTCCCCTGCGAGGTGCTCGCACAAACCGCCGGTATGACGCAGACGGCTCTCGGCCGCCGGCTCCGTGCGGGGTCCGGGTCGGGGGAGAGGTGGCCCCCGCGGCCGCTCGCCGGCCGGCCCGTCGGACCGCCGTGGGCCGGCCACTTGTTACGCGGGCCGCCGGCAGACCGGGCCGGTGCCGTGACGTCACAGATCAATGCCCGGTGCGGGCGCCGGGCACCCCTGCGTTTGGCGCGGCGGCGGGCGCGCCGCACCGCCGGCCGCACACGTCTGTCGTCGCTGGCGACGGCATGGACACGGGAGGATCGCCGCAGCCACTGGAGGTCAGTACTGACCAGCGGTCACGGGGTCACGGGTCGGGTTCGGCTAGTTATGGTGCGGTCGGCCGGGGGTCACGGCGCTGGCTGCCATATTGCCGTGGGTGGGTTGGGTGAGGGGGAGGGGAGGGGTCGGAGGGGGTGTTCCGTCAGCTGACTCACCTGTCACGGATGACGGATGAATCCCGGGTTGTACCTTATAACGTAAGGAAAAATGTGGTAAAACGCTATTTAATCCCATGTTGGCGTGAGATGTGCAAAATGTATTGACTTTTTCACTCTCAGGGTACTTCTGTCAGAGTTTATTTTATCTATTGGACCCAACGGTCGTCTTGTGAAATGTGACCCTCGAAGCCATTCTGTTAAAATCGGGCCCTTGCATGAGACAGCGCGAAGCAGGCTTTTATGTATGTAACTTACGATATAGCGTTTGCTTTCCGGTACCCTACGTATGTGTCAAATACCGAATAAGTGCCCTTCAGCTTCATGGCCACGCGCGCATTACGGCATTACTCAAACCCCGGGATCTCCCAAGACGAGCGACTGCCGACTAACCGGTACCCGCCACCCGGTAGATACCCTTGTGTAGATATACCTACAGGGTGTTTCACTAAAAGTGTCAAAAAGTAAATGCTTATTAAAGATATATTAAATACGCAAAGCACGTGGTTGCGCACGTGGCTTTGTTGCAAATTTTTGGACATTTATGCTTTGGCCACTTAAGATATATTTTACACTCATACGGAGCGAGGGCCGGAGGCCAAAGTTACTAGTCGTTTTTTTTTCCTTATACAGAACAAGAACAGGTTATTTACACCGCAACAGGAGCGGTGGATTACATTTACATTTGGTGCTATCAGAAACATTGAAACCGTACGCCGACTTTTCAGGAAACGTTTCACTCTCTCACCTCGCTACGACCCAGATTATAAAAGTTTCAAAGGGCTTCTTGAGAGGTTTAAAAGGGTTCCTTTGATGCCGGTTCCAGTCCAAAAAAAAAGGCGGGTCGCCCCCACCTCTCGGCGGAAATCGTTGAAAAGGTCAGGGTCTTTTTTAGGGCCTTTAAAGATAACAAGAAGCTTATTTCAACATTAAAAATAGCCAAGACCCAAATTTATCAGAAACAACCACTGTAACGGCTGTAGCCACCAAGAACTGGCTGGACCAGAAGTTCCGTTCCCTGGCCGAATAATCAGCTGCCTCACCGCCCGCCCCTGACCAGCGCGAGGCCCCGATCTGTCACCGCTAGCCTTCTGGTTTTGGTCAGTAGCTCTCGCAGAGCTGAGGAAGACTTAAGTCGCATCACTTTTGGAGCTGAAGAGCACAATGCAAGGCTTTGCCGACAGTCTGGACGCTGATGATGAAAACGGGCTTTGAGGCACCTCCGGACACGTGCCGAAACGGTGCATCAAAAGAAGCGGCGGATATGTGGAATAGGTTTGAGTGACGGTGATATCATTTTTATATATTCAAATGTCCAACAATCGCGGATGGAATGATGTGCAAATGTCCATAGAAAACATTGTTATTATGTGCATAAGTGCCTTTTACTTTTTGACACTTTTAGTGAAACACCCTGTAGATGTAGGTAATAAGGCAGTGGTACTAGCACCGTCTCTGAGCTTAGGCAATAAACGTCGTTCATTGGTCACGTCGGCGCAGCGCTTGGTCGGTCTTATGCATTGGGTCGGCGCCATGCATGTTACGGTAATGGCGACGGGTATGACTTTTCAGGTAAGTTGCAGCTCTAGTTCGTATAGCGCGGGAATGCCGAGTCGCACGTGCTGTCGCCGGAATATAAATTATCCTCGCGCGCGAATATTGTTGTGCTTCGTTGTGATTTAGCCAGATTTAGCAAGCAGTGGTTATGGCGCGCTCATTTTATTGGCCATAATCAATTTATATTTAGTATTTGCGACCAGGCAAAGGTTCGCGGATTCGGAGTCATAAAGTGACTGAGGTTCGAAGTCATAAAGTGAACGACTTTCAGTTCACTTATCCCATGTGTTGGAGTATGTCTCAGACTCGGAGTAGCAGACTTTCTGTGATCATCGAAAAAATGGCTCGCGTAAGTAGCTACTTGCGTTTGTGGCTTCAGCAAATATCTTCATAAAATTTTGCAGTCGCGAGATGGTCATCAGTTTTGAAAATTGGTGGGAACGGTAAGGAAGGGTTGGGCTTTGGTGGGGGAAGAGGCGTTATGATTATACCTAAGAATGGGTTCACTTTTGCCCTAAGATGAAGAGGGCCGCTAAGCTATATGCTTTGTACATACACAGACGTAAGACGTTTACACGAATATGCCTTCTTCGCAGGAAAAGGAGCAAACTAATCGGGCCCAAACAATGCTGGACGAAATATCGAGGAAAGGAGGTAAGAAGCTACGACTTCTATAGACAACTGGATGCCCTGTCAGACTAGTCACTGACCGGTCACCGGTCAGTGACTAGTCTGACATATGGATTTATATTTATATGACCTTTATATATGGATTCATATATAAAGGTCAGTGACTAGTCTGACAGACAAGTCACTGACCTAGACTAGTCGGTATTTATTTACTTTAGGTCCGCAAAACAGAGGGGTAAATAAAAGTCATTCACACGATACTCTAAGACCTCCTGATTTCATTTCTGATACTTATTCCTTCTAGAAACCAATTTAAAAGCACCAGTACACTAGTATCACCAGTATCACCACCGCCGGCCCCACCTCCGACCGGAACTGCACGTGTCAAAAGACCGTCTGCGCGGCGCACCCGCTACAAATGGTCCAACCAAGGTTGAGCGAAATTACGGATGATAATAAATTGTAAGGAAAGTGACGTCAAAATAATCGAGGCGGAGCGGTGCAGTGCCGAAGGCAATGCCTTAGGAGAGATTACAGGCAATGGTAAGTCAAATATTTTTAGGTTAAGTGGTTGTGTATCTGGCTTCAGGCCGAAGGCCTGAAGCCTGATGCATAACCACTTAACCTGAAAATATTTGACTTACCATTGCTTGCAATCTATTCATGCAAGTCACTTTTTCCTTTTCCCCCAGTAGGCAAACATCAGTAGGTCAGGTTAGGTAAGGTTTGGTTATGTTCTGATCATTTTTCTCATGCTCTATTAGCTTTGCTAAATATATTCTCTTTTTTATTCACCGTTTTTCTTGTGCTTTGGTATTATGACGTCATTTTCATAACGTCGAAAACTAATGAATATCTGCATCATTTTTTTTCTTTTATAGGGCAGCGTTGTATGTTTCGTTTTTGTCGCGGAAGCGTGCTTTCTTCAGTGCATATTGTGCAGCAGTGCGGTGTAATGTGCTGGGGTTTTAGTATCTTATTTTACATTTTTGATGCATATAAGCATCATATCTGAATTCAGGACATCAAATAGTGTAAGAATGTGCATTTTTTCTTGTTAAAATAGTATTGCGGACCTAAAGTAAATATTTACCGACTAGTCACCGGTGCCTAGACCGTGGTGCAGTTTTGCGAACGTCACTCGCTCTCCACACAGCTCCTGATCCAGGGCAGTTATTTATTGCAATTCGCGGATTCATAACGTAAAGGTCTCCCATTTGATATGGCGGGGAGGGGGAGAGGACGAACATACCTACTCGAGTACTCACTAGTGACCTAGTCACTACTCAATACTCATGTTCTCCGAATTCCAAAACTCTATATAAACCGCTTTTTCACTTTTTCATTCCATGTTTCACTCCAACGCTTTGCTGCGCACAGGTGTGCAATTTAAAACCGCCGTACGATTCTCCACCTGCGGCTACTGCCCACCTAAATTGTGATGCCTTTTATCCAAGTTTCGGCTACAAAGCACAGTGGCGGCTGCGGTAGGCAGACCGACCGACCGGCCCGGTTCCTCCCTCCCCTCCGCTGGCCGCGGGGCAGCGGCAGCCGGAGCCCGGAGGGGCTGGGGTCCACCGCTGCGCGTCAGGGGCCTGGGGCGGTCGACTGAGCTGGGGTGGCCGGGGGGATGGCTGCTGGGGCCGATGTCGAAGACTTGGGGGTGCCTGAGGAGCTTGGGTCGACGAGGCTGGGCTGTTAGTACCGTAAACAGGGACGGCTGCCGGAGCTGGAAGGGGGAGGGGCCGGGTGACGGGGCGGCCGGTACCGGAGCCGCTGTGCCTATATACGGTGAGCGGCTGAATGCCTGAACGGGCCGCCGGAGCTAGGGGCTGGAGCTCTGCTCAGCTGGGTACTGGCTACTGGGGCTGCCGCTGAGCCCGGGTACGACGCGGGGCGGCGGCGGAGCAGGGGGCTGGGCGCCGTGGAGGCCTGCCGCCGGAGCTGGCCAGTCGGCCGGGGGCCTCTGCACTCTGTCGGGGGGAGGGGGGGGGGGGGCTGCCGGAGCCCCTGTGCTGTTTGCGAGGCCGGAGGGAGGGGGAGGGGGGAGGCAGGCCGCCGGAGCTGGGGGGCGCCAGCCGCGCTCGGCCGGGGGCGGATCGATCGCCCTGGGGTGTCCGACTCCGCCACCGCCGATCGCCGGCACAGTTGCCCGCATTATGGCCAGTCAGAGATGGACGCGTCTGCTGGGTCCGGCCCCACGCACCCGGATCCTCTGACAGCGCAGATGCGGTCCGGAATGACAGAGATCTGACGGGAGCGGCTCGGTGCGAGCTGGGAGCGTCGTGGGTGGAGTGGATCGGCGAATATGGCGGACTGACCCATGGACTGTCATTTCTGATTTAGCATGGACTGTCATATCTGGAATTGCCACTGACGGACACAACAACTGAGAGAACTGATAGCATCACGGATCCGTAGGCAGTGGGACGCGCCGCACGGACTGCTCCTGATAAATGTGAAATTGAAGCTATATCGACATCGACTCGGTCTATCGAATAGCTTGGTGGATTTTCTCATGCATTGTCTCAAACGGTGACTGTTTCTCCAAATTCCTTTTTTTTAACAACAGTTGGGCAATGTAGGGATTCCATTAAGGGTCCGTTTCATAAGTAGGTACGTGAACATGTTACTGCCCTGTGAATGCGACTGATCTACCTGTTGATGTGACTGAGTGTGCGACTGAACGTGTGACTGATGTGTCGGCAGGCGGTGTCAGGGCCGACGGTTGCGACACAGACGACACGGGTGACACCATCGGCACAATCGCCACCACCAATGGCAGACTGGTGAGTGTTTCACTATCGCCACCACCAGTGGCAGACTGGTGAGCAATTTTGCTGAATGGCGTATGTTTAGTAGCAGACTGACGAGTGATAAGCATGCGATTAACTACCAAATAGTTAGTATGAACCACATGGCCGAAGAGAGCGACAACCAATATCAGATGGCCGACACAAGTAGGTACTGGGAGAGGAGCGCTCAAAGCCCGTTTACACACCAACGACACAAGTATCACCCACTGTAGTCCAGTCGAAAGCAGTCCTGCTACCCGTCCCAAACACCTGCTTTATTCCAATTACTTCGGCTTGGATTGTGTGTCATGGTGTATCACATGCACACGAGTACCCTATTGGTCTGCGGTCGCATGATAGTCCTCCCACTCACCGGTCACCATATTACTTCCACGGCCACCAGCCGGACTCATCCGGCGCGCGGCGGCAGCAGAAGCCCCGATTCGGCGGTGCACCGGTGGTGAGCGGTTGCTAAGCAACGGCACCGGCCGGGCGGCACGGACGGTCGCTTTATTAGCGACACGGCCGTCCAGCGATCGAGTTACAGGATCCGTACCGACCGGCCGACCCGTGGCGTGCTGTGCCGTGCCAATCTTCCGCTGTGCACTGAGTGGTACAGAAACCGAGCCCGGGGGCGGGAGACTGAGCGGTGTTTCTGCTACCGATTCTTATCAGTGACGGTATTATCGATAATACGATATAATGGCGACTAATTTTTATTACGGTTTATCCGCAGCCCACTGTTCGACAGCCATGGAATGTGATTCACTCGTTAATCCTCGAGTCGAAGACCTCTTATCCCATTCATTGTCCATTTTTTGTCCGCATGGATAGGTCGTCAGATATGTGATTTATGAATGCATGTGTACTTTGCTCTTCCTTCTTCTTTGCTTAATTATATATAGGATATTCTTACATTCGTGTATTTACTTATTTATAAATTGAGCGATGACGTACCACACTTGTGATTTGTGCGGAAGCCTGTGCTGAGGTAACCATTATCGTGGCAAAGTTGTTCTCGGTTTAGTGGCCCGCTGACCGGCTGATGACCCGCTGTTCCCCGTTCGACAGTCTCCTGAGATGACTGACCGCAGTCCGAAGGAGGACGACTCGTCCTCGGGCAACCGGGACGAGGAGGACGAGCAGGAGGACGACGAGGACACCGACGACCGGGAGGATGCCAAGTTCGACCCGGAGCGCCTCAAGGCCTTCAACGTGAGTCGGCGATAGCTGCAGGATCAGGCCTTTTCTGGGTTTTCTTGGCAATCAAGCGACCGAGGATGTCGTTTGATTGACGGGAGTTGGAGGCGCGGAAAAGGCTGCTGACTGCTTAGCTTGCCAGTTGTCAGTGTCATCGGTATAGTGTTTTGTGCTGGTATTGTATGATTACCAGTAAGTCGACAAATCCGTTTTACAGGTAAATATTACTGTTTTGGTGTAACGGTAATGTAACAGCAGATGACAATATATCAGGCGACGTTTAGCGTTAACGGTTCTCGGTTCACCTAATTTGCCGTCAAGCGTTTGCGGTCGTCGGTTTCATTGCAGGCCTATTTATGCTGTCGCACATATACTTCTCACCTTTAATCCGAATTGGTCTTGCCAAACATTGGAACGTATCACATAGTAAAAAATAAGGAGCCCAACATAGCTCGTACTTGGCTCGTACTTCATTTCTTTGCCTTTTATTTCGTTTGGCGCCGGCCGCATGCTTCTGTCAACCGGCCAGCCCCCGCCGCTCGGCTCTGACCTGACCCTCTGTGTCGCCCCGGCAGATGTTCGTAAGGCTGTTTGTGGATGAAAACCTGGACCGTATAGTGCCCATCAGCAAACAGCCCAAAGAGAAGATCCAGGCTATCATCGACTCGTGCAGTCGGCAGTTTCCCGAATTCGTCGACCGCGCGAGGAAACGACTCCGCACCTACCTCAAGGTAACAAATAACAATGACGATGTCGCATGCGGAATAGGAATGGTTGGGCGAAAAAGATGACTGGCGAGAGGTGATGCTCTAAATTGCATCAGCATCATCATCATCAGATTCATTTCATGCCAATTATTTTAGTACAAAAAGTGGGTTACGATTCTGCGGTAAATACCGTTGACTACTACGCGAATCTTCCGCGTAAATTATGTTCGTTCACTTCCGCGTGACTTACGTAACCCCTCTCCTCCCTCAGTCCTGCCGGCGCCACAAGCGGAGTCGCGAGCTGGCCGGTCTGGACTCGGCCGCTGCGCGCGCCAGCCGGCCCACGCCGCCCCACCTGACCTCCGTGCAGGCCGAGCAAATCCTGGCGCAGGCCTGTGAGAACGAGAGTCAGAACGCCAAGCGGATGCGACTCGGCCTGGAGCCCATCAGTCAGCCGCTGCAGCAGCCCGTCAGCAGCCCGCAGGTACGAGGAGTCGGCAAGATTACCTTTCTAAGAGAACCTGCTGAGGGTTGGGGTCGGGAGAGCGGTCTCAGACGGGCCCGAGGGGTTTTCATATATCGATTTCGTATGGAGCTTAACGAGAGGAGACCGGGAGCGAAGCAGGACTAGTGTCGATGGATAGTGCTAGCAACTCTGCGGGGACCATCAGCTTCCTAGAAATGAGGGCAATTTGGGTGAACCCTGGTGGTTTATTTACGCTTTACTAGAGGCACAGGTTTGCGCGATAACTGTATGTTTTGATATGTATGATTAACGGATGCATTAGTTTGGGTGAAGAAACTTGCATTTTATTGGTATTATTTGTGAAGAACTGGGTAACTGCTTTTAATTGAACTGTGAAGTATGATGGTGATGCATGCGAGTTGTTCGAGCCCTTCGTAAGTTAGGATGTTACTCAATTCAACCTTCCCTACCCTACCCTACCCTACCATACCATACCCTACCCCTAACCCTACCCTACCCTACCCTACCCTACCCTACCCTACCCTACCCTTACACTACACTACCCTACCCTACACTACCCTACCCTATCCTACCCCTCATTCATTACCCCTATTCATTGCCAAAGGTCAACGACCTCCCGGCTCTGATTATTTCCAGTCAGTTTTTAAGCGAACAACTGAGCCTAAAGCACGAGCCTTTTGCTCGGCGCCGGTCGCGGCCCCACCACGTGCACACCGCCGAACCCACACCCTCGAAAATTTAATACGACAAATGAGTGCACGCGCTCGACTTGGCGTGAAAATTTCACCCCCGTAGCCCTCACCGTTCCCGAGCAATGGCCTGTTTTTGCCGATTCTAATGCTAACCCTATGGCGCACATGAGCACGCGCCACGGGCGCACCCCCGGCCGCATCGTGCCCAAAATTTAATACGACCTGTTCATTTACGTGACCCACGAGTCGTGAAAATTTCACCCTCGTGCGTCAATCGACGGCGCCTTAAAGGGACTATCCCACCTTCTAAAATGTTGTTAAAACCAGTTAAATTGTGCCCGACTTTATAGATTGGATGACCAGGAACACGGTTCTGGCATTTATTTTTCATTAAACATCGTAGGCTTCCCATATTCCAAACACAAACTTTCAAATATGTGACGTCACAGCCCAAAATTACCTCCTTCCCCAGGCCACATTACTGTCATAAAGCTGATTCTTTTTACTCTGTAGGCACCACAACAAAGTTCAGACCAAGTTTTAAGCGATTTTTCAATGAACAAACCCATTTAAATCAGAATGACTAAACGAGGTGACGTCACACTAACGGTCGCTCCATGTTGAAGATAGGGCCTTGTACAAGGCCCATTTTCAAATGAAGGGGACAATTTCTTTAACACCAAGAGGCCGCGGGGGTTGCAACCTAGATAGATAGTGGTTTCTGAACCTCGCCGCAAACTTGGCTATCTCAACTCAAACCCCATGTTAAAGGTGGGATAGTCCCTTTAATAAGCCTTTTTGGGAGTAACCCCGACGGCGGCGTGGGCGGCGGACTTTTTAGGATTTATAATATAGACTAGAGGTACAGGTTTACGCGATAACTGTATGTTTTGATTTATGTTATGTTACGGGTGCATTAGTTTGGGTGATTGACTTGTATTTTTAGCTGTATTATTTGGGTAGATTTGGGTAGCTGTTTTTAATTGAACAGGGATGGTGATACTTGCGGGGTGTTCAAGTGTTTTGTATGTTGGGCCTTTTTTAACTCAACCCTACCCCTACCCTACTCCTACCCTACCCCTACCCTACCCTACCATACCCTACCATACCCTACCCTACCCTACCCTACTACCCTACCCTACCCTACCCTACCCTACCCTACCCTACTACCCTACCCTACCCTACTACCCTACCCTACTCTACCCTACCCTACCCTACCCTACTACCCTACCCTACTCTACTCTACCCTATCCTACCCTACCCTACCCTACTCTACCCTACCCTACCCTACCCTACCCTACCCTACCCTATTCTACTACCCTACCCTACTCTACCCTACCCTACCCTACCCACCCTACCCTACCCTACCCTACCCTACCCTACCATATCCTACCCTACCATACCCTACCCTACTACCCTAACCTACCCTACCCTACCCTACCCTACCCTACCCTACCTAACTCTACCCTACCCTACCATACCCTACCCTACTACCCTATCATACCCTACCCTACCCTACCTTACCCTATCCTACCCTACCCTACCCTAGTCCCTACCCTACCCTACCCTACCCCTACCCTACCCTACCTTACCCTAACGCCACCACACCCGCGTGTGACCAGTGTGGTGTGATATTAGTCCTCTCCTGTCCGTCGGCCGTAATCGGAGCTCCTTCCCCACTCCAGTGTGGCTGGTGTGAAGTGACGCCCGGCCTGTCATCTGTTGGCCTCTATCTGTACTTGGTGACGCTCGTCCCGCCATCTGTTGGCGGCGATCATAACTCGTGGTTGCGCCGTCTAGCGGCTTACGTGTGATTCGCGAAGCTTCTCTCTCTTGCCCCGCGGTCGCCGCCGCAGCCGGCCGACGAAGTGGCCGGCTGCCGCCATTTTATAATAAATCCGCTGTCGCTGTTAATGAACCTCTCTCCCTACTTCGGGGATAACTGGCGTGGTGACAGCGTTTCAACCTATGCCTCCCCTTGATGTTCGTTTTGCCAAAAGCGGCGCAGTGACACTTGTCGTATTGCACATTTGAGGCGGTTTATTTTATCAAGATGGCGGCACTGGCGCGTCTGCGCCGTGGCCTGAGTATTGCTATTCACGGATTGGACCTCCCTCTGCTTTGACAAGACAGAAGCCAGGAGTGAAGGCTCCGAGCCTGTCTCTCGGATTTGACGTGAGGCAGAAGCCAGGAGTGAAGGCTCCGAGCCTGTCTCCCTCGGATTGACAAGACAGAAGCCAGGAGTGAAGGCTCAGAGCCTGTCTCCCTCGGATTTGACGTAAGGCAGAAGCCAGGAGTGAAGGCTCCGAGCCTGTTTTACCAGCCCGATTGACTCCATTTCTGCTGGCTGCTGCACCGCCAGCCGCTGACTGTTACGTCGGCAGCTACCGCCACCGACTCTGACTCGACTGGCTCCCTGCTGCACACCGCCGAGCGCCGTCCGGTGTGTTCCTGGTTGAAGTTACCGGCCGGCCGAAGAGCGACCTCATGGCGGAGCAGGCGCCGCTGCCGGCTGAAGAAGCGGCTACTTTGCAGTCTTTCACGGTCTCTTCTGTCGGCGGCCTCTGCCGCCGCCCTACTCTGTGGACGGCCACTCGCCTCCCTTGGCGCTCTGCAGCGCGCCCGGTCTGGGCCGGCCGAGGAGTCTGGTCTTCGACAAAGTTCACCAATCGAGCACGTATGTACATGGTGGTGACACTGCGCCCTGTGCGCAACCATCCGTCTCGGTGACTGATCGTGTACCTAGTGTGCAACCGTGTGTCCTCGCCCGATTGTGTTTTTATTCTCGATTCGGACAGCCTACCTATGCTTACTAACGACTCCCCTCGCCCGTCCGGTAGGGGTGCTGTGATCATCCTACGATAACGTTACGACCCGAAGCGATGAGTTAATGATGCGTGTTTTTGTTGTGTTTTATCCGCGATCACTTCTCTTGTTTTTTTTTTTTAATTCGTTTCATCTCGACTCGGGATCGATGTAGACAGTGCTGTTTGTTTCGTGACATTCGTATTTTTTCCTGCGCTTTTTCTTTTTTTCGGATGCAGAGGGGGGAGGAAGAAGAAAAAGTGGTCACGCCACCACACCCGCGTGTGACCAGTGTGGTGTGATATTAGTCCTCTCCTGTCCGTCGGCCGTAATCGGAGCTCCTTCCCCACTCCAGTGTGGCTGGTGTGAAGTGACGCCCGGCCTGTCATCTGTTGGCCTCTATCTGTACTTGGTGACGCTCGTCCCGCCATCTGTTGGCGGCGATCATAACTCGTGGTTGCGCCGTCTAGCGGCTTACGTGTGATTCGCGAAGCTTCTCTCTCTTGCCCCGCGGTCGCCGCCGCAGCCGGCCGACGAAGTGGCCGGCTGCCGCCATTTTATAATAAATCCGCTGTCGCTGTTAATGAACCTCTCTCCCTACTTCGGGGATAACTGGCGTAAACTACCTACCCTACCCTACCCTACCCTACCCTACCCTACCCTACCCTACCCTACACTACCATACCATACCATACCATACCCTACCCTACACTACCCCTACACTACCCTACCCTACCCTACCCCTACCCCTACCCCTACCCTACCCTACCCTACCCTACCCAACCCTACACTACACTACCACCGACAGTCCAAGTTTCAGCTAAATCGGCCCAGAAACGGCTGAGATATTGCAAAAACAAATTAATTGTATTTACTGGCGAATCCTCTTGGCCAGCGGTGCCTTGTGTCGGCCTTCGTTGTCAAAGGTCAATGACCTGCCGGTATTTCCACTCAGTTTCTTAAGCGAACAACTGAGCCTAAAGCACGTGCCCTCTGCTCGGCGCCGGTCGCGATTCTAATGCTAACCCCATGGCGCACATGAGCACGCGCCACAGGCGCACCCCCGGCCGCATCGTGCCCAAAATTTGATACGACCTGTTTTTTTACGTGACCCACGAGTCGTGAAAATTTCACCCTCGTGCGTCAATCGACGGCGCCTTAATAAGCCTTTTAGGGAGTAACCCCGACGGCGGCGGCGTGGGCGGCGGCGGACTTTTTAAGATTTATAATAGTAGATTTACGTACTGTGCAGCGTATCGTTCAGGAGTCTCGAAGGCCGTGAGAGCCTCATCATACCAGCAGGCGAACCAGAAATGACCGTCTACGATAACCAACCAACTCACCCATTCCGCAGCTCACCACCACGGTCGCCAGTGACCGCAGCGCCACATACGAGGTGGCCAGCCGGCTGGCGGCAGCCCCGGCCGGCGCGGCGGCGGCGGCGGGCGCCGGGGCGCACCCGCTCGTACCCGACCAGCCCGTGTCGAGCGCCACCGAACAGCTGCCGGCGGCCGGCCTGCAGTACCAGCCCAACTTCTCGCAGGCGTTCGGGCAGATGTTCTCCGGCATGCTGCCCGTGACCGGCTTCCAGATGCCGTCCAATGGGAAAGGTGCGTACTTTAGATGTTCTTAGGACTGAAAGGGCAGGGGTGGGGAAAATGATGGACTTGGGGTAAGTTGCACAGGTGATGTTACGATTGCTCGTATTAGCTGGAAGTTAGGTGAAATATTGAAGCTCTCTGTCGATAAGGATATTATCTTTCGCTCGTACACCTAAATATTATCTTAGCAAACATATTCATGGCCCGTCTCCGCTAAAATAAAATCTTCCAGAATCCAGATGTGTGGCTCTGTTCACAGTGGGTGACCTGTTCGCGAAGAAGGCGGCGCCGCGACCACAGCTTTCCCCAGCCGAGGTGGCCGCCGTGCGCGTCCTGGTCAACGGCTACCGCGAGTCGGCAAACTTCCTCTGCCGCTCGGCGGACGAGCTCGAACTACTGATTCAGCAGTCGGGCCACTAGGCGGCACCACCGTCGCCGCGTTTCAGACGAGCTTCGAACGGCGCTTCTACGTCTGCTCAGGGCGGTCCCGCTGCGTTATGGCAAGCGGATGGGCTAAGATGGAGGAGAACATGACGTGGGGTCTGGGGAGGGTTGAATGTTGAGCATGTATTGATGTCGAACTCACCTCGACGTACGTACCCTAGGAAAAAAACCATCAGGATTTTTCTGATGGTCTGATGGTTTCTGATGGATTTGGCTGATGGTCTGATGGTTTCTGATGGTTCTAGCTGATGGTCTGATGGTTTCTGATGGTCTTGCTTGGTGGTCTGATGGTTTCTGATGGTCTTGTGTGATGGTCTGATGGTTCTGTGTGATGGTCTGATGGTTCTATGTGATGGTCTGATGGTTATGTGTGATGGTCTGATGGTTCTGTGTAATGGTCTGATGGTGTTGTGTGATGGTCTGATGGTTTCTAATGGTGTAGCCTAATGGTCTGATGGTCACCCTGCTGACCATCAGACCATCAGAAGATGCATGCGCTGATGGTTTGGTGGTTTCTGACGGAAAGTCTGATGGTTTGATGGTTCAATAGTTTAGGCCTTATATCAGAAAAAGATTTCATCAGAAAGCCTTATAGCGCTTCGGGGCCGACATCGCGAGTGCTGAGCTCTAAATAGCCAAATTTCTTTCAATTATTTCTCGTGGTCCCCAACAAACACTTTAAACAGTTACCGGAAATTCCTCTAGCGAACAGCGTTGCCAGTTCTCAGAAATAAATTTATTCTAAATGCATGACGATGAAAAACGACACACTAAAATAATGACTTATAATTAATAAAAATTTATTTTGTTTTAAAAAGAAGGGAATAGGAAATATAACTTGCCTTTCTCATGCATAATTTCTCGTACTTTCATGACCAATGAAGCTATTTAATTGCCAAAATCGGTTAGAAGCTTTCTCTGATAGAAAATAATATTATTAAATCATTAAGAAGTGATACTTGTAAAAATTATTGGGATATTTGTTCTTTTAAAAAGCGATGAAAACAAACATATTTTCAAAAATGCCGGCGCTGCGTGAAACGCTGCGTTGTTGTTGGCGCTTCATTGCGGTTGAGATGTACGCCTATGTACATTTCCTGAAGGATGGTGTGAAACGTGTGGTGCATAGCAGTGACATCAAGGACTTTTTCCCCAAAAATGTGCAAGATTTCGACCCAAGTCTGCCCGTGAAGGTCCTCTGGAGAGGTTTCCGTGATGAGATTCCGACATCGTCTGCGGAGAGATACAAGGGGCTGATCCTGAAATTAGGATGTGAGGCAAAATAAAACGAAATTGGTAAAATTTTTGGGGGATAAATTATTTGTGCCACCGAAATTATAAGCATCTGTCACCGAAATAGAGAAAGTAACGTGACCGGACACTTTTTCGTCTAGCAGCACTTTTTCGTCCGATTTATTTCCGTTGTAGCTGTTTAGGCTAGGACTTTAGGCAGTGACTATCAGAATTCCTGAAACAGTCGCGCCATCAATTGATGGCGCGACTGTTTCAGAACCGTCAGACCATCAGAAACCATCAGACCATCACAAACCATCAGACCATCACAAACCACCAGACCCCTGAACCATCAGAAACCATCAGACCATCAGAAACCATCAGACCATCAGACCAGTGGGCCAATTTCCATGCACCATCAGACCATCAGAAAAATCCTGATGGTTTTTTTCCTAGGGTATGTTTGCCGACATCACTTTCCTGCCGTGGTGTGACGTCATTTTCGCTGGATGACGTCATTTGTGTGCCATGTGACGTCACGTTCAGCGGGGCTGTTCATTGATCTCGCGGTGTGTATAACTGGGACAATCTGGCTGCTGTGTGTCCGCTGGTGTTTTGTTTGGATCTGTCGCCACGGTACACAGATCCGCCCGGCTGGGTCGACCTGGTCCTGGTCCTGTTCGATTGGTCCTGGTCCGGAGTGGTCCGCGGACCGGACCTGCCGCCGGGCGCAGCGGAAATATCACCGGTACCGTCCTCAGTATGCGTCGGTCAGTGTCTGCGTACGCCGCTTTCTAGACGTGTTCCTAGCCGTAAGCTCGCGCGATGTCGGCCCCCGACCCCGGGCGGCGGCGGTGTGATGCTGCTGTTCGGGACTCGGAGTCCTGTTGTCCTCAGTCGCAGTCTTCCGGCGGTCCGCTGGGACGGCAGTGGTGCGCGACAGACCGGCCGGCCGCCGTTCGATGTGGTGTGCCGCGGACGGTCCGCGATCCGGACCGTGAGACACTGGCGGTCTGCAGCGATCGACCAGTGCCGACGGCCGAATGTATGTGGCCCCAGAGTACCTCTGTGTTATCATTTCCATTGTGGCGAAGAATACACATATTTTCGTGTTGGTTATGCACATTTTGCTTCAAACTATTCGACGTGAGTCTTGAGATTTTACGTCAAAGAAGTATTTTCGGGACTAGGTCATAATAGAAGGAAGGGAACCTAACATTGCAGCTTCCCTAGATTCCTCATGAAATGCCCAAAAATTTAAGTAAATGTGAAGTATTGCGAAATCTTAGTTTATTATCTCCTAAACTGAGCTTCTTAGCGAAAATAAAGCGCTGTTTATTGTAAACTTACTTATTGCTTTGTTTTGTCGCCAACCATAATAAATTGCTGCCAGTGACTTCTATAGACATGTTCGGTGTGGCGCATTTTTGCCCGTTAAAATAAATCAAAAATGTGATTTTTTAAATCAGGGACTGAATCAATATAATTTTTAATACGTTAAAGATGGCAGAGGAATGAAAATGCATCACAGCAGCAAACCAAGCAGAAATAAACCGAACCTCATCCCAATATTTTTATGAAGTCTCTAGCTACTTGAGACTTTTTTAGAATTACCTTGTATTTACATTTATGACGACCTTGAGCTATAATATACAGAGACGGGGGCGGCGCGGGTTAGATAATATTGTTTTTTCGTAATTGCTCGCTTGTTAGCATTTATTTGCCTTTTGTACGTTAATATATTTATTATATTACTCCTTTGGTATCACCACAGCTGGAGTTGCTACTCACGCTATCTGTCCTTTTCGTTCCAGCCCAGAACAGCCATTTCACCGTGACTTGGCAGATGTGGTGGTCTCGTGGTCTGCTGATAAAAGGTGAAACTCACTTGTGGTAGTCAGATGTTAAAGGGACCCTCCCACCTTAACATTAGTTTTGAGTTGAGATAGCCAAGTTTGCGGCCAGGCTCAGAAACCACCATTTATCCTGGTCGCAACCCCCGCAGCTTTATGGTGTTCAAGAAATTTCTTCCCTTTACTTGCAGGGTGGGACCAGCGTGGTCCCTATCTCTTAACCATTGTGGGAATCTGATGACGTCATCAGGCTTTCGAACGTCCGTTTAATGTTTGACTAAAACGTTTTGTAGCACGTGGTGGTATATGCTGCTTTGCGCGCAACAAATGCCGCACTTTCAAATAAAGTCGCTAGGAACAGCGGAGATCCCAAAAAGTAAACAAAAGTAAAAGTATAATATCTTGAAAACCGGTGAATATTTTTCGATGAAATTTGGTAGATATTCGTTTTTGCTCTTTCTGAACCGAGCGACATCACTTTCAAGCCAATTCATTAACTTTTTTGAAGGTGGGAGGGTCCCTTTAACTAGTGTGTTAGGGAGGCAATTCACCAGAAAATTTGCAAGCATGGCTCCTACCATGCATAAGTTCGATTATCTTGTTATTGGTGGAGGGTCTGGTGGCATTGCCAGTGCAAGAAGAGCTGCTGAATTTGGTGTGAAAGTTGGATTGATTGAAAATTCAGCTCTTGGAGGAACATGTGTGAATGTTGGATGCGTGCCAAAGAAGATCATGTTCAATGCTGCTATGCATGCAGAGGCACTACAGTACCATAAGGACTTTGGGTTTGATGTTGCTCCAGCACCCTTCAACTGGGCAGAGGTGAAGAAAAAGAGGGATGCGTACATTCAAAAGCTGAATGGCATTTATGAAAACAACCTGAACAACTCCAAGGTGGAGATAATCAGAGGAAAAGCCATGTTTGTTGGTGAGAAAACTGTGGAAGTCAATGGTCAGACCTACTTTGGGGAACATGTGCTGATTGCCACTGGAGGCAGGCCATCAGATCCAGGTGCCCCAGGAGCTGAATATGGAATCAACAGTGATGGGTTCTTTGAGCTGGAGCACCTACCTAAGCGAAGTTTTGTAGTCGGTGCTGGCTATATTGCAATTGAGATGGCCGGCATCCTCAAAACCCTTGGCTCGGATGTCACCTTGATGATCCGACACGAAAAGGTCCTGAGAACATTTGACAGCCTGATCAGTGATGTCATCACAGATGAGCTGGAGCACATCGGCATCAACATGCTGAAGAACGATGGCTTTGTCAGAGCAACCAAGGATGACCAGGGCACGCTCACTGTCACCACCAAGAATGGACACAGCATCTCGGGAGTGGACTGTCTGCTGTTCGCCATCGGACGTGACCCGAACGTGGAGCTGGACCTGGACAAGACCGGCGTCACCCTGGAGAAGGGTCACATCAAGGTGGACGCCTTCCAGAACACCTCGGCACCGGGCGTGTACGCGCTGGGCGACGTGTGCGGCCGCGCGCTGCTCACCCCCGTGGCGATCGCCGCCGGCCGCCGCCTGGCGCACCGGCTGTTCGACGGCAAGACGGATCTGAAGCTCGACTACAACAACATCCCGTCTGTGGTGTTCTCGCACCCGCCGAGCGGCTCGGTCGGGCTGACTGAGCGCGAGGCGCGCGACAAGTTCGGCGACGCGGCCGTGCGCGTGTACCGCAGCTCGTTCGCCCCACTCTACTACGCGCTGAGCGAGCGCAAGGTGAAGACGCACATGAAGCTGGTGTGCGCCGGCGACGAGCAGCGCGTGGTTGGCCTGCACATGGTCGGCCAGGCCGTGGACGAGATGCTGCAGGGCTTCGCCGTGGCGGTGAAGATGGGCGCCACCAAGGCGCAGTTCGACGACTGCGTGGCGATCCACCCGACCTCGGCCGAGGAGCTGGTCACCATGCGCTGAGCGGCGCCGGCGGCGATGGGTGCTTCTACGGAGTACAGAGCCCTGCTGGGTGCCGTCGTGGTGCTGATTTGATCAGGAGTCAGGACCAGAAGATATAGGTACCTATCCTTGGGAAACTCGATATGAGAATAGATGGCACACTTATGACTAGAACAAAATTGAAATGCATTGGTATTTTGTTGTGTAGTAACAACTGCATAGTATCTGTCCTCTTGTGCCTTGGCGTTGTTAGATGAGAGTGACCTCCATACTGGAGTTGGATAGCATCTTATTGATGCTGCATGTATGTGAATATGTAGCTGTTGGTTTTTGGGATCGGTTAGGAGAAGATACGTTTTCCGAGTGAAATGGCTTTGAATAATATCGTTATATTTTGTATGCCTTATTATTGTATACTGCTCATTGTTTCTCATCTGGCTAATAAAGGATTCTGGATATATGTGTAGAATAAATGTGTACCCGACAAATTACAAGAATGCTATTTTGGTTTGTCAGGCAATTGCATGCCATAATCAATCAAATATGCGAAAATGACCAGTACTATAATAACCCCGTAAACCCCCCAGTACTATAATATCCGCTTGGCGCTTATTTGTGAACAACTCGTGATCATTCAGTACCCTGCAGCAAGATCAGCATTTCATCAGTCTGTCTCTTGCTAACTTATACGCGTGTGAGTTTGGCTTAAACTATCTGTAAGAATCTTGGCTTAGACCGCGCCCGTGCATTGCGTTGAAACCATGTTGAAACCAGGGGTTGAAACCACCAGTTTTACGCAAAAAAAAGCTGAGCTGAATCAAAATGTATTGCATTGAAACTTGAAAGTGACGATAAAAGGACGGGATTCGTCGAAATCAAGCATTAGGCCGAAAGGTCAAGTGTATCGCAGGTTCCTTTACTATGATAGGTCTTCGGGGGGGGGGGAGTAGTCTTCCCATCGGCTCTAGAAATAGAAAATACATGAAAACCTAGAAAATAGCAGCAATTTAAATGAGACATGTATAACGCATTTGTTTCATTAAACATATTCATAGATGCTAAAAGCAGTTAACGAAGGATGACTCAGGAATCGATGATTGGCTAACTGACATGTGAAAGCACGAACTTTCACATTGTCAGCTTGTTATTGAACATAAAGTTGTTACTTTTACCCAATTTGTCGTCAACAACTGCAACCTAGGTTATATTATGGCCTTGAACCTAGATAACATATTGATGTTCCTGGTTGATATTACAGTCAAGATACCTATAAGAAACCTATAAGATACCTATAAGATTACAGTTGGAATTCAATTGAACTTTAAGTCTTGCAAGACTCTGACAAGGTAAGGATTTGGATTGCACCAGATTGCACTTGGTCGAATCTTGATCTTGGCAGGGTACCTAAGGCTAGATATGGATTTCGAAGGTGGACGTTCGGGGGAGCCGCGAGCCGGCAGGTTAATAATAGTGAGCACGTATTTTGAGACTGCAGAACAAGTTGTGGCACTTTTTGATAATATTGTTCCAAATTCTTGGAGGTTGTTGATTATTATATTCTGTAGGCAGTAGTTTTTAAACATGTGGGTAATTCAGATTTCAGGAATGCACACTGCTGTAATTGCAAAATATGCCCCGCGTCCACCTCTCAGGAGTGGTCAACATCTTGAAGGATCATCTGTTCTGAGTTCTGATGCTGATGTATCTAAGAAAAATATTACTGGAGAAATAACTAGAACAATTTGCTTGAGGTTTTCTTCTCCTGGTTGAGTGGTGGCTACTGGGTGGTGGGTGCTACTGAGGTACCTAGGTAATAAGGTCAAGCTTATCCATGCAATAGGAGGAAATCACCCAAATCACCCACAGATGCTAGAAGTATGAGTAGTGAGTACCTACCTATATCAATCTGAAGTAGGTAGCTCTTACCTGGGTACCTACCTACCTTTTTAAAACTACCTGGCAGATGTTGACTTGTGTCATGCATTGCATAGTGCAATCACTGGATCAGGTTAATAATAATTGACAGCCTACCTCAGCAATGAACGGAAAATGAGGTGTGCCTACCAATTATCATATTGATATAGATGGCGCGGTTTAGTGTTAGTTGTCACCCAGTCCAGTAGTCACTAGTCAGTACCAAGCAACAGCCAGTGGCAGTACCTATCTAAGCATTCAGCACTGCATCACAGCCAATGCATACCTTGCATGCTCTTATGTTAAGCAATTTTTATTGCAGAGTCTTCCTTTTCTGATTTTGCTCTGCAAGGATTATATCAAGTGCTGTTGAGCTAGTTTGAGTTGCCTCATGCCTGATCCTCTAATAAACCTGGACCTGCACTTATCTGAGGCTGCTTCCTCCAGATAGCATAAAGGTTTTGTCTGATACAAAGCCTCAGATGTTTTGAACAGATTGGCTGATGAGGCTCTGGGCAGCACTGTGTAATATTGGTGGTGTCTGCTTCCAACTCCTGCAACCACTGCTACCGTGCTTCAGATACATTGAGGTCAGAGTCCAGTCCTGTGAGATACAGGCATTCTCAGGCATCATGCTGCAGGCTAATGGATGGGTGAATAACACCTCTCAGGGCGAGCTGCATTCCTATGGTTGCTTTGGTCTTTAACCCGCGCACGGCTGGGGGTCCACGCCCATGTATTTCCACGCCCTGCTGGGGGGGGGGGGGTGTTTGAACACCCCCCCTTGTAACTCGGCTCCTGGTCCACGGAGCGATACGCGGAAGGCGGCGTTCGAAAGAGCGTCGAAAATAATGGCGAAATCACTTCAGTCAATTTTTTGATCAGGTCAAAGGTCAGGTCACCAGAGGTCATTGAAGGCAAAATTTCGCCGATTTCCAGGTCGAATGTCGAAAATTTCCAAGAAGCCAACGCATAACTCGGGAACCAATAGAGCTACAGCGCCGCGGAAAAGCGTATTCGATAGCCCTATTACGCTTTTTCTGAGTAATTACCTCAGATTTGACCTAACGTCAACGGTTTTGCCTGCAGGGGGCAAAAACTGCAAAAATAGCCGATTTTTTTCGGAAACAGTTTTTCTGCAATAACTTTTGACCCAAGCCTTGTACGAGCTTACTTTCACCGGCATCGTGTTCCTCTCGTCAAGACGCATCGAATGAACTATAACTTGACCTTGGAAGGTCAACTTGAAAATTTGACCTCAGGTCAAGGTCATGACCTGACCGGAAAGGGTCATGTTGCATATCATTCGATCCGTATCGTCGAGCTGAACACATCTAATGCGTTTTCATCGCTCTAGCATGCCTCTATCAAAAGTTATTTGCGAAAAACTGTTAGAAACCATTCGTGACCTAAGATGACCTCAGGGCGTAAACAAGGGTCACGGACACCATTTTCATGTTCAGTTTGTCTAAACCACTTGTAATTCGGTGTTTGGGAGTGTTTATAAAGTCTTTCGTCCAAAAGAGGCGCATTTCAATTTTCTCCCATTGACTTATAATGGGGAGGTCGCAAAATTGACCTGACCTTAGGTCATCGATATCAAAATTCTGAGATATACATTTTGTACATGCTATTGCTCTTAGCAATCGCTGAAAGTTTCAAAGCGATCGGTCACTCGGTGTAGCTATGACAGACATTAAAACTTTTTATGAGGTGAGGTCGCTTCAAGTGACCTGGTGACCTGACCTTGAATGACCTGGGTCTGAGATTTTCACAACAAGTGTAGAATTGATGTATGATAAGGTGGAGCGCCGCCGTTTTTGAGATATTCGCGAAAAACCACAAGGGGGGTGTTCAAACCCCCCCCCCCCAGCAGAGCGCGGGTTAACAGACATAATTTCTGTTCTAAAACTGCTCTTGTAGGTAGCGAATTCCATGCTGCCCACCCCCTCTCTTCTCTCTCCCCCCTGCCATTTCATATTTCTCTTGTTTGTCCCTTTTTTACCTTCTGGCTCCCATTCCGTTATATACCTAGTTACCTACATACACATAGCCCAGATTTTGAAGTCACTGTTCACTGATTCATATATGCCATTCCAAGACAACAGTCCTTCCATTCTAACTGCTTTGGCTAGCTTCAAGCTTGCCATGCTCAGTTCCTGGCTGCTTTGCATGCGTGTAATTCTTTTTTTATTTAATGGCTGTATTTAGCAAGGGCGCCAACCAGAACGACTTTCAGGTAAAATTATCCAGTCTTATGTGGAATGTGGAAAGACACAAAGCAGATCCCTTTGGTCTTTTGGGCACGAGAGGGACCTGAATGAGAATTGGTCAGTCATTCCAAGATTCTTGGTAACGAGTAATTTTGTTTCGAACTATCTCATTCCATTTCAAAGTCCCAGGGCGGTTATTTCTGCAACTTTTCCTCATATGTGATATTGAGTACGGCACAGTCGATCCACATTTTTGTCCGCTCCTAACCTGAGTACGGGTGTTTCGTGTCCTTCTGCCCATAGCCAGCGTGCTTTCCTGCACTTCAGACTTTCGGAGACGCCATTGAGCAACTTTGTTTGTTTTCTTGGTTGTTTAACGACGCATCAGTCAGACTTGACTATTAGCGTCGGTTCTTCTTATTCGTCTTGCTGTTCTTCCATTGAGCAACTGAGCATATCAGAACCTACAAAGTGAGGAGATTCTCTCGTTTGTATTAGGTATCTCAAGCACATGCTTTGACGCTTGGTGTATTCAGCACGCTATCTCTGCCCGGCTGATAGTCATGCTTAGACGCAGAGTAGTTTGACTTTATCAACGTCGACGAGCTGGGTATTACGGGTTTTTACTACCACTTAGTGATTAGGAGGTCCCGCATCCCGCACCCCTTCCCCTCCCCGTCGGCTGTTCATTGAGCTGACCAACGATGCAGACAGATATTGGACTTTGTCCCCGTCGGGGTAAGATATCACCGTGTGAAGTAAACAGAGTGGCCGATTTTATCCATAGTTACAGGTCCGGCGAGACCAAGACGACAGCGTTGAGGAATGAGGATGAGCGCCAAATAGTTGCTAAATCAGCCAGATGTTTGATGGCGTGTAGGTAATTGTGGTTTTAAGGGGATAAGTTTGGGTTTCTTTATGACCTTGTTTGTGTGGCGTCTCCCACAATAATAACGTCCAGCTGCGCTATTCATGTTCTTAAAATAATTGAGGCTTATGACCGCCTCAATCAACAGGTCTCTTTATACCGTGAATCGACAGCTGTGGCTGCTGCAGGGGGGTGGTCGTAACCGGGCCGAAAACTGGCCGCTCTAGAGGCGCGCCTCCGCCCCGCCTCCCTCAGCCGTCAGCCGGCGTCGTGCCGCGGCCGCCGGGCTGGCAGACCCCCACCCCAGTACGTCGGTAGCTGCGCCCAAGGCCCTATATACCACCGCCCCGCTGAGACACACCAGACTTCCCGGTGACGGTCGCAGCTGTTTCCCTGGTTGTTTTGGCAGGTGTTGGTGTCTTATTTAGGAAGTTCGTTCGATCGCCGTGTGTGCGATAGTGCTGCTTTGCTTGTGACGGATTATTGCATGGGAGGACTGCGTTACACGTCAGACTAGTTGCAGACTCCTCGGACCAGCGCAGACGTGTTGGTGGTCGTTGTGAGTACGTTTATTTGGTTCTGTGTCACAATTTACTTACCTTGGGGGTCCTGGGATTGAGCTGTAGGGTGTGATCTGTCACATAGTTCACTGGCTGCAAGGCTAAATAGCCACTCCAAATCAAAATAGAATCTAGTCTGTTATGAAGTTGAAATGTTGTTTGACCCAAATATATGTTTGCCCAACATACCTACTACACTTGTAGGTCACGCATAGCATTGGAGCATCTCCTGTTGCACTTGCTTAGAGTAATGACTTCCGTGCAATAGCATTTGTGTGGCACCAGATATGCCGTGAAATGCTGAGGAACGTGTTTAGAAACCTGTTACGGTGCTGTGCGGCGGATGAGCTCCAATGACACCGGATCCGGTTTGGAGTGTCGGGCGAGCCTCTCGCTGGTGAACCTTGAACCCGGGAGGGGGAGGGGGAGGGGTAGTAATCTGTCTCTGTGCGGGGCAGTGGCGACCGGCCACAGTCGTAATGGGAGCGATTGGGGTTGTTGTCGGTCAGAACTCGGAGCACTGGAGTCGAGATTCAGATGAGAACTGCCAGTAGCCAAACTCTGACACTGATAATAGAGTGTAGTTATCCCACTGATATCTAGTAGAGTTGGATGACGCTTGGATCGACATTGGGCACAGGGCTGCGGAGTCGGAGTCGGAGTCGGAGTCGGAGTCGGTCGGAGTCGACAGTTGTGACCGGAGTCGGAGTCGGAGTCGATTTTAGAAACCCGAGCCGGAGTCGGAGTCGGAGTCACCGAAAATCTGTCGACTCCGCAGCCCTGCTAGGTCTGCGGAGTCGGAGTCGGGAGTTGGAGTCGGTCGGAGTCGACAATTCTGCCCAGAGTCGGAGTCGGAGTCGGAGCTGGTTTTTGAAAGCCGGAGTCGGAGTCGGAGTCGCCGAAAATCCATCGACTCCGCAGCCCTGATTGGGCATACTGGAGGTTTTTTTTTGGGGGGGGGGGGAGTGATTGTTTTGGCGGGACTTTTTATTATCAACAGCCCATACAACTCAACCACTCCAGTAAGCGTCTTTCAGCGTCTTTGGATAAACATGAACGTCACCATCCGAGCTTGGCATCGGGAAAGCGATAGTGTGATAGGATAGTGTCAGTATAGATTTCAAGTGGTACAGATAGAAGGGGTCAAGTCAACTGAACGAGAAATAAAAAATAGGAGTGCCGCAGGGGTCAATTCTTGGACCACTCCTCTTCATTCTATACTTAAATGACATTGCAAATCTTCCAATTGAAGGGCAAATTATGTTGTATGCAGATGATACTGCAATATTTTTCAAACATAAAAACAGAGAAACACTTCAAGAAATAACAAATGCAGCCCTGTCAAAAATATCTGAATGGCTAGAAGCAAACTACCTCACAGTGAACCCATCAAAAACATTTCTCCAAGTATATTCAAAACGGAGAACTGCTGAAAAGTTAAACATTTACATTAGAAACACAGCAGTAGTTGAAATGAAAACAGTGAAATATTTAGGAATCCTTATTGACTCTGACCTCAAATTCACATCTCATATCAGTAGCATATGTAAAATTATCAGCAGAAACATTGGAATGATTGCAAGAGCTAGACGCTTTATCCCAAAACAGCAGCTCATTCAATTATATTATTCTTTGATTTTTCCTTATATCAACTACTGCTGTTTCATTTGGGGTTCCAACTATGAAAACCACCTTCAAAGGCTGGTAATTCTGCAAAAAAGGTTCATGAGACTAATTGAAGGTATTTTCCCACCACAAAGTGCTACCCCAATATTTAAAAAATATAGTATTCTTAAAATTAAAGACGTAGCCAAACTTCAAATAATGCTTATCATGCATAAGTACATAATGCAGGAATTACCAGTCTCTGTAAGACGATTACTTCATCTTTCAACTGACCCTATCCATCAGACAAGAAATATCCATCATTTTCAACCTGTTTTTTCAACAAAAAATTACAGGCTCTACTCATTTCCTTGCATCGGACCCAAACTCTGGAATGACTTAATAGCTAAAGATCTTCTATTAGAAGAAGTACCTCAATCGAAAAACACTTTCAAAAAATATGTAAAGAATATCTTACTTAGTGATTACTAAGCAAAAGTACTTATCAAAAGATTAAGTGAAGTATTAGCAAAAGTATTAGTTAAGTAATCCTGGGTACTAAGTATCCTCGTAAATATACCTATAAATGAATATGAAAATACCTATGTTAAATCTTACAATAAGAAAAACAACAAGAACATGATAATAAATAGCAATACATACCTAAATAGCGTAATACACACGCTTACCTAGTACTTTTCATACAAAGTGCTTAACATCTCGACAAGTGGCCCAATAATAAATGGACATATTGGTGCATTTATTATTGGGCTAGGCTGACAATGATGTGTTGATAATGTAACCTACCTTTATGATTATCAACACAGGAGATACGTCCCCACTCAAATGGAACGCCGGACTTGAAGGGGTCCATCAGCAACAAGCCCTGCTTAGCTGGTGGGCCCTAGAAAGTCTGGCTGTTGACCTGCGCTCGAATTGACCAGAAATGTTTCCCCACTGGATTGCCATTTGCTGATTTTTCTTCTAGGAGTGAAAGGCTGAATGCACTCTACTAACCAATTATGTATGCATGTATGAATGACTTCTTTCTTAGATGTAGTAGAACAGTCATCTGCTGCTTTCAGCAATGACTACTTTGGCTCTCTTTATTTATTAACCGGTTCCCGCACTTCTTTTGCTTACTTTGTTTTTTTTTTTCAATTTTCCTAGCTGGGAGTGCCGCGACTTATCCTTTTTTATTTTTGTCTGGTGTTAACGTAAGGTGCTGTGAGTCGCTGGGCTGAGGGTGGGGGCACTCCTGGTCACCTAATAATGGGTGGCGGAGTAGTTCGAAAATTTAAAAAAAAAAAGTATGACAAGTCACATGGTCTTTTTTTACTGATCGATCTTGTACTGTTTACCCTTCTCATTGTTTACGAGAAAAAAGCATGACTTGCGAAAACTTGGAGATCATACATATACGTATATGCGATGTCCCTCCTAAGTGCCCTGGCCCATCTGTGATCGCATGGGACACTGCTCGAGTAAGGTTGTGGTGGCCTCGACTTTTTGAAGCCCTTTAACGTCGGCATAGCAACAAGCTTGACACTCATCTACTTATCCTTCCGCTTTGTTACGATCCATCATTTCAATCATCGCATGACTCCCTGTCTGCTGACGTATGCATTTCCTGGCGGGTGGAGGAAACCCAACAACCGCAGTCTGGTTGAGTTAATGTTTTCTAAAGTGACTAACACCGCTGAAACGTTGGGTCCAGGTTTAGAGTGTCGGCATGTCTAACGTCGAGTGAGGGCTATTGTACCAAAGTCTCTGGCATGTCTAATGATGCACCCAGCGTTTCAGGCCCAGCCTGGGCTGATCGTTTTTATGTGTGTTGGATAACCATATTTACGTATGTTCAAAATTGTGACCTAAATAAGGCATTTTTTATAATATGCAATGTTTGCACTGTTCTGCCTGCTCCTTCCTACTTCAGACGTGGTACGGTCTAACTCAATACCCCTTCCTACGTCACACCTGTTACGGCCACAGTGTAACACAGTACCCCTTGTTACGTCAGATCTGGTACGGCCACTCGGTCTGCCAGTACCCCTTCCTACGTCACACCTGGTATGGCTTCTCTGTCTGACAGTACCCCTTCCTACGTCACACCTGCTACGGCCACAGTGTAACACAGTACCCCTTGTTACGTCAGACCTGGTGCGGCCACTCGGAGGACGCCATGAAGCCGCAGGAGCGTCTTGCCGAGAAGACGTTCGTCTCGGAGACAGAGCGGACCTTTCAGCACGACGACCACCTGCCCAGCCTGCCGATACCCAACCTGCGCCAGACGCTAGACAAGTGAGTGAGGCGACGCACTGTGTGATACAGCAAAATTTTCCTGATGCTTGCCTTACATTTCTTGGCTCGCATTGTTCTTCTTAGCACTCAGTGAAATCGATGATTTGAGTGTTCGTCGTACGCATTGTTTTTGTCTTGCAGAACGTCTCACATTTGTCTCTGCTGCTACTTGCTTCAAGTTTGCTGTGTTGTGTGTAACTTTTCGATAAGATCTGCCAAATGCCTTGACTCTTGAGCGGTACTGTCTATGTTTCCATCCCGGTCGTCCTGTGATATGTCTGATATGACAGACATAGCGTGACATTGAAGGACACGTGGGGAACGGTTTCAGAAGCTCCGAGGAACTGCGAGTGGCTTGAAATCTGCATTGCTTTGCGCCTAAAGGCTTTCTGGATAGGCAGTTGTTGTAATTAGAACATATAACTTTGTTTTTGTTTACTGATTTGAAATGATTGAAGTCCGGTGAACTGTTGAACTATGGCCCGTCACTGGACCATATTGTATCTCGTTTGTTTGTGACAGGTACCTCCAGTCAGTGTACCCGGTGGCCAGCAGTCGCGAGTATGAGAACACGCGCCGCATCGTGGAACAGTTCGAGAAGGGAATCGGTCGTCAGCTGCACGACCAGCTGCTCGAGAGGAACAAACACACACGGAACTGGGTAAGGAAGGAACAGACACACACGCAACTGGGTAAACAGAGAACAGACACACACGGAACTGGGTAAATAGAGAACAGACACACACGGAACTGGGTAAGGAAGGAACAAACACACGTACGAGAAACTGGGTAAGGGAGGAACGGAACTATATTGTGAGAGAAATTACGACGCGGGAGACTATGTGAGAGAGAAACGAACATGCTTAAATATTTAAGGAAGAAGCAAACGCAGTCCATCTCGTTCTTCCCTAGCTCTCCCTCCATCTCCGCTCTCCCCATTTACTTGAACATTTGAGAAAGAAGCAAACGCAGTCCATCTCGTTCTTCCCTGGCTCTCCCTCCATCTCCGCTCTCCCCATGTGACCGTTTACTCACTCCATTCGCCCGTCCACAGCTGCAACACTGGTGGCTGGACTACGCGTACCTGTATCAGCGGGAGCCCATCGCGCCATCGCTGGCGTTCGCCGGACCCTTCACGCTCTCCGAGACGCTGTGGCCTCCCGGAGAGGGCACACAATGTCAGGTCGGTCAGCGACGGTCACCGTATAAATGGCGTTATTCTGGGTATGAGACGTCCGGTCTCGCAGTGGTGTTTTTATCGTAGTATAGTATGTAAGTTGGGTGATGAAAGATGGATCCAGTTTTTCCCTTTACGTATGGCCAATGGCCGCCTGGATTCTCTAAAAATAACGAGGCCCGGGTTAGACTCAGCAATCAACACTCGGAGGGAAGCAGTGCTTGTTGTGATACCTATTATGAAACATGGTCAGGACTATTTATAATTGATTGCGGTTGAATTTACACAGCTTTACTGTGTTACGGCATATTGACGTAGTGAGATGGTTTCGTCACAAATCGTTGCATGAATCTTGCACAATCGGGTTATAGATGAAGTTGTGTGAATACCGTCTGTGATTTGTATTAATCCAGTCCCGCCCCGCTCGGCCACCTCTGACCTCTGCGCGCTCCCCTCCCCAGTACCTGGCGCGGTACTTGTACGGCGTCGCCTCGTTCTGGTGTCTGCTGCGCCGGGAGCGACTGGCCCCGCACCGCTCACGGGACGGCACGGCGCTGAGCATGCACCAATGGCGCCGACTGCTGAGCACCACCCGCCTGCCGGGCGAGCACAAGGACGCCATCCGGGCCATGTTTCAGACCGGTTAGTGTGGTGGAATAGGGGGGGGGGATGCCGGGGATGGCTGGTTAACTCTGGTCACTTATATACAGGGTTGGAACCGAGGGGGCTGTGTAAGGGATACTAGAACTTGGCATTGAATAAGGCTTAGATTTCGCCGGTTGTGGACTAGGTTTATACTTTCCCCATTCCTAAGATGTAGTGGTTATCCGTCTTGAACATAGTCTGAGGGCTGCATCTCGATTCTCGACCCACCTTGTAATTGTCTGTAACGGCCAGCTTTGTACCCTTGTTACAAAGTCTGAGGGCTGATTATGTGTCCCTCTGTTCAGAGTATGAGGGCTGCACCCCGACCCACCTGGTAATCCTGTGTCTGTAACGGCCGGCTGTGTCCCTCTGTTACAGAGTCTGAGGGCTGCACCCCGACCCACCTGGTAATTCTCTGTAACGGCCGACTGTACACCTCTCCCCTGCTGGAGCCGGAGACGGAGCGTCCGCTCACCATTGAGGAGTATCAGACGATCCTGGAGCGTGTGAAGGAGATGGCCGCCGCCGAGCCGGGGCCCGGACTGGCCGCCCTCACCATGGACAACAGGACCAGATGGGCGGAGGTGGGTGGAAACGGACAGACTGAGGAGTGAGGATAGGGGTAGCGAGTGGGCGATAGACAGGCCCCAGACCCAGGCTCAGTGTGAGAGTCGTAAGAAAGGAGTAGACATTTCGGGCTTAAATCGTATTTTGAGACGTCCAAAACAAGCAGTATTTTTGTGGGGGATATTTATATTGTTGATTACAAACTTCAGGAGCAGGAACTGTTGCGTCGATATCGCTGAAGGAGCATCTCAAGGTGCTTGATATGTTCAGAGATGTGGTTTATGGCACACGTCTTTCGACTAGATTATGCAGTGCTCGACTTTTCATTCAACCTTCAGCATCTAACTAGGATATTTCCACCTTCCCCTTCCCCGCCCGCCCCCAGAATCGCGAGTACCTGCGCAGTCTGAGCCCGGAGAACGCTGCCTCCCTGGAGGTGGTCGAGTCGGCCGTCTGCCACGCCTCTCTCGAGTCGGTACCGGGTCTGAACCGAGACCGCACGCTCCGTCTGAACCTCTGCGGCGACGGATCCAGTCGCTGGGCCGACAAGAGTCTGACCGCGGTGGCCTACACGGACGGCTATGGCGGAAACTACTGTGATGTGAGTGATGAGTCAGGGGGTTACCTAGATGTTAATGGGGGTGAGAGACGGGCGGATGGTGGGTTGTGATTCAGTGAGGAATTCAAAGAAGTGGAGTGGTGTTTTGAATGAGGTGGGCTGGTTTAATCGGGAACGGTTCGTGTTAGAGTTACCACAGTTATCGTTATGGTTGTGTTGTTGCTCTGTAATTTTATTGTGCTTTTTCCTTTGAGAGTTATGCGAATCTGATGAATTCATGTTCGAATGTCCCGTAAGTAAGGCTGACTTAAACGTCCGACTTGTGCCGATCGTTCGATTCTGTCTTTTTCTAGTATCTGGGCTGTACCCCCCCCCCCCCTCCATCACTCCCATCCCTGACTCTTGCCTCCCCTTTCTCTCTCCCTCAGCACTCTCCGATGGACGCCATGACGCTGGTCACCCAGGGCTGGTTCAGTCACCTGCAGGAGCTCGACTTTAACCGCTACGGACGGCTGGTGGCGCCCGTCCGCGAGCACCTCTGTCAGCCGCGCGAGCTGCGCTTCACCGTGGACGAGCGCATCAGGAGGGACATTCTGGTGGCGCGGGACATCAGCCGGCCGCTGGTGAGTGAGGAGAGAGGAGGGAGGAAAGGGGGTGGTATTTTGGGAGGGAAGAGCATGTGAGAGCGGGAGCCTGTCTTGAGAGTCGGCGTGGTTTTGATGAGTGAAAGGGGAGGGGGCGAAGCCGGAAGGCAGTCCATATCTTGTTGTTGACTGGGAACTGGGAGGAAGGGAATGTTGTCGGTCTTTTTATATCGTCAGAGTGAAGCCATGCTCTTCAAAATAACCAACTGGCAAGCTTTCAAAATAGCCAAATGATATTGCTACCTGCTACCATCATCTTTTGATAGCCGGCTGACCCTTACCCCACCTTCTCAATTCTCATCACATCTGCCCCTATGACCTGTTCCGTCCTCTGCCTCAGCTGAACGACGTGATTATCATCAGTCGTCGGTACGGCCGGTACGGGAAGCTGTGGATCCAGACGGAGGGATTCCACCCGGACGCCTTTATACAGATGGCGCTGCAGCTGGCCTACTGGAGTCTGCACGGACGGTAAGAGGAAGGGAGAGTGGAGGCTAGGAGAGGGGGAGGAGAGGAGAGGACGTGAAGTTGATAGGAAGCATTTTTAATGTTGAGAATTATACTGTTGCCAGTGCTTTTTTATACAAGCACTGACGTGTCATATGGATTCAGAACTAATCAGAACTTCAACTTGGTATGGGCAACCAATGTGCCTGATGCCACCCAACTCAGCTAGCAATCTCAAGTAGCCCTACTCTCTAGTCACTTCAGAATTATGTACCCTAAAGACATTCGCGTCTAACCCGCCTCCCCTCCGCCCCCTCAGCGCGGCACCGACCTACGAGACGGCTGCCACCCGCCGCTTCTACAAGGCGCGCACAGAGACGGTCCGCTCCTGTACGCCCGAGGCGCTGGCCTGGTGCCGGGCCATGACCTCCGACTCGGCTGTGGTGAGTGACGCGCTGGTTAGGGAGAAGGACGGTTACATGGGAGGGAGGGAGAGAGTGTAGGGGTGGGGGGGGGGAGCAGGCGCGTAACCACCACTGGGGACACTGGGGACCGGTCCCCAGTAACTTTTAGGTTACTGGGGACCGTCCCCAGTAAAACCGAAGACCTCCTTAATTTGCTGCCAACTATTGTCTCTAAATCGACGTGAAGAGTAATATGTAGGTAGTAAAAAAGACAAAACTATGGATATTTTGTTTAGCCAGCGCCCGGGTGGGCCTCTCGGCCAACTTCGCCATGGTGGGGGGAGGGGGGGAGGGGGGGCTTTTTGGACGCACCAGATTATCTCGGAAAGTAAGCAAGCTAGAAAGACGCGGTAAAAGGCAACATATAGCTCGCTACAGTGTCTTTCAGAATTGCTTCTGTCAATTTTAATCGGCTCAGCGATGAGGTCACTGGAGGTCACCAAAGGTAAAATTTTCACGAACGTTTGTTGCCAATTTTGACAACTTTTCACAAATCGGCGCATAAGTCAGGAACCGATAGAGCTGCATTGCTGCGGGAAAGCGCATTCGATAGCTCTTTTGAATGCCTTTCTGATTAATGTTCTCAGATTTGACCTAAGGTCAACGGTTTAGCTTCCAGGTTGGCGTTTTTGCGGAAAAGGTTTTTGGATCATAACTTTTGACTCAAAACTTGTATGACGCTGATTTTACCGGCATCGCGTTTGTCACGTCGAGACGCGTCGAATGAATTATAAATTTACCTGAAAAGGTCAACATGAAAATTTGACCCCTGGTCAAGGTCACGGAAAAGGTCATGTTGCATGTCATTCGATTGGTGTTGTTGAGCTGAACCCATTCATGGTGTTTTAAGGGCTCTAGCATGTTTCTACCTAAAGTTATAATTAAAAACTGTTGCAGATGTTTCATGACCTGGAGATGACCTCAGGGGCATAGAAGGGGTCACAAGGGGCAATTTTCCGGTTCAGTGTTTACCTGTGTCACGGTGTTTGAATGTGTTTTCGGCCAAAAGAAGAGCATTTCAATTTTTCCCAATGACTTATAACGAAGAGGTCTCAAAATTGACCTGACATTAGGTCACCGATGTGAAAATTTTGAGACGATTGTTCATACTGATTTGTTCATTTCCTCATGCAAAAGTTTGAGTTTCAAACTTCTGGGATGTAAACTGTAGGAATGACAGTCACAAAGTTTTCTAGAGGCATGGCTACTTTACTTGACCTGGTGACCTCACCTTATAGGTGACCGGCGGTCGAAATTTTCACACACGATGCGAAATTGAGGTATCATAGGCTATACCTACTAAGTTTCGCGACGGTGCGCGCCGCGGCTTTCCTTACACGCCCAACAAAAAAAAAAAAAAACTGGCAGGTGTGGCTAAAAACGCCCCCCCCCCACCCACCCTCTGCCCCCCCCCCACCCCACTCGGACCAAGGCTGATCCTGAAATATAATATTTGGTCTTCGCGGCCCTCCATGTGGTCCCAAGTAACTTCAAACTCGTGGTTACGCGCCTGGGGGGGAGGGCGAGGCGTGATTTGAGTGTTGGTGAGTTGACTGGAAGAAATGCAACGCCTGCCAAGAATCTTTTAAGTCTTGTGAATGAGGAACTTTCCAGGAGGAGTTTTAAGGAGTGGAGTTTTTAGCGTTTTAAATTGCATAATGATATCACAGGCACCGGATCATGCCATTCTCACCCACCCTGTGTCATGTCCCAGCTTCTTTCTCAATGCTCCCACTAGGCATATTAAGCCGGACACCTTCCACCCGTCTTCCCCAGGCGGCGGACCGTCGTCGTCTGCTGCGTGCCGCCGTGGACCGGCACGCCGACCTGGCTAAGCAGGCCTCGGACGGACACGACTGTGACAGACACCTGATGGGGCTGCAGATTCTGGCCGGGGAGGCCGGCCTGCCCACGCCGGACATCTTCACAGACCCCATGTGGAAGAAGAGGTGGGCGATGTGGGAGGTGTAGGATGTGATGAACGGGAGGGAGATGAGTGTTACGTATAATGCGGCCAGCTTTTTGTACCTAATGAAAAGTATTGTATCGTTAACATTTATGGTAATATCGTGACCTGTATTCAATATTGAAGTGGACTGCAGCCCAGGTGTGCATGGTTAAATGCAAAGGTCATATTTTAGCTTTTTACCACAAGATCTGAAGTTCCATATTCAAACCCCATATCGTCATGACCTGTTCGTTATTGAGCCCACCACTCGCTTGCTTGCAGCGGCGGCAGCGGCAACTTTGTGCTCTCAACCAGCACCACTGGCTACACGCCGTGTTTCGGTGTGACGGCCGCCATGGTACGGGACGGCTACGGCTGCTTCTACTCGATCGAGCCGGACCGGTGAGATGAGGGAAACTGGGAGAGGCGGGGAATATAGAGGGACTGGGTACTGGGTACTGGGTAGTGAGGTGGGCCAATGTACGGGACGGCTACGGCTGCTTCTACTCGATCGAGCCGGACCGGTGAGACAAAGAGGGTGGGGAGGTGGAAAGGTGGAGGGATGGGTCAGGGAGGTGGAGAGATGCGTGCTAAGGAGCTGGGGAAATGGTTGTGACATTCGTGGCATTCCGTGGATATGGAATCTGCCAGAGGGTCGGTCACTTGATGTACATGTCGCTTTTATTAGGAGAAGGGCAGAATAGATACGCATCAACCGGAAAACTTCCGTTTCGATTTGTAAGTTCAGTCGATTTCATTGGTGTGGATTGTCTTTTCATCTGAAATCGTCTCGTCTACTCTAGGCTCAACATCAACATCTCGGGCTTCGTGAGCAGCCAGGAGTGCGACGTCAACAAGTTCTACGACTCGGTGGCCTCCAGCCTGGACGGCATGCAGCAGCTGATGCTGTCCCGCAGTAACCTCTGAGGTCCTCCCGGGACGCTCAACGTCAGTGCACAACGCCGAGGTGGGAGAACCGAGCTGAACAGTTGTCCGACTTGCCTGGACGTGGAAAGTGCCCAATGTCTACCGGAGACGCTGGCGGAAATAGGTAGATATGCGAGGATCGATCACGGTTTACAGGGTTGTGGACGGAGTTTTATGCGGATGCCGATACCCGCAACAATCGGAATGTCAGCTAATGAATGACTTGAATGTCATGTTTCAGAGCTCGATAAACAATGCAAGATTGTAGATGACTTGACTCATTTGTGTTCATATTATGCTCTGTTTGTATTAGAATATTGAACTTGTTCTTAGCAAAATGCTGTTCATCCGGGACTTTTAGTTAATTGCCTGTGTACTTGAGTTTATTCTTTTTCGTCGCGTATCGCTGTATAGGTTCTTCGTTCTGGCTTAGCGCTTCAATCTTGACCCGAGGCATGTTTATCAACACGTTTTAACAAAGAGGTTTTAACCGTTGGACAGCAGCCTTAGGTGTTGGATCGTTCGCGCAAAATTCATACTGTCTACGTTTTTATGGGTGCCAACAAACAACCCGGAGATTCGAAATAAAATGGAATATGATAGCCGCGGGTTGAGCACGCCTGGTCATTCTAAATGCAAGGGATATGCGTTGCTGCAAAATAATATGCTGGATTCAATTATAATATGTATATCATTCCCTAGCAATGAGCTGTGGCAGCGTTACAAATGCAATGTTTACTCGTTTATCCTCTTGCCACTTCTTGATGTTTCTTCAATGCAATGTTTGATGCAGATTCGTAGTAATAGTTCATTCAGAGCTTGCCGTTGTAATAACGCGTTCCTTTTTCTACACATTCCTGTTGATCAGAGTCGCAATGGTTGGAGCTTCGAAAGAAGGGTATTGTATGGCATAGCTGTTGGGGTGTGTGGCGAGCAGAGCCGCTGCGAGGGAAGTATTCATCGTTTGAGCTTGCTGAGTTTGGCATAGGACTGCGCGGTGTGCTGTGTAAGTTCTGTGCCGGAAAGTGCCTGTACCCACTGCCGGTAGCCTGATGAAGGGAGGGAACAGGTTAGAGTACCGTATTTCGTCAACTCTTTCACCTATCGCGCTGGCTGTTGTGCTCAGTGGCTGAGATTGTGCTCGAGGTCTCTCTAGCAGCCACTTGCACATTAGAAAGCTGCAGACCGGAAGGTTTTGTGATGCAGTGTAGCGTGGATTTCCTCACACCCTGGTTATATTTGTGCAATCACTGTATTTCTACCGTATTACACGGTACCGCTCTGTTCAGAGCCGTATCCAATAACGGCGGCTGTGGCTGGATTTGGCCGGATTGTTACACAGCGAGTGTAGGAACGGAGCCGAGAGACAAAATGTTCACCTGTCAGCGGTGATTGTATATGGAAAATACTGGCCTCGGACGCTGGTCGCCAACGCCGAGAGATGCGACGTGTGGTGTCCGGTCATGTCTATTTGAAAGTCGTGTCAAATATACGGTAAGAGATCAGACGTGTGTTCTGGCTATCTGAAGTCGCAATGTGGGAAGTGACGTTAAGAGTAGCTCGCTGTTGTGCTATAGGTACTGGCAGATAATCACACGCGATTTGACGTACGACAATCGACTCTGATGCATTAAAAACCATACAAAGTGTAGACATTCAACATACGATTTCATCATAATTGTTTCAGACAAATTACACAACCACCAATCGTGACCAGAGAAATACAAAATGAGGCTAAGTGATATCACAGCCTTTTCCTCTGAGGAACACAAACAACGGTGCCGTCCATATTTTCATATCAGTCCAGTCGACACTGACCATATTTTCTATAGGAAACTGGACGTTACACCGCTTCTTCCTTCAAGCGACATCGTAGTAAAAGCCCTGTATGTACATACGTGGAATATGATCAGTACTGGTGGGAGACGCCAGATGCCCAGCGGCTTGGTGCCCCCTTCGCTGCTTAGGGCATTCCGGGCAAGTCCAGCCGCTGATTGTGTCGCCCTCCACAAGAAGCTGGATGCACTCATGAAGCGAACACTGACTGGACCTGGCTGGCATCGGCACGGAGAGGAGTGAAAACGCCTCGAACTTCGCCGAGTGGTTCCCGCAGCTGATGCAGCGCAGCGTGGACTTGTACTGGTCCCATATTGTAAGGGAACGATTGTACCCTTGAAGTCGTCGTCCAGGGCCAGTTTGGCCGCCTGGGAAGCCGTCATGTCCCTGCCTTGAGTGCGGTTGTTTCCGCTGCACCTATAACAGATCCTCACGTAGGAACTCCAGCAGGCACAATATGAGTTGTGGGTCCTGCGTCAAGTCGTGTGCTGGTGTCCCCGCCTCCATTGTGCGTGGTGTGCCGGTGTGTGCCCGAGTTGAGTCCCTGGAGACGCCACTGCCGTGCCCTGCCCTCCGGCAGTCGGCCGGCCGGCTGGGTTCCTGGTCCCTTGGTGGTGAGTTGGAGCGGAGCACCAATACACGCCGGAACGTTACTACCGCGTCTCACATGGCGCAGCCGACAGGGTAGTGAACCGCGGTGTTAAGTGATAAGTGTTGCGGAACCGACGAGTGACGGCGATGTCTCATAACGGTGAGACTGTGGACGTTTCGCGGAGTGGTGTCGTGGCTCCAGCTGCAGGAGCTGGCCCGACGTGGGCCGGCCGGCACGCACGACCGGACAGGCTGGACATCGCCAGCGACCGAGGCGAGTTATTTCACGTCTGGCGAGAGCGATGGGAAGATTATGTGCTGTTGTCTGGTCTGGAGCGGGCAGAGCCCCGCATCCAGATAGCCGCTCTCCGAGACTGCCTCACGGACGACACAATCAGATTGCTTCGGAACCTGGAGCTAAGTGGACCCGATCGTACTGACGTGAGAAAGTCCATCGAGGCTCTAGAGAAATACGCGAACGGCCAAATCAATGAGGTCGTTGAGCGCAAAAAGTTCAACGAACGGGTACAGGAACAGGGCGAATCCTTTGATGACTTTTTAACGTCCCTTAGAGAACTCGCCCGCAGCTGCAATTTTTGCACTGAATGTCGCGATTCGCTTATAAGGGATAGAATCATTATGGGTCTGAGGTCTGCAGAGACCGTTCGATGTCTGTGTGCAACACCGGACCTGTCTCTGTCGGCCACTGTTACTGTTTGCAGGGCGCAGGAGGCGGCATCTCGCGACGCACGGGAGCTGCACGGCGGCACTGCGGACGGCCCGTCGGCCCTGCAGGTGTGGTCGCCCCGGACCGGTGGCGGTCCGGCCGCCTGCACTGGCTGCGGTCGGCGGACGCACCGACCCGGCCAGCAGTGCCCCGCCCGCGGGCTGCGGTGTCGGGCCTGCCGGGGACCGGACCACTTCGCAGCTGTGTGCCGGTCGAGGACCGACGGCCGGCGGAGCCGCGAGGGGTCGTACGGACGGTACCGATCCCCGCCGCCCCGGGACCGGTATCGGTCCCCACCGCTCCGTGATCGGTACCTGTCATCTCCGCCGCGAGACCGGCCTCAGTCTCCGAGAGGTCGGCACATGTCGTCGCCGCCCCGAGAGGTGTACCGGTCACCATCTCCCCGCGATCGGCACCGTGCAACGACAGGGGATCGTCGCGCCTCTCGTAGTCGCCAACGGCAGTCTCCAGACGGGTACGGCCGAGTCCGTTTCCGGCGGGATGGTGAAACGGCGAATCACGTGGACCGCCGGAGCCCCAGCACATCGGCTATCATCGCGTCTGCATCGGTACAGGGTGCCCCGAGGGTGCGGGTACGCGTAGAGGCGTACTACTCTGCTGATGTGGACGCGCTGCCCGACACCGGAGCGGACATCAGTGTTGGAGGTATCCAGTTCCTGGACGACATGAATGAGTTCCCTGAGAACCTTCTACCGCCCAACGAACACCCGAAAGCAGCTGACGGAGCCACCGTCAAGTCTATCGGCGTTCTTCCCGTTCGTATCACCCTGGGTGACGTCACGGTTGATGACGACATACACATTCTTCCGCGCGTCACGGGTCTGCTGATGTCATGGAGGACCACCCGCCGGTTAAACATTATTCCAAAGGACTACCCGCGTCAAATGAACAGCGCGACCTCGACGCCCTACGTCAACAGCGCTGGTTCGAGACACCCGGCAGCTCCAGACGACAGCAGTACGACTGCTACTACCGCGTCTCACAAGTCGCAAGTTGCGAAAACGGAAATGGCGCCGACCCAACACATAATAAGCTCACACAGAGCCAATGACCTGTGCTGTCCACTCCAGAGTACCTTGAAGGCCGCCAGCTCCTGCGCCGCCTCACGCCGGACAGCTCGCTGTCGTAGCTGGTGCAGCCCCGGGACCTCGTGTCCACAAGTGTTACTCCGGCCGGGTGTGTTGTTGATGCTGACTGAATGACGGCCTTCATTTTGCGTTGATGTGACAAAATTTGCCAAGGTTCCTTGAGCCGGTGAGAAAGGGAAGTATGCAAATTCCCGTTCTTCACACACTTGATGGAGGTGCTGTCAGTACCTCAGCCACTACATATTGACGGCACGATCAGTCCATAAGTTAGCACATATTGAGGGATCTCTCGGTCCATCACTCCCCTACCCACCACAGTTTGACATAGCTCTCCTGACGGCGGTGGGGCGGATCACCGTCCTCCTCCTCCTCCTCGTCGTCACTGGAGTCCAGCAGATCGGACAGGTGCCGCTGGCCGGAGGAGGTGGCCAGGACCGGCAGCCACGGGTGCACGCTGAAAACAGGGCAAAATGAGGGTTAGATGAAGTGTAAGAGAGAAAGGCGACTGCTGCTTAGATGGCGACAAGCACAAACCACATAGCACACACGGTTAAACTTGCTTTTGAACTTGACAAAAAAAAAATATGTTCACAAAAATCACAATTTTATTTCACTTCTTTTCATTTCCTTTTTTACTAAAGAATCTCGTTCACATACTCGGGTTTCATGAGACATTCGCACGGTGGTCTCTGCAGCGTACTAACCTGACTCCGTTGCAGCAATCCCGGTGCGCCCCGAACTTGCGGATGCTGGGCAACAGGAGTGTTTCGCTGAGGTCAGAGGCCGTGTCGTCCATGGTGTCCCACACCTGGACACAGCCGTCACAGTCGCCTGCCGGACCGAAAAGCTGGACTTCAGTAAGGGATAATAAGAAAAAAAAAAATGAACGGAAATACCGGGAAGTAGAAGGGTCTGTATATGGTGTTCCGCAATGACGTTACGATTTTACACGTAAGGAACATTACGAAAAAACTAGGCAGCGACATTGATAGTGAACTGACAACTGGAATGCGGCTTTTATCAGCAATACGCAGTCGAAACAAAGATCGCAGCGCTTGACGTTGAAGCTCGAAAGTCATTTTCGTGTCTATCCAATAGAATCAGACACACGACTGACTACACATTCAGTAGCACAGACTCTCGTCGCCTCCCTAACAATCTCCCCCTCTCCTCCCCACCGCCTCACCCACAGTCACACTCACCACTGAACAGATACCTCCCGCTCCAGTCGGTGTCAAAATACACCCGCTGGTTCGTCGTCACATTTCTCTGCATGGAGAACAGAATCCTCCCCAGGTTCCGCAGGTCCCAGCAGAGTACTTCCGGGTCTTTTCGTCCCCCCGAGTAGAGTCGCCGGCCGTCCGGGCTGAACTGGAGGTGGGTGACGCCGCCCGTCTGTCCCTGGAGCACGCACAGCGGCGCGCCGTCCTCCGTGCCGTACAGGCCGATAGAGCGGAGATAGGAGCCGGTGGCGTACACGTCCGGCGCGGCGGCGCAGAAACGTATGCAGGAGACCAGGCCCGGCTGGGAGGTCAGACTCTGCTTGTCTGTGGACATAGCAGAGCGGGATGGGTAAGATATTTCGCTGCCATAAATATATCTGATATTTAGGACCACCCGGTGTTTTTTTATGAATGACAAGCTAATGACATAAAATGTTACAACTTACATTAGCAAGACTTATTCGAAGTGGAAAAAATGGCAAGGTGTTCCGACTTCCGAGTTTTCGTTCTTGGGTGCAGCCAACGAAATAAATTAGCATTATTATTCGACTTCCTAATGTGAAACAAAAAATAGCGACTATTCGCTGGCACTTGTCAAGTGCAGAAGCATAATCCATGTTTTCAGGACATCAAACTAATACGCATTCATTGTTGATTGTAACCGCTTCATAATAGGTACGGAACACGAATATTACAGCGCCATAAATCTTCTAACTCTACGCACCTTTCATTTTCCGCGTCTCCACCTGTCTCCCGGGCCGGTTGACGTCAAACACGCTGACACAGCCGTCCAGGCCGGCGAAGAGCCGCTCACCACACGGGTCGAAGGCCACGCTGTACGCCGCGGCCACCTCGTCCACGCTAAGGGGAGGGAGTTCGTCAGGGTCTACCACCACAGTGTGATTACGATGAGGAAGCTGGCGAACCGTTGCGCCTGATGAAGCAGCAGGTTGTGGGATGTCTTATTCGAGCCGTAGAATACGAGATAACATATTGAATTTCACGTCATGACAACGCTAGAAAGAAAAATTATTCAGTAGAGAAACATGGTGACACTTTCAAATAACCGTTCTGCTGGTATTGCTGGCTTTACTATTCTCACCTGTTGTAGGCACGGTAGGAGCAGCGCAGCCCGCCGTCAAAGGCGTCAAACAGGTGTATCGGATGAGCCCGACTCGTGGATGCGTAGCTGCGGGAAGAGGCGACTTTGTATTTCATAGGTAAACATTGAACTGAGACATAACGGCACGGCCGAAACAGTGGACCTTTTATGCAATTTCAATGGTGAATGCAGGTTATGCTGATAAAGTGTCAAGATACGAGTCTCGATGCCTGATCCGAATATCCATCGTCCTCCCTGGCACAAAACCACAAAAAAAACTCCCTCATATTTAGCACACAAAGCCATCTCACCAGCAGGTGGCAGGGTCGTCGCTCCGCATCAGCGGGAACCACGTATAGTCGTAGATGAGCTCCCCCTCTCGCGACTGGAGCGCCACCTGAAGCGACGACAGGGGCGTCTCGGGCGCGGCGCCGGTGGCCGCGGAGCTGTACAGCGACTCTGGGAGGTTCAGCACCCGCAGACGGCCGTCCTCGCTGCACACCAGCAGACATGTGCCGTCAGGTGACCTGAGAGGAAAGAGGTCTTTGGTGAGAAAGGTTACTGGGATAGTCATGTGTGCATTGAACGGTGGGATTTACTCTGGTGAGTGGTGATAAAGTGAATAAGCACCCAGCCTACAAGTGGCAGCTACCAGACCTATGATTAAATATTGCTGATGCTAAGCTTTAATCAAATCTGAAACCCCAAGCTGAGGAGTCCCTTGTTCCTTTGAAAGGGCTCTTCTTTTACACAAGATGAAAAGTGAGACTGGTAGTCCTCTGGGCTCACCATTTGCATCCCTTGGTGAAGTTGCTGGCCGAGAATGGTGCAGTCACAGTGGTGAGGAGCTGTGGCTCGCCAGTGTAGCTGAGGGAACCCCTGTCTGTGACCATGCCCTCAGGCTGCTGGGACACTGTGCTGTCGCCTGTCACCTCTGGTACAGCCTCTCCATTCTCCAGAGACAGATCAGCAGCCTCAGTGGGTGGCTCAGGGTATTCCAAAACAGGATCAGATGGCTCGCATACAGGATCACCCGCATTCTGAGCAGAACCTGTGGCCTGGCTGCTGGTTTCATTAGCAGCCATCAGCATTTTACTTTGTACAGGATTGCCAGTGATAATGTCCACTGCCATTGGTTCCAGCCCCTCCTGCTTAGCTGGTTCAGTTGGATTGACTGCTGCAAGGATGGATCCATCCAATCCATCACAGACTGAGATATCAATATCCTTTGCTGGTAGGTCATCAGTTGGATATGGCTCATCCATTGTCTGAAATTAGAATAGTGAAAACATTTAGCAGTCAAAATCAGAATCAAGTTTGAGCTCAGAACAAAATAGCTCAAAGACACTGTACTAGTCCTCCTAGACTGATCAGGTTCAAAGCTATGCCATTGAATCAAGGCATCTTTTAGTGATTTGTGATCAGCATATAATAAATGTGTCATTTCATTATCAGAAAACACAATCTGACACACCCATAACATTATATATTGACCACAACATGACAAACACCAAAAACACGTGTTTACCTTACACATTTACAATTTTTACAATTGAAGCGCCTTTTGCTTGTCATTTTATATTCATGTGCGTTTTTATGACGTCATGGTAAGCGACCAATCGAATGCGATAAAAGAAGAATATCAGCGAATGAACGCATCAGGCGTAAGATTTGATGACGTCATTTTTGAAAGCTATATTTTTATTTAAGATTCTTATTCAGAAGCATGTTGCAGAAGCTGCGACGGCAGGTAGCGCGTGTTTCTGCCGGGTATTTGCGTTAAAATCGATTAATTATTTGATATTTCTGGTTGTGCGTAATGGCTTTTGTGTGCGCAAGTAAGTGCATATTTCAATATATTCTATCCAGTAATTGGTAAATTATATCGTCATGTTTTCGCGAGAATAAATACGGATTCCTCTGCGTCATGATTGTCTCTTTTTGTTTCAGCATAGAATATTGATATGCTGATTGATTTGGGTAATTCGATTTTAAAGTGATATTTTGATCGGCTTCATGTAATTTTTCGCGTATTTTATTTATCATTTATTTTACCCTCCATATTTTATATTTAAATTGCATCATTATGTCGTAATTTATGCCTATTGTCCACGTCCATCCCTTAGCACGTTTGATTGAAGTCTGAAAGGTATAATAGAAAGATATAAGTATAATAGAAAGGTATTAGTAAGCCTGGCATCCCAGGTTGATGGCAGATTGGGATGGCAGAGATATACAGAAAAAAAACTAACCTGACCTGACCAAACCTTACCTACAACTGAACCTACCCTACAAACCTACAGCCTAGTTACAACAATATCTGGCATCTTCCTGGGATGCCAGGCTTACTTATACCATCTGAAATATTTCTGGGCATTTTATACCAGGCATCTCACATGCTGTCACCTGTTTGTGGAAAGTCGTTAAACTCTAGTTCTTGAGATTGAGATATTTACACGAATTTTGTTGTTGGTTGCACATTGGTAGTTGTAGGTTGTAGATTGGTAGGTTGTAGGTTAGTAGGTAAGGTTAGTTCAAGTTAGATCAAATATGTTTTGCCCTGTAAGACCATTTGTTGAGTGACTTTGTTAAGTAAAATTTGTGTAAATATCTCTAGTCTAGCGACTTTTCACAGATGGGTGGCAGCAGTCTCGCTATAAGAATACCTATTTATCTATAAGCTTACCCTACCAATTTTTTTCCTTAGACTAGTCTTACCAACAGAAGAATGATCAGCTGCAGTTATTTTTGCCCTTATTTGCATTAAATTTCACCAGCTGTGCACAAGAAAATAACCACTGATATATCAGTGAATAACAGCCTACTTGATATGTTTCAGTACCTAATTAATTTGTAATGCTTGGCTGGTTAAGCTTATGGGGAGCTTTTGGAAATGAAAACACCAATGTCCAACAGCCAATGATATTTGGCTGTTTCACTGTTGCTATATTCCAGTGTTAATCAGTCACTATTTATGTTTTTCTTTGAATGCACACTCTTACCCAGTAAACATGCCGACGTCGGCCCGACGTCGGCCGACGTCGGGGTGACGTCGGCAACTCGGCATCGGCATGCCGACGTCGGTCCAACCTCGGCACGACGTCGGCTGGATGTCGGATATGCCCGCATGTTCCGACGTCCAGCCGAGGTCCAGCCGACGTCGGGCCGACGTCGGACCGAGATCAATTGCTGAGGTCCAGCCGACGTCGGGCCGACGTCGGACCGACATCGGCCGCTGTTTTGACCGTTAAAATAATATAAAATACATGTTTCATGTTTCATCAAGAGCTCCTGTATTCAAAATATCCTCAGGAAACTCAAATCTTCCTCCACGCCGCAACCCCCTGATCCGAACTGGACGGGAAACTTTATCCCATTTGGGATTGCCCGTAAGCCGAGCTCGCCCGTAGCCGGGTGCGGTGAGCGCTTGGGGGCTGCTCGGCCTATCCTTTGGTCAGGCTCAGACCCGGCTACTCACCAGGGCGGGGCCCAGTTCATATAGAAAGGCCAGTCGGCAAGTGTCACTTTGCCAAAGTGCCACTAATCAAAGGGACACTTTGGGAAACGTTGGTGCAGGTGTGTAAGAGTGGCTATATGAATCCATTGTGGGGTCACCCTTTCCAATAAGTGTCACATAACAGCAATGGGACCAGGGACTCTATATGAACTGGACCCAGGGTGCTCGCCAAGAAGACCAATATCTCCATCCTATCATCCTTCCGGCTCTGAAATGGTCTTGTCAGACCGAAAGGGCATAACCCAACAAAACAAACTAAGTTCGTTATCTGGCTGCGTGGTGTAGTGGTTAGCGCACTAACCTCGCGTTCAAATGACACGTGGTTCGAATCCCATCGCCGGATGATGCTTTTGGCGTGTTGTCCCAGTAAACATGCCGACGTCGGCGACTGGGGGGCTCGAATCCCGCCGCCGGTTGATATTTTTGGCGCGTTGTCCCAATAAACATGCCGACGTCGGCCCCGTCGGTCCAACGACAAACGATCTCGTCAACCTTGTTGTTGTTGTTGTTGTTCGTCCTCTCGGCGTCTAGCGACGCGAAGCCTCGCGGCTTAGCATCCCTCTGCGCGCGGCCGCCATGGCCGCGATGTAACTTGTGCTCCTTGCAGTTTCTCTGGTTGGGGCGTGTATGCTTCCCGTCAGGCGGAACCGAAGCCCCATCTGCGCTGGGCACCGCAACAGAATGTGATCTGGGGTGTCGGCTTCCTCCTTACAGAGTGGGCAGAGGGCTCCGCCGCATGCTCGTTCATTGCAGGCGTCGCACTGCCGTGTGGGGCTCTTGCCGATGCGATGCAGGTACTGTTGCGACCCTGACCAGTGTGCGGCTCTCAGCTGGTGGACGTCGATAGCCGTCAGACGGTCCAGGCCAGACACTGTGGGTGGGCGCGTTGTCCCCATCAGGGTTCGGAACCAGCCTGGGGGTCGCTGCTCTCGTGTGCGAGCGTCCGCCGCTCGCGCCGCTGCTCTATGCACTGTGCGCGTGTCCACCGGTACCTGCTCTTGGGGGAGAGATGCCGCCTCCTTGGCTAGGCTGTCGGCCATCTCATTCCCAGGCAGCCCGCAGTGGGACGGGACCCATTGAAGGCGCACCTGCCGCTCTCCATTGTCGGACACCAGGGCCAGAGCGTCCCAGACAGCTCGGTTCAGCTGCGTCCTTTGCTCGGCCGGGCCACTCCGTAGGGCAGATAGAGCTGCTTGCGAGTCGGTACACAGTATGATGGGGTCCTCCTCATGCTCAGTGTGGTTGCCGATGTAGTGTAGTGTCTCGCGGAGTGCCACCATCTCCGCTCGGTAACTCGAGCAGAGCTTGCCCGCTGGTGCGCGGAGCTCGTGGCTCTCCCCGTCGGGCCACTCGATATAGCTCTCGTCAACGACCTCGATATATATCTCGTCAACCTCGGCAAACGACCTCGGCCCGACGTCGGCTCGACGTCGGCTGGACTTCGGATGGACGTCGGAACATGCGGGCATATCCGACGTCCAGCCGATGTCGGGCCGAGGTTGAACCGACGTTGGGCCGATGTCGGCATGTTTACTGGGTAGTTTGTTTGATATGATCAGTATTTTGGAAAGAAAATAATATGTGTAATATTATTAATCAAAAATAATAATTTGATGCCAATGCCAACTGTCAATAGCATTTGACTTCTAGCTGTTAAAACTTCCTGCCAAAAACATTTCTTTTATTTCTGTGTTTCCACACTGCCTATATGACAACTCATCAGTTCTGTAATTAAAAATTACCTGTATTAATATATTGTTGTGTGACTCAAATGTCTTTCATTAATTGCCTTTTCATGCATGTTTTACAGGCATGAAACATCATGATTCTAGGACACCCTTCATAGGCGTGTGCCCCCTCCCCCCCCCCCCGCCGCCCTATTTTCTCCCTCAATCAGTCTCTCACTCCATTAATGCTCACTCACAGTCAGTAACGAGGCGCCAGAACACCCGTGCGTCTCGCCCGTGTCTGGAGCCGTGTTCGAGCGCCGCCTCATCGAGAAATACATCACCGATAATGGCGTCGATCCGGTGGCCAACAAACCGCTCTCGGCAGACGACCTCATCGATATCAAAGGTAACTGACGATGACAATGACAGCATTTGTCGCTGGTGGCATGAACCGCCGGTAGTGTGCCCGTCATTAGGGAATGGTTTTCAGGCAAAACCATTGCTGTATTGTTGTCTATTTGGCTGCTTCAATATTTGGCCTATTTTGTTCTTCAGTTACGACGAGTCGAATATGGGTGAGTCCTCGTGATTTGAATGAGTTAACGTGATTCCTTGATTGCTTTTTGTTAGCAAGCATAAAACATCCGACTCTTATAGGCATATTAGCTGGCTACCCATCTAAGGTCTAACTGCATCCCCACCTTTCCGCAGTGTCGGCGCTGGTGAAGCCCAAGGCGCCGTCGGCCACCAGTATCCCGGCCATCCTCAAGTCGCTGCAGGACGAGTGGGACGCCGTGATGCTGCACAGCTTCACACTGCGGCAGCAGCTGCAGACCGCCCGTCAGGAGCTCAGTCACGCGCTCTACCAGCACGACGCCGCCTGCCGCGTCATCGCGCGCCTCACCAAGGAGGTGACTGCCGCCCGCGAGGCGCTGGCCACGCTCAAACCGCAGGCGGGCGTGCCGTCAGCGGCGGCCGCCGCGGCGGCGGTGGGCGCGCACACACCCCAGCCGGCGGCGGCTGTCGACACGGCCGCCAAGCCCGAGCAGGCGCAGCCGGAGGCCGGCATGACGGCCG